TCAAAGCCATTCCATTAGCCTGCTGAGCAGAGGAAGAGAAGGTAAGCTCTGTTGAGAAACTAGCTTCTTTTAGCCCTCTCAGTTATTCCCTACTTCCTAAGGCCGAACTGTTTCCACCCCAACTTGGGAGATCTGGGTGCTTGAGCTCGCTTTCACTTTTCCTTCTTTTAGATTGTCAGGCTAAGGGCAGGGACTCTCTTGCTTTTTATTGATCTGTAAGGCGCTCAGGAGAGCTCTTCTCGTCAAAATGCTTTCAGTGAATGAATGAATGAACGAATGAATGATTTAAAGCCCTTCACTTAACCTACTGTGTAGATTGAGTATGTGCAAGGGGCTGCATCGACATGTTCCAAGGGTTAGGGAGTACAGTGGGTCTGTACGCCTGCTCAGGCTGCTGCCCAGTTGCCCGCTGTTGGGGGGGGCAATTCAAAATCCTTCCTGTTCTCCCTGTCATCTCCTTGGAAAGGACAGCTCTCCAAATAGAGTATGACTTCCAACGGAGGGCTTTCTTTTGCAGGTAGGGAGCCACAGCCACTCTAAGAATGCCTCTTTTAAGGCAATGCCAGTCAACCATAGTTTTCGAAAGTCTTGTATTGACAGCTTGGGACTAGATTACCTGAAGGATCACTGCCTTCCACGTGGACCTACCTGGACCCTGAAATCATCTTTAGGAGCCCTTCTCTGGGTGTCCCCACTGAGAGGTCTTTTGAGCTGGGGCACCCAAGTTATGCAGAGAATCATCTGGCACCTTCCTCATTCTCTTCTGGCATTAGGCCACACTTCTGATATCTGTGCAATTTTACTCTCCCAGATTTTAGTGATGCGGTACATCTTAATTTGCTACAACTGATCCTTTTATTATTTTCATTAGGTTTTTTTATTCATATTACATATAAAAAGAGCACACACCCTGTTTTTGTATCGTTTCATTGATTTTCAAATTGATTGCGGGTGGTTACTGTGTTTTAGTGTTCTACTGTTGTAGTCCATTCAGAGAACACTGTTATTGGGGGATCACAAGTGAATGAATAAATAAAAACAAACATCAATTCTTAAAGAGGTCTGCTGCTGCTGCCTTGAATCACCTTTCTGCTGGCTGAAAGGTTTTTAATTGACTCATCAAACCACTTGAAGTGGCCCTGCGTCTCCCCATGGCAGGTTTTATTCAGGAGGAGCTCCAGAGAATGACAAGTTTGGGTATTTGCCAAGGCCCCCTTAATAATGCTCCTGTTTCTATTCTGCACAGAGAACCCAAGCTCAGACCTAAGCGAGAATTATTGGTTTGCACGCCCTCTCTCTTTCAGATTAAGGGGGCTCCCTGAGAGTGCCAAAGACTGCCCTCCAATCCTGGAACCAACATTATTCCTTCAGTGGAACCAACATTATTCCTGAGTTCCGGGAATGATTGTCTTGAATTCACCACAGCCTCTCCACAGCATGAGCTATCCTAACATTTTGAGAATCGGTACTCTTCTATCTCCTTATTGGTTACTTCACATTTGTTGGTTCAAAACCCCTGATCTCTGGGTGGATTTTCCTGAAGCAGTGACACAGCCATTTCCTGTTGCCATCAAAATCTAACACAGGATATTCCTCTTGTGCTATCTACTCCATTTCTTGGAAGAATGCCAAGAAACCTGGGCAAGCATCTTGGCTTAGAATATCCCTCCAGTTTTACTTCACATAAATGTTGCATATTAAGGGCCATTTCAGGAAAAACACTGTAGGAGTCTCTTCATTTTCACTGGTTCAACAAAAGCAACAACTGAACATAATTTCATAGGACTGGAGTGAGGAAGAGAGGTCTGTATTTTTCCACCGAGACATCAGGCAGGAAAAAGGAACTGTTAGGGCATGTTTTCTTTCCTTCTAGTCAAGTCACTTTTATTTTTAGCACGTCCCTCAAGACAGGCAACACCTACCCCAGGCCAGTACAACTTGTGACCCACCAGGTTGAATGCAGGCTGCCGAGAATCTCTTTATTTTCATCAGTCCCAGGCTAGTTGCAAAAGCAAAATAATATTATTGGGCTGCCCTATATGGTTGGTGAGCTGTATTTGGCTTGGTGGGTAACACTGTAGAGGCATGCCCTACCTAAAAAACTGGGTATCATTTTAAATTGTGCAGATTGTATGGGATGGAAACCCCAATACAGTAAAAACACTTAGGGGCCAGATTATGTGTCTGTGCTGCACCAGTAATAAAAGGTAGGGTGTATTATGTCACAACTGGGAACTTATGGTCCTCCAGATATTGGTGTACTCTCAACTCCCATCAGCCCCAGTCTGCGTGTCCAAGGGTCATGATGGGAGCTGGTAGTCCACTAACCTCTGCATTACATTTTAGCATGCAGCCTATATGTAGCTCCAAGACAGTGATTTATTGATCTTATAGTAAGTGAAATAAATATTTTATGTGCAACACAGAGACTATATTACTTTCAAGCAGCAAAGAACAAATATGCCATTTCCCAGTATTATTTTGTTGGAACCACAGAAGTGGGTTGCGCTGGTGATGTGCGAAAGAAGAACTGTTGCTCTAGCTTTGTAAATCTAGAGTTGATGGTCACATTTTAAAACTGTATTTAAATATTTATTATTTGTTATGGCCTTTTGCCTTCATTAAACTGTGTTCACAGCTGGAGCAGAGACGTTTTGGCCTTCCAGATGTTATTGAACTGCAGCTCTCATCAACCATGACAAGCATAGCCAATGGCTAGGAATGATGGGAGTTTTGGCAACACCTGGAGGGCTCAAGGTTCCCCACAGCTGCTCTAGAGCTCAGAGAATCTGCTACAGGGACAATCCATATTCTACTTTGGCCATTATAGCAACAATAGGGAATGCAGAACATAGATTTTCTCCTGCTTTTCCTATGTAACCTTAATCTGGGTCCCAGGAAGCACTGGGCTCCTGTGGAGAATTCCAGATTACGATAATTCTGACACCAATCTTTTCCCCACATACATTTATTCAAAATCAACTACAGTGGTACCTCGGAAGTCAAATGGAATCTGTTACGGAAGTCCGTTCGACTTCCAAAATGTTCAGAAACCAAGGCGGAGCTTCCGACTGGCTGCAGGAAGCTCCTGTAGCCAATTGGAAGCCCCGGAAGCCCCGTTGAATGTTCGGGTTCCAAAGAACGTTCGCAAACCGGTACACTCACTTCCGGGTTTGCAGCATTTGGGAGCCAAAACATTCAAGTCGCAAGGCATTCGGGATCCAAGGTACCTGTATACGTTATTCCCTGGGAATTGGGGGGGGGCATGCTCAAACAGTTCAAGGTGTACTCTTTTCACTAAGGAAAGTCACACTGAATGATCAACGTAGTGCTTGTGAGCTTTGGATTTGGATCGCCACTGTGAGAATAGGACTAGTTGGGCCACTGGCCTGATGCAGAAGAGCTATTATGTCCTTACGGCTGGTATTTCATAGAATCATAGAATTGTGGACTCAGGACCCTGAGGGTCAACTAGTCTAACCCCTTGCAATGCAGGAATTTCACTCTCAAGACTTTTAAGGACCCCACACCCCCGCAAGAGCTACAAACGTCCCCCCGCCCCCGGAATCCTTTTTGGAAAACAATGGATGCTACAGTGGTATTTAGAGTGCTCTAAATGTGCAGTGGGGCGCGGGTAGAGCTGTGGGGCCTAGGACTTGCTGATCAGAAGGTCGGCGGTTCGAATCCCCGCGACAGGGTGAGCTCCCGTTGCTCGGTCCCTGCTCCTGCCAACCTAGCAGTTCGAAAGCACATCAAAGTGCAAGTAAATAGGTACCACTCTGGTGGGAAGGTAAACGGCATTTCCGTGCGCTGCTCTGGTTCGCCAGAAGCAGTTTAGTCATGCTGGCCACATGACCCGGAAACTGTACGCCGGCTCCCTCGGCCAATAAAGCGAGATGAGCGCCGCAACCCCAGAGTCATCCATGACTGGACCTAATGGTCAGGGGTCCCTTTACCTTTAAATGTGCAATGTGGATATGAACGACATTTAAACCAGGTAGAAAAATTCTACACATGCTTGCTCTGATGTTAATCTCCCAGTATGGATATGCGTTTGCAGCCCGCGTCTCTGAGCGTACTACAAGATCCCATCCTACCCTGCAGCAGCAGAGTTCACCCCAAGGTGAGGAAAGGAAAGGAAAACAGCTCACCTCACACAACTGTGTGACAGACAGATATTCAGCAGGGGGAAAGTGATCTGTCTGTGCTGGGAGAGACTGCTGCTCCCACCCCGTCAAAATTTCCACCATTGATGCAGCTGTTCCAAGTCACAGGGAGTGGGAGAGAGGTGAAAAACAACAACCTTAAACCACTGTATTGTTTCCATAAAATAGCAGCCTCTTTCCCCTGATACGAATCGGCATAACCCTGCCTATCGATACCAAGCAGGTGCCTTCTCTGCACTGTTTTCAGCGCTTGCTAAAAACATCCTTGTTCAGACAAGCCAACCTAGATGCTTAGGAAACCGAGGCGATTTTAATCTGTCTTGGTATTTCCAAGCAGGGCTGTAAACTTATCTTGATTTTTAATGTTTTATCTTTCCGTAAACTGCTGTGCGATGGTTTGTTTTTTTAACAAATCAAGGAGCGTACGAATTTCACAAAACAGATAAATAACGCCCCTGAAGCGCCGTACAAATGTGAACGGTCCTTCAGACTAATTTTTGCGCTGCATTTTATGATGTCAGTGGCGTAGCTTGTTTTTAAGGAAACTTAATACTGTATTTTTATATGGTTGCAGCCCGCTCTGGGACTTGGCAGTGAAGGGCAGGTAAGAAACCGTAATAATAATAATAATAATAATAATAATAATAATAATAATAATAATAATAATAATAATAATAATAATCAGCTATGACTCGGCGGCTCCTTTCTCCCCGGGCAACGGCTTCCAACGGTTGCGCAAGCGGCCAACCTGAGGGAAGCTTCTTCGGGACGACACAGCCCCGCCCCCTGCCCGGCCACGCCCCTCGCCCTCCTTTCCCGTTGCCCGGATGGCCACAGCCAACGCATCGCGATCACGGGCGCGCGTGCGCACGGGCGCGCCAGGGAGGGGTGTGTGAGTGTGTGTGTATGTGAGAGAGAGAGGCTGCCGGCGTTAGTGGCAGCTCCCTCAGACCGCTGGGAAGGGACCACCGGTTCGGCGGCGGCGGCGGCGGCCTGTGTGGGGGCGACCGCAATCCCCCCCTCCCCGCCCGGCTTCTTCTCCACACATCCACACACGCACCGCCTCCTCCTCCTCCTCCTCCTCGGTTGCCAGGCGAAGCGAGAGGGCGGGTCCGAAGGGGGAGGGACCGGCCCATGGACCAGCCGGGCCTGGAGCCGAGCCCGGAGGAGCTGCCTCCGCCGCCGAGGAAGGCCTGTGGAAATGCGGGCGTAGCGCGGAGGCGCAGCGGCCGTCGCCAGCGCCTCAGCCGGGCCCAGGGCGCCGGGTCTCTCGCCGGAGAGCGCTGAGGGAGGAAACAGCCGGATGCTGCCGCCGCTGCCCAGAGCCTGAGGCGGCGCCTCTTTCCTTTCCTCCCTCTTCCTCGGTCGCCCTCCTCTCTCTCGTCTTTCCCTCCCTGCCTCGCTTCTCTCTCGCTCCCTCGGCCTCGCGGCCTCTCCCTCCTTCCCGCCTGGTGGGCTCGGCCAGCCGCCGCCGCCGCCACCATGTCGGCCAAGGTGCGGCTGAAGAAGCTGGAGCAGCTGCTTCTGGACGGGCCGCGGCGCAACGAGAGCGTCCTGAGCGTCGAGGCGCTGCTGGACCTCCTGGTCGGCCTCTACACCGAGTGCAGCCGGGACTCGCCGCTCCGCAGGGACAGGCTCGTCTCCGACTTCCTCGAGTGGGGTGAGAGCCGGGGACGCGAGGGGAAGCGAGAGGTGGGGGTGGGGGTGCTGGCTTGGGGAGGGATCGCCAGGGCTTGCTCTCGAGGAGCTACGGCGAGGCTCGGGCCCTGAATCTGCTGCTGGGAGCGAAGAAATACGAGGAAATCACCGGTGGGGAGCGTAGGGGTTTTTTTGGGGTGGGGGGTGGGTGGCCCGCCGCACATTTGCTTACGGGAGTTTTCGACGGAGGGCTAGGTAGCCCCAGACCCACGCAGATGACTTTGTGCAGACCTGTCAGCTGAGGGCTGGGCCCAGGTCTGTTTGGAGAGGACGGGATAGTTTCGGGGCGGGGGGAGGGTAAGGAAGACAGCAAACTTTTAAGGAAAGGCGAGTTTTGATCATACCGGGTTGGGAGTTGGAGAATGCTTCCGGGTGCTCGGGGGTGGTTTTTCTTAGGGAGCGGATTGGGAGAGGGATCTGACAGCGATGTGAAGGGACAATGGGCATGGTGCAACAACAGGGCCTGCATGGTGGTTGCATGAAGGAAGTGTTGGCCGGGATTGAGCAGGGAGAGCTGCTGCTCTTGCAGGGCCTAGCCTAGCCCCAGACACAGGTATTGGTGTGGAGGGCGGCATCATAGCCTGTTGATGATTGTTCCATTAGGAGACTCTGGGAATGGTGACAACAATGAGGGTGAGGGAATGAGTGTTTAGTGGCGCTTGGCAAGCAGAGGACACATCAAATTATAAAGCACGGCGTACATAAAGGAAGCGACAGCTGAGGTGGTATCCAGATTTGGAGTATGTGTGGGGATACTTCCAGATTATTAAGCATAAAATCTTACACATGGAGAAATGGGGCTAGGAGCAGCTAAGGGATAAATGGCACCTCTTGGGCTTGCAGTGGGAAATGGGATACAATATTATTAAGGAGATGATGAGTAGCACAAACATAGGTTAGAGCGAGCCTTGAAATAAGTCAGTGAGCTGTCCGGCAATGGGTTTTGTCAGCCTATGAATTTGCTGGTGTTGGGGTGAGGAAGTTGGGTGGGGTAGGAAGAGCATTGACTCATGAATAGAAGTAGCAAGGATATTGAAGAAAGATAATGATGCATATGCCAGATCAGGAACAGGAACTTTGCTGGGGTGTGGAGGGCTGGAATTGTATAGCGGAATTTTTCGAGATATGGAACAATAATGCGTGATCCAGGTAGAAGCAAGGACTGGCCAAGATCATGGTCAAGGAGGGTCTTTTGAAGAGAATATGTTACGTGGTTTGTGAAAATTCTGCATGCTGGTGGCAGTTTGGATAAATATTGTATTGGAAATAATTGATGCTATTAACTAGCAGAAGCAGCTCCCAGCAAAGAAGTACTACTGTTCTGTAGGAGTACAGAAATACAGGCAGAAATATATATATATGGTTGTAAGAAGAAGATTTTCACCTACTGGCCGATAAAGTGATAGAGTGAGGGAGGGAACCTGATTCTATCATAGCAGAGTTGGATGGCATATTGGGAGAGTAAATTCAGGATTAGCCTTCATATTGGTAATCTAGATGGATGATTATCTCCCCTTCCCCAATTTGGGGAGAAAAAGCCCTCTTGACGGTTGGTTACAGTAAGAGATGCTTTTCCAAATTGGGGAACAGGAGGATAGCATTTGCCAGAATTTTGGATTGGGAGTTAAGCTGTTGTAGCTAATGGACCTCTTGATATAGCTCAGGATAGCTGAGTATGAGCCTGGATAGCTCAGTTGGTTAGACCATGGTGCTGATAACACTCAAGGTTGCAGGTTCAATCCCTGTATGGACCAGCTGCATATTCCCTCATTGCAGGGGGTTGGACTAGATGATCCTCAGGGTCCCTTCCAACTCTACAGTTCTATGATTCTGTGACTTTCTCATATACAGCAATAGTTTTCAACTTTTCCAGATGTGGGACCCACCTTTCAGTCAAACTGTGCATTTTCTTACCATACGTGCCATATTTGCATGGTGGAAGTGTTCCTGTTGCAGTCTACCTTAAATCAGATCACAATCCAGTAGTGGATCCCTACCCATCAGTTGAAGGCACGTGACTTAAAGGTTGAGATCGAACTTTTGGAGCACAACTTGATGGACTGGATTTCATAGTTGTTGCATTACTAAGTAATTGGTTTACTTATGAGTTTTGAAACGATATGGGCCTAACTGTGTGTAGTCTGGTTGTCTGCAGTTTGGGGCTGCAAGTTGATCTGGAGGCTACACGTCACAAATTCTCCAAGTGGGAAGAGATTCCCTGAATTATGGTGGTCATGTGGCAACTGACCAAGTGATTTCTTTTGTCAGCTGACCTGCCTGGAAGCAATAATGAGCCTGCCTATCAGCAAGGATTAGACAGGAGGGGGGAGATGAAATTCATAAACCCCCTTCTTGGGAAATTCCAGGATATGGTACTGAGAGGGATGCCAGTTCAGAAGTACAGCACCTACAGCTGAGGTGCTGCTGAGAAAACATATAGATGTTGTGGAGAGAAAAAAAGCTTTTGTTTATACATGCTTTCAGATGAGCTCTTCTGTGTTTTGACACTGTTGTTGTGCTGATACTGTACGTTATTTAACACTGGTTAAATTGTTTTGCACCAAAAGGAATAAAAAAATGAAGATAAATAAAAATGTACGTAGAAAACACAGCAGTGAAATATCCTCGGCTTGGTGCCAGGCTAAGCTTAGCCTGAAATGCCAAGTTAATCCCATGACCTTTCTTAGCCTGTTCTACCTGGAATGGGTGGAGGGAGAGGAAAGGAGAAGCAGGCACTCAAGTTCCACTGTTTCAACAGTATTTCATATCCTATTCTGTCAGATTTTTTAGGGATATGTTTGTGAGTAAATGTTCAATGCACTAAGTCAGTTTTGCACAATCCCCAGGATATTTTTTGCTAACTTTATTTTATTTTTTAAAATTTTATACAGAATACACAATAATTGTGTTTTGTGATCATAGTTTTAAGCATGCTGACAGTGAAAAGTGTGCAGCAATTAAACAGACTGAAGAAGGAAAAATGGACCGAGAATTTATTTTTTTAAGTTACTTTGTAATAATAATAATAGAAATATAAATCAGCATACTGTTTTTAAATTCTGAATGTTACATTTTCTTGATTCTGAAAGTACTTTGTCTGCTTCTAGATAAGTCCAAAGGAAACTGGCAATGGTTTCAGAATTTGTTTTTGACCAAGATTTATTGCTAAGGACAGCTAACTTCCATTCAGTAAAAAGTTGTCAGGTGGAGAACCAACATTTAAGAGTATTTATGCTCCATTTCGCTTCTTTCAAAAACGATTCCTTTTCTCCCAAATGGTTGTTGTTGTTTTGCTTGGTTTTTGTTGGAAGACTTCTTTTAAAAAGTGTCAGAACTTCCCTAGAAAGAGCTTCATGTAATTTTGGAGAAGTATTTCTTACTCAATCTTAGTGCTCTAAAATGTGAACAGCTGGCTCTCAATTTCTGTAGGGACCATTGCTCTTTGTTATACATTAACCAACTAAGAGGATTCACTTCCTGGAGTCATCTGTATTGGCGTCAATAATTGCCAACTGAATAATTAAACACTGTCCAGCATCTGCTTTGGAAGCCCACCACATTGATTGCTTGTTTTGTGGCGGAAATATGGTGCACCTCCATCATGAGTTCTGTGTATTTGTGTAAACCAGTTGATGTGGATAAATTGCTGTAATATAGTTTCATGAAGGGAAAAGTGTTCTTGCATGTGCAGGTCATTTTTGTGTACTGGTTGACAGAGGAAATTGACCTGCATATTTCTGGAAGTGAACACCTTTATATTCTGATACCGGTGCAGTAGCTTCCATGTCATCATTGCATGACTGATGGCTGTTTTAAAAAAGTAGAAAAGATTTACAGCTACTATTTTCAAAGCAGTTACTACAATTCAAAAAGAAGTAACTTAGTGAAAGAAAAATTAGCTAACTGATTTTATTTTATATATGACTTGTTACATCCTAAAGGCTCTGGGATAGTGACATAGGTTAATCAAGAAAATGAATTACACTGATTAAACTCCCATCTTGCCCTACACACATCCTATTTCTGGCCACAAAAAGTATATATGAGTGTGAAAATTAATAATACTTGCATTCTGCTGTGTTTAGGTTTGGCACTCCCTTCAGTCAACTGGTGAAACATTGTCAACTGATTGAAATCCAATGCTGTTTTGTAAAGAAGCACACAAAAATTCCTAGCCTGATAAGAGGCCAGCAGCCTGTGTTTCCCTGCTGGCTGGAGAGCAGGGGAAACCCTCTTTCCATGACCAGCATGGAAACGCAGGATGCTGCCCTCTTAGCAGGCAGCTCTTTTTAAAGTGTTCTACAAAACAGGTTGGTCAAGGAGGGAGTGGGCTCAGGGATGGGCTTTCCCCACAACTAGCATGGAAACTGAGCCCTCCTTTGCCTGTCCACTCACTTGTCTGTATGGAATTTCTAGTTACTTGTGACTACCAGGCTACTGTTTAAATACAAGGCTGGTTAAATAGCCCATTAAACCAAGAATACTATTCTGTCAGTACATCTTAATTTTTTGTTTGTTTGATCGTGTCAGCAAAGAGAGGAGAGTTCTTTGTCTTCTAACTTGCAGCAGTCTGGGGCAGATCTAGCAGCATAACAAAGCTTCTACTTGCCTCCTGCTATTCCCGCAGTAATCTCTGAACAGAAGCATAAGGGCTGCCTAGGACCACCCATGACTCCATCTTGCTTGCTGCAGGAACCATGGAGTTCCCTTTTTTATAGACTGACTATCTGCACTGTAAAGTTCCTTGTGAAGCATTTAGAAAGGCTGCAGTTATTGAAAGAATTGGAGGTATTCATTTGTTTTATTTGTATGCCGCTTTTCCACACACAAAAATCATGTTCTAGTGTGTAGTTAATTAACACTGTCCTGAACTCTTGCATCGGTGCAACATCCTGATTCAATTCTGATGTGGGCAGTGACCCATATTGTGACCCTTAGCACCCATTTCTACCCACATTTGCCTTGTTTAGCAGACTATAGCATCAGAGTGAAAGTAGTTTTTTTTAAGTAATTGAAATGCATGTGTGAACCACCATCTGGTGCTATACAGGATAACTGGATGTGTTTAAAGCCCATTACAAAAAAGTACATTTCAAACCATTATCCTAATACCTAAACAGAAATTTCTGTTAAAGGCCCAAGTTATTTCTGTGACTTGCCATCTCCCATTAGGCTACTAGTGCTTATAAGGAAACAACAAGGAAATTCCTAGTTGTTGAACATCCTGAAATTTGTCAACACTCTGCTATGCAACTATTAGTGACAGGCCACAAACCCTTAGCAAAGCTCTTTTTAGAAGAAATACCTTATTGATAACCTATTACTTCACCTATTAAATGGTACATATAGTTTTAGTTTCACTCTGGCAGAGTTAGCAAATAGTTGAACATTAATTCAGATGGTTGATGCCAGCGACCAAGATACTTCAAATAGTGAAGCGCTATAGCTTAGTGGAAGAGTTACATACTTTGCATTTAGAAGATTTCAGTTCCAGTCCTTGGTATGCTACATCTGAAGGGTTATCAGGATTGGGAATTATTCCTGCCTCAGACCTTGGAGAGCTGCTGCCAGTTGGACTAGTCAATATTGGACTAAATGAATGGTCTGCTTCAATACTGGACAACTTCGTATGTTCAGGTGTATGACTAGCAACAGCTATTTTTATTAGTTCAGAGAAGCAGACTGTAGATATCAATTGTTGCTCTGAATTTGTTAGTTGAGGTTAGAATTGCTTTTGTAGTTTCATGAATATCTGCTCTGGGAGATTGGAACAGGGGCCCTCTGGAATAGCGTGGGAGGTGGCTGCAAGGGGGAAAAAGGAAACTGGCAAAAATTATTCCCTCCCCTTCTGCCAGCTGGAGCCTTTTCTGTGTTGGAGTCCCTTATGTGAATGGAAGGCACCTTTCCTTTTGCAGAAAGGTAGCTTGGGTTCCAAGCCAGTGCATATTGGAACAGGTGGTAGCACTCAAAAAAAAGATGAGTAAACTGGTGCTTGGTTTTATAAACTATTACATGATTTGAGTGTGTATTATTTTCATGTTGAAGATTTGAGTAGCCTCTACATGCACACAGAACTCGGAGCTCTTCTGTGTAAGTTAAAATATAGAGCATGAAGTGCTTTGGGGAAGGACAGTGCCTAAGCACAGTTTGATTCTACGTTCTTACTCTGCAAGGGTTGACTCGAAGGCATGAAAATGTTTCATTTTCCCATCTGAGTGTATTGGAGCATGGAAGTTGAGGTGGGGTGGAATGGCATACACATGAATGGGGATGGCAGAAGGACAGAAAATAGTTTGATGAGATGGGTTATCTGCACTTTCATTATTTGGAGGATACAGTTAAGTGTAGCATCATTATTTAACATCTGTCCAGCACAGAAAATTCAACTGCTATTTAAGCCATTTAAGAGAATTTGGAAATCTACAGCAACATATCTGTTTAGTACTTGAAGATTTCTTGTTTGAAACTCTGACCCACAGAAACCAAGAAAAGACAAAGTATGTTGGGGTTTTATAGGTGTCATATACATTGGCCTGTTTAGATGCTGCATTCTGATTGTCCAAACCATGATTTGGAAGATTGGGAGTACCCTACGTGCCTTCCTGCTCCATCGTTTTCCTCCTTCCCTCTCACAATACAGTTCATTTGCACACAGTGCTAAACAAGACCATGGCATAGTATGAGGGTTCAGTGTGAGGACAGCATGGCTGCTGTGCTTCTCTCCCTGTCTTCCTTTTGCTGTGATTCAAGCCATGGTTTGTCACTTGGCATTTTGTCTACTCCCGGTCTTATAGTTGGACTTTCTCTGGACAAACCATGAACCGTAAGCCTAAGAACAAAGCTTGTTTGCAGCTGATGGCTTGTCTGGAGTGAGACAGACCATAAGCTTGTGTTTGGATGAACTGCTAAGCCAGATTGTAGCTGAACACACAGCTGGGCAACAGGAGATAGCAACAGAAGCAGCAGCAGGACTGGAAGAGGAGCAAAGTGATCATGATCTCCTGTCTTTGAGCTTGCATGTTCACTGTAAGTCATAGTTCCGCTTCACTTTTTGTGAAGCTCAGATTTTTCTCCTTCATTTCCTCTAACTGAGGCTTGTTGTGATGTCCAAATGAGATTATGGTTAGTGCTAACCGTCAAACCATAGCTTGCAAGCTCATTTCATGCCATAGTTTCAAATTATGGTCTGGAGGCTTATGTTAATAGTAGTTTTTTTTTAAAAGGTAGCAATTTGAGGCCATTTTGGCTTGCTTTCCTACATAAAATGTACTCAGAAATGGCAAACCAAAATAATCTATTGTTTCTAGGAATATTATTATAAAACACACCCAATTTAAAAATGGTACGAACAGAAACAAAGCTAACTTTTAAAGCACTGGGTCAGGTAAAAATAGAAAACTTACACATCAAATGTCTGTCTAAATAAAGAAGCTTTCACAGCCCACCTAAAACTGGGAAGAGAGGAGCCCTATAAGAGTTCTCCAGGAAGAGTTGTGGTGCCATCACTGAGAAGGTCCTGTCCTCAGTTTTGTCCAGTTCATGGGATAGAGAGCAGGCCATCTTTAAGATTTGGGTAGGTTGGTTCAGATAGGTGAAGGCAGTTCTTGGGGGTAAACTTATTCTGGATCATGAAGGGGGTTAAAAAATGAGTACCAGCACTTTAGATTGAGCTCTGAAAAGTATAAATAACTGTGGACACAGAGTCATCACACTATAATCTGATTGTTGAGCATGACCTAGGATTTTGGCAGCTGTGTTTTATGCAAGTTGTTGTTACTGATCTAGGCAGCCATAGGTAGAAAGCACTGCAGTAGTCCAGTCTGTTTACAACTAAGAGTATGAGCTACAGAGCCCAGGTCCATTTATTTCAAGCAATTGTCAGTAATTTGCTTGAAACAGAATGTAAGTACATAGCCATAAAAGATTCAACCATCAACATGCAACATAAACATATAAACAAAGCTTACATAATAGTTGGTGTAAAATGAGGCTGTGGCTGTCATTTCCAGCTTACACCATCTTATGGTGGTTCTCCCACTTACAGCACTTATGCTTGGATGACTGGGGTGATCGTAATGCATAGCAATATATGGAAACTTTTATTAATTTTATTAATTAAATTTATATACCACCTTTATCTTCAAAGGATTTCAAGGTGGTGTACATGATTCTCCTCCTTCCCATTTCATCCTCACGACAACCCTGTGTGATAGGTTAAGCTTAGAAATGGTGACTGACCCAAGGTTACCCAGTGAACTTCATGGCTGGGTAGGGATTGAAACCCTGCAGGACAAGAGGAGGGTGACCTTGGTCCCCAGCTTCTCCATAGCTATTGACAACATAGACCATGGACTGGGAATTGGAGGCATGGTGCTACAGTGGTTCCAGTCCTATCTACATGGCCAAGTTCAGACAGTGCCATTGGGAAAGTGCTTTTGGGCCCTTTGTCAGTTTTGCTATGGGATACGGAAGAGCACTATTTTATCTCCAGTGCAATGTAATATCTTTTTGAAACTCCTGGAGGCAGTCATTAGGAGATTTGGGGCAAAGTGCCATCAGTATTTCCCGTGACTGAGAAATTACCTTTTTACTTAATATGTTGGACGGTACTTATTTACATGCATCAATGTAGTTATTATCTTCACATAATTATTCAAACTTTATGTCATAAGTTGCTGAGACAATTTTGATGGTGGTATATAAATGTGAACAAAATGCTAAAATCATCAGCATCATTTTATTTTCAAGCTACATTAGAAATGGTTGCTTCCATGTCTTGTGGAAATCTATCATTCTTGTAATAGGAACCAGTGAAAGCACAGCAGCACATAACCATGGTAGATTTAGCTGGTGTTGTCCATAAGGAAGGAAATCCCTAGACTAAAGTAGTGAGAAAGGGAGACTATTAAGATAGTGTTTGGAGCATCTTAAACTAATGCCTGATAAAGCTCAGAATACCAATCACATAACTTTGATATCATTATACATTTAATTTTAAATCATATGTTAAAGTTCTAATTATAAATATTTGTGTTGGATTTTTACGTAAAACATAATCACTATTATTATTATTATTACTATTATTATTATTATTATTTCTATACTGCCCTTCATCCAAAGATCATGGGGCAGTTTACAATATAAAAACAAAAAATATATACAAACCATAATAACAAACAAAAATAATGCCCACCTGTATTATTATTTATTAAATTTCAGTTCTGAAGTTTGCAAAACTCTTTTCCAAGGAAATGTTTTATGGTGATCATACATTGGATCATGCTGGAAGGTTCAGCACAAGCAATAGGAAGTTACACAGAGTGTAGTTGAACTATAGAATTTACTACTACAAGATGTAGTGATGGTCACCAGCTTGGATGCCTTTAAAAGCCGATGGAAACATGAAGCTGCAAAATCCTTTCTTGTGGAAACTTACTGTTAGTCTATATTTCACATTTATTTTTTATTTTATTGCTCTGATATTTGCAAAATGGGTGTGTGGGTGATTTCAGATTGGTGAGCTGTTTATAAAGGAACATTTCTCCTCTGATTGCAAGAGACTTTCAACAGTGAAGTGTTAAAATGTATAAACAGTTAAATAAGAAGTAGGTCACACAATGAGAATAAACAGATGATTGAACACTATTCTTTCTTCTTCTGATATGATTAAATTATCACAAGCAAGAGCACATGATCAAATGTCTTATATCTGATTAATGTCAATTTTTTATGTACAGCGAGGTTATTCCCTTAATGAAGCGCTGCTTCAAAATATACTGGGAGTATATTAATAAAATTACACATACACACTGGAATGCACAGAATATCCTTTCAGCAAATGAAAATAACTGAGAATGGTGAAGGGAGTCTGCTTGTAAATTTGTTCTTCTTCCCACTCCTATCTCCCGTATGGTTCTGGTGAGCCCCCCAACTCTATGTAGCAGCTTTACAGGGGCATGAGGTTGTGGGGAGGAACTGATGAAAATACTTCCCCTTACGCTTTCAGGAGGATTGTCCCACTCATGGAACTCTGGATCTTAACCACCATCAATAAAGTAGAACTTAGATTTTTCTCTGTGTATAGGCAAAGGTTGAGTTATATGTCAAAAGACTAGAAGTGTAAATAAAAGTATTTGCTTCATTTTTCCTTGTATTTTGCTAATTCCTCTTGGAAAATAGCAGTGATTACCGATTCTGTGAAGAAAGCAATGATACAGTTTGCTATAATGATCATGTTCAGATAGCTACACCTATTTCTTGCTAGCAACAGCTATAATTTAAAAAGGCATTTTCATACTGTTTAGTTAGATGTAATTCTTAGTTAGATGTAAAGCTCAGGATTACATTTAACTAAGAATTACGGTACCTTTGTGGTCGTGTGCCACATGGCCAGCTTAACATTTAAATTGCATACCCGGTTACTGTCTAGTGTGCTACACTGCAAATGCAGGTGAGGCAATCCAGTTTAAATGAGATGATAGGTACGTTGAATGTTGCACAAGTACATTTTCCCCTATGTAATAATTTTAATATATATTCATATGTGTTTTTTGTGAGTATGCCCTATCTCATGTTTCCGTTAGGCTTGAAAAACTGTTCCTTACATTTTTTCCCAAGAGTGTAAGGTGGTTATTCTGGAAGAAATAGGTCTTAGATCATTGAAAAATGACTCTTGATGGGTCACAGGAGCTTTTAAAAAGGAGTCTAGTTCAGATAGCAATATCTTGTACTGCAATACAGAAATAAAGGAGTAATGTACTCTCCTAGACAACGTGTTATAATTTAGAACTGATCGTGTTTTAAGTGCCATTGTACTTGTTCTATTTTTACTGTGGAACTGGGCATTTTTGAGGCAGCACAATAGTCTTAGTGCCACGTTTGCCTTGATAAGTTAATTTATTTATTTATTTTACAGTTCATAGATGGGATGGGTGCAGCGTAACCTGTCATGCTGGAACTTGCAGGAGTGTTTGTTGCTGTGCCCTTCTTGTTCTTTCTTCTTTGTGTGCTTGGAGCAAGAGTATAAAACAGCAGCCAGCACCCTTCGTTTTCATTCTACTGTTCAGTTGGATCCAATTATTCAGCTTTATAATATCTTGACGTTGCTAAAAGTGCTTGGCTGCTCCTACATAAAAGAGTCTATCCATTTTGATGCCACTTTCAACATTTTGGATTTTTAAAATACAGTAGCTGTAACCCACCCTCGGACTTTATAGTGAAGGGCAGTTGAGAAAATGAATTAATAATAATAATAATAATAATAATAATAATAATAAGTAATAATAACCAATCATTTGGTAGATTGCACACATTAAGTTTCTTTCTGGTTACAGTTATTTTAGGACAGTGTTTTTTAAGAATCTCTCCTGCTGCTTACATTCCAAAAAGTCAGTTCCATTTTTTAATACTGTAAATCTCTAAAATTGCATGCACTTTCACTCCGCAGGTGCCAGTGTTAAGTGCATAGGTGTGTTTAAGACCTGCAAAATATATGTTAAAATGAAAGCCCTGAAATGCATTAGGTCTCTGGGGCTGCTGCAAAAATGCTCATCTGGGGAAGACTGAAGTGGGTGACAGCTGGTAGAAGATAATGGATTATTTCTTGGTTGGGGGAAGAGGAGGGGATGCATCCTCCCTCTCAGCCTCTTGAAATCCTTGTGGATGGATATTCTTCCTGGTTCTTGAGCGAGAAAGATGAAAAATTGTACAATGTTCACTTTAAAGCTTCTTTACATATAAGGAATGTAATGTAGACACAATAATATATTCACTAGATCAGGCATGTCCAACTCTATAGAGACTGCAATCTACTCCCAGTATAATAAAACTGGCAGTGATCTACCATAGTTGTTGAGCTTTTTTTAGAGGGGAGATACCAGAGTTGTTGAGCAAGTGGAAATAGCACCGGTGGTGGGAGGTCGAGATCGCTAAGGAGCAACCGGGCAATCTCTTTTTTTACTCCTGTGGTCGACCTGCAGAACCCTGGGGATCCACCTGTTAATTGGGTTCGGACATAGCTGCACTAGATATAACAATTTGTAGAATAAATTGAATTAATTCTACTCTAATAATACATACTGTCTAGGAATAGTTTTTTTGTCTACATTGAGCTAGGGTTGCTATATTTAAAAAAATGAAAATCCGGACACAAAAGATGTTGAGCAAAATTTCAAATAAATAAATATACCGGTAAGTTTTTATTGTGTTTTTAGGAAATTTGGCAAAAAACAACAAGACTTCCAATATGGACTGCCATACACCCGGGTTTCCCCCGGACATTTTAACCAATTTTTGAAAAATTCACCTGAATTCAATTTTTGAATTCAATTTTTGAATTCAATTTCTGAATTCAAGCAGCTCCTGCTGCTGCCGCGCCGCTGGAGCACGATTTCTGTTCTCATCCTGAAGCAAAGTTCTTAACCTGAAGCACTATTTCTGGGTTAGCGGAGTCTGTAACCTGAAGCGTATGTAACCTGAAACGTATGTAACCTGAAGTGTATGTAACCCGAGGTACCACTGTACTATAATGTTGCAGATAGTGTTAATATACTGCGTTTGGAAATTTAGCTTCTTCTTGTCCTCTTATGAAAAGCTGAAACTGGTCAGTTTTTTTAATGATAAATGTATAGCCAGCTTTCTAGGGAGACACTTCCAAGAAAAGCGTAATTGAAATAAGATGAGATCACTCATTAATCCAAAGCCCTTAGATTGGAAACTAGATAATATCATTACTGGAACTGAAAGCATCAAGTTTGTTGTCACACCTTTAGAACATGTTTTTCATTGGGGACAGGAATGAAATCTCATTTTATGAAGTCATGACAACAAAGGGCATTTGGTTCTGGAAATTCCATGTGGACATTATTTTGAATTGCCACCTGGGAGGCAGAAACTAAGAAAACTCATATAAGTATTGCACAACCTGTGTGTTGCCATCAACTTAACACCTGGTTCCCCCCTTCCAAATGCAAAATAATCTTTTTTTATGTACTTGTGAGTCCCTGCCCACAAGAAATGCTAGGAAGAGCTTGGCCAAACTAAAGTACTCTTTGAATGGACAAGGGAGAAGCACTTTGTACATGGACAGGAACATAGGAAGTTGTAAGCTGACTATTGGTCCTTCTTGCCATTATTCTGTATGTTTTAGTCTGGAGTTTTTCCCTAGCCCTACTTGGAAATGCTAGAGGTCAAACCTGGGACCTCCATGCAGAGAAATGATCTATCACTGAGCTGCGCCCAAATGAGTATCTGTATCGCTGTAGGAAGGCAGGAAAGACTAGTTACCTAATCCACACATTTTTAGAGTAACTGAGCAGTAATCTTAAGCATTAGTTTCATGGCGCTCTCGCTGCATTTTCCTAAACCCAATTTAATGTGAAAAGTTTTCTGGAACATGCAGCTAGGAACTTAGGAATGGCTCAGCTATATTCAAGTTCTGTAGAGCTTTTCTAGGAATGATGTGTATACTAAGAACAAGCTTTAGGGCAAATCTGTGATGCTCTAAAGAGACTAGTGCACAAACACACATGCAAATAACGTTGAATCCTACAAGCTCTTGCTGCCTTCTGATCATTGTGGAGAAGGAATTGTGGAAAACAAAAGAGGACAAGGGGAAATGTTGCTTCTCTCTTTCTCTGTGTATGTAAATTTGAAATAGATTAATCATGTAATTGTATCCCATTGCAATTCAATTAAAATCCAGCTGCATCCAGAACTTGTGAACTCTCATAATTATGCTGGCTTAATCGCAGCTGCTAAAAACCTGCTGAAATAGAAAAGTCTCATAATGCTTCCTGAAAATATTTGAACTTTGGCAATGTTCCCAAAAGAGGTGTGTTACAGAATAGTCCCTGAATCCCCTTCTCTGTCCATTTGAAGGACTAGCGAAAACAGAATATTCTCCATTTGTTAGCCATTGTTAAGAGATCAGGAGTATTCCTTACCACTTTTGGCTTAACCAGGGCTTGTTGCTAACCATGAATTCCCTCTTAACCAAGGTTTGCAGAACAGCTTCAAACAAAGAAGTTTTCCTTTCTTCTGATTGCACAAACAACAACAGCAACAGTATTTCTAAGCTGGGTGGTAGATAGCTTCATCTTCTGATAATTTAGTAAGTCTTTCAGCTACTTTCTGTGGCTCTTGCACATTGTAGTGAAATGTGTTGGAGTTGCTATCACTTTTTCTTTTTAAATACAGGCCTTACTTGTGCCCTCATCAGGAGAAGGGCAGCTTGTAGAGTAAATGCATGCATCACAGGGCCCTGTAAAGAGTTATGCTTAGCTCCGCATTATTACTATTTTTAATTGCATTTTCACAAGAACCAAGACCCCTTAGGCAATTCTGAATAATTTGTTCAGGATACTTTTCTGTTCAAAATGAATGTCATTGTCTTACTTTGTGAGTTCCCATTACAGTTCACTTTACAATAGAGTCTCTCTAGTTTGTGCCAGTTGTGGTTTTGTTTTCTCATTGTTTCTGCTAGCCAGGAATAAAAACCAAATGTAAAACGGTTGTCTTGTTTAGCTAATATATATTTACTTTGTATATTTACTGCAATGTGTAGTTTTTTTAAAAAAATGGTGGATGGTCAGTACTTGATATTCTGAAACATCATTTGTATTCCATGAAATCTTTTTATTTCCGGTGCCTGACTCTCTCTGTAAATCCCACTGCTAAAAGGAGTTGCACTAGGCCCCTATGTTATACTTTAGCTGCTGCATCATCAAAGAATGCCTACACTGGAATAGGGAGAATTATTTCCTGAACAATCTCAGACAATCCTGCAAAGACTTGAACCTGAAAAATCAGTACATGTTCATAGATGTAGCAATATTCCCGTAATGTTACATCTCTTCCAGCACATACGGCCTGGAGGACGTAATGTGTTAGCTTCTGTAGGGTACTAATGCAGGTTCAAAAAATTGCAAGGTGATTTATGAATGTAGGAGCAGGGTTAAAGCCTTTAACAGTTGTTAAGAATTGGGAAAGGGCGGTAACTCAGTTGTGCAGCATTTGACTTGTATTCAGAAGGTCCCAGGTTGAATATCCTCTGACTAAAACCCTGGAGAGCCACTGCCAGTCAGTGTCAACAATACTGAGCTAGTTGGGCCAATGGTCCAAGCTCAATATAAGGCAGTTTCCTATATGCCTGATGCTTGAGTCTGACAGATGGTGGAATGGAAAAGGATGCTCACAAACAAAGCGGGTTAATATCAGAAAACTATGGTGATTCCAAAGGATTGAGAGAAGGGTGTGAGATTGATTTGAAGATAGGTATTGTCAAACTGAGGTGGGACAAATGGAACTATTAGAAGAACATCCCACATGGTTGTACAGTTAGTGATTTCATGATTTCTTGTCCTGCTTTTTCACTCAGTGGAGCACTTAAGAAGGCGAATGTTATCAAAAGAACATAAAATTACAATAATAAGGTTCAAATGCGCAACAAAAGCACCAGCTATCAAACCAAAGCATCAGGGGGAGAAAAGATCACACAGATATGAGCTGAAAAACACACACACAAAGATTTTACTTCTGAGTGAGGTGAGACACAGCAGGCCTTCTCTTATCTGTGGTACAGGAGCTGACAGTCCTTTAGGTCAGAGGTTTTCAGCCTTTTTGAGTCTATGGCTCCCTTGACCATCTACATTCTTCGGCACCCTGTGGGGCTCAGGAGCCCACTTATGTCACCCCTTGCCTGCAAAGCTGGCAGCCTTTCAATCTTTTTCAAACACCCTCCCTTGTGGAGTGTTCCCTCAGCCTCCTCTCCTCTCCCCTCTCCTTTGGAGTCCTCTGGGCCCCCTCTTCAAAGAAAGGTGCCTCCTCACACTGCCCCACAGGGGCCTAGAAGGCACCCCCTGGTCAGCCCCAGAGGCATCATTTACCTGCGGAGCTTGTAGCCAGGGCTGCTGCAGCAAACAGCTGTGTAAGCCTTTGAGTGGCAGAGATGCAAGAGGGCATCAGAGGAGGGAGGGAAAGAAAGAGGGACAGAGGCCATTGTTGCCTGTGGCACCCCTGACCATCACTTAAGATACCCCAGGATGCCACGGCACACTGGTTGAAAACTACTGCTTTAGGTGCTCCCAAGCCTATTTTGTACCTGTTGCTTCTAGCAGAGTCATTTGTATTATGGGTCTTGCCTTGTACGGTAGGACAGCAATCTATACACATTTAACTTACGCACATTCAGCTTTATGCGCGTGGCAAAAAATACGTAAAAAATTGGAAAGGGGGTCAGGGTTCCAGGAAAAATGACTTTGACAACCCCACTGGCATTGAGCCCAATGTATTTTGACTATATGCCATTTTGGCTTTAGGCACAATCCCCAGAATGTAACCCCTACATAATTTGTCAGCAATTTATTAATTGCCTTCTGCACAATTGTCTTAAGGCAATGTACAATAAAAACAGCAACAAAGCTAACATTTCTTAAGGGTAGGCCAGCACGAAAAGCCAGAGAATGGTGGACAAACAAGCGCGCTCAGAAAGGGACACCACCCTTGTAGAACTTGCAGTTTGCTAAACAAATAAACAAAAAGTCTTGTAAAACTCTTTTTTTGGCCAACGTTCATCACAAATGTAAAAGTCCTCAATTGGAGTCTTTGGATAGCTTTCATCACCAAGTATTACAGCTAATAGCAGCAATGAGTGCCTCTCATGTGTCTTCATGGATTTTTGCCCAAGGCAGAGGTTTGACTTTCACAAACCTTTCAGTTAGAATTCTGTCTAAGGAAATGAAACAGGGTGTGGGACAGAGTTGAAGATTGCTGGTTGTATATTGCCATTTATTAAGAGAAAGTACAGTGAACAGAAAGGTGTGCCACACCTATGTGTTCTCTGATCATTGCTCTTTGGTAGTTATCTTTAGTAGGGAATAAGTTCTGTATAAAGCTTTAGACTGTGTCCCAACAGTAAACACAAAACTGCTTTTACTTTCAGCAAGCATTCCATAGAAAACTACTCCTTTAAGGAGGATTATTCTCAAATCTCATTGACTTCTAGTTTCAGATTTATCGTGCTGTGTTACTGAATTGTAAGCATAAAGTACCCACCTGTTCAGAAAGCCAATTATATTTATAGCACAGGACAGTGGTATTGTAATTCCCAGCTACTATAGAAAATCTGTTTAGCAATTATTTAGTTCTTTCCCATCTTTTACAAAAAGTAATTTTAATTTCGTTTCTCATTTAAAGTTACATTTCACAAAAAATATGAACATAAGAATTCCTCATCAGTTAAGTCCAGAAGGAATGCCAAATGCCTTATTATTATTAAAAGACTATCAGTGAAGTGTTCTCAGATTTCATTAATTAGAGAAAAGAACTGTTCAATATTAGCCAAATGTCAGATCCTAGGGTTATTGTGCTGTCTCTGCCAAAGCACATGGAGACAAGCCTCCCACCCTGTCTTCCTGGGCACTTGTGTGGTGAGTGTCACAGCCTGCACTAAGAGCTTGGTCTGGGGAGCTGTCTAAGTGGTGTCTGGAACTGATGCAGCAAGTTTTACTGGATGATGCGTCTGAAGGGATGTGAAACTCACCACAAGGATGCCACTCCTCATAGCAAACAGTGACATAGCAAACAGTTGTGGCTGGAGACAACTGAGGGTTCATTTTGCTGTTTTCTCTCTCGTCATGACAAGTGCAGAAACAGTATTCCACGTACTTACAACATACCTTAAAGTGCAAAACCAAAAGCTTTAAAACAGCTTTATTTATTTATTTAGGAGTATTTATACCCCACCTTTTAACTGAAGTTCTTGTAGCAGCTTACAATATCTCTAAAACACAATAAAATAAACAGCGATACAGCAGTCACTACCAGCAGGACAAAGGTAAGTTTCCCATTCCTTTGTTTCAGCACATGCCAATCTGCAGCTGAATCTTCTGGCGGTTTAAGCAGCTGTAAGTTTGCCCCACATGACTTCTTCACTAGGTGGGTGCTCTTTATGTCCCTCACAGCCCCAGGCCTCATGGAGGTGCTATACAGGAGGTGCTGGGTGGAGCAAAGATGTTACATGCCTTCCTGCTGAACCCTAGTGCATAAATCAACATAAGGTTTGGTGTTTTGACATACACAGGAGCTTGAGCCTCCCTTGGCAGCTGTCTGTGCCTCTGTAGGGAGAGTTGCCTGCCCTACAGCTTTGAAAGCTACTAGTAATGAGTATAGATGTACTGTTTATCAGATAGGTTATTAAACTAAAGCAGGTTATGGCAAGTTACAACGCAGTAGGTATATTGTCAGTGGCACGCTATGCCTCTGATACCCACAAAACACAATCAGTTTAAGGGTTTGGCAACCCGGATATAAAAAATTAAGTACTTTCCTCCTCCTAAATGTGAATTTTGAAAAGTCACTCTTAGCTCAGTTGTGGAGCTGCTTCTTTGAAACTGGGGCCTTCTGTGTTCAGTTGCTGGCATCTCCAGTTAAAAGGATCAGGTAGAGGGTTATAACAGAAGCAAAAGTTACTGCTGCAGATCTGTATACACTGTAGTGCCCTAGGGTGGACAGAGAGTTTGGTCTGGTATAAGGCAAATTTCCTATGATCAGTTAAAAACAACTGAAAATACTGTCCCTCACACACACTCTTGAGACAGCTGTGCAAACATTGGTGAGGGTTTCCTTAGTCTTGTTTGCAAATCTCTCTTAGATACTTTTTAAACAGTATTTTAAATTTATAAGGACTAGTTAATTCCTTAATTAGCATGAATGTGTCTATAGTTCACTCTGAAGATATTCTGAGGTCATTCAGTACAGTGATACTCTAGTTATGAACTTAATTCATTCCGGACGTCCGTTCTTAACCTGAAACTGTTATTAACTAGAGGCGTTCTTTCTCTAATGGGGCCTCCCGCTGCTGCCACGCCGCCAGCACATGATTTCCGTTCTCATCCTTGGGCAAAGTTCTCAACTCAAGGTAACTCTTCCAGGTTAGCAGAGTTTGTAACCTGAGGCGTTTGTAACTCGAGGTACCACTATAGTATCTATAATGCCGCACGGACAGCTCACATTGTCCTCTGTTGCTTATCTCTCACTTTATTTTCAAGTACTGTTGCAGTATTTTTTTAAGAATGCAGTTTGTTGAAGGTAGGCATGTTGGTTGCTTGGATGTAAACTGATGCAGTGACAGATCCAGGAAATCCTGATTCAGTTTTCAAGTTGGGTACAAAGAGAAATGTTTTTTTTTTCTTGGAAAGGAGACTCAGTTTAAAGGTGTATATCTTTTGTTCTGATTTAGTTTCCATGATACTTCCTCATAGCATACATTCTCTAATATGCTCTCATTTCACCCTTTCTGAAACCACAATAAAAGTTAAAATCTTCGTAGAATATCAATGAGCCCTCTATAAATTCTTTGAGGTTACAGCATCAACACTCAAATATTAATACCAGCTGAATGGTGAACTTGCATAATTTTGAGTACAAATGGTTCAATAAAGTATGGTACGTCACTGCAATGTCAGACAAAGTTGGGAACAATTTGAGAAACTTTGTTCTCCTTTTATTAATTAATTTAAAAGTATTTAAAGCCTTTTCTGTGTTGTCAGTACAGATCAGTAACACACAGACAGACACCCTACTCACACTGAGTGTGGGTATGGAGAGGGAAAGTTAACATCTCTTCAGTGTGATAGGCTTGATTGAATTTGTACCGTATGTAGCTGTATCCAGGCCACTTAGTAACATTACAAATTTAACATTCTGTATCACTCTGTGTAAACAGCATGGTATTTCCTAATTAGAATATAAGTGTGCATTTCTGATAGCCTCATTTCATTTGCAGAAATGATCAGAAGGTTAGTTTACTTTTCCTTATTAGGAAAGGGTTTTTTTTAAAAAATACTTAGAACAAAATTGAGGGAGAACATAATGGATACTTATAAAATGGTGTGGTGTAGAAAGTAAAGAGGGATAAATCACCCAGTCTCATCATGCAGTAACGTGATAAATTGAACCCAGATTTGAGATTCTAAGGTTCTTAAAATGAGCATTGAACTGAACATGCTTTCATTGTAACTTGAGTTGATGATGGTTGTACACACCAAAAGAAAGGGAGGATGCACATAATCCCATATCTTAGTCCCTTAAATCCTAATTTGGCTGTACTGTACTGTGAAACAGCCCATGGATGTCTCCTGCTGAAGCTGACGGGAAAATGTGAAAAATATGTCAGTATGCCACTGATTAACTACATGCTGGCAGTTAAGACCAGGGGTTGGCTATCACTGTTGCATATTAAGTCTAGGAAAAATGCCTTGGAAAATGATTTCTGTCCTAAATCATGATTTGCCTATAGTTTGATCTTATACATGCAGCAGTTTGAAATGGCAGAATCTTCAGGTTGTAGAATGAACTGTGCTACTTAAGGTAACATTTTAAATCTACAGTGGTGCCCCGCAAGACGAATGCCTCGCAAGACAAAAAACTCCCTAGACGAAAGAGTTTTCTGTTTTTTGAGTCGTTCCGCAAGACGAATTTCCCTATGGGCTTGCTTTGCAAGATGAAACGTCTTGCGAGTTCTTGCGAGTTTGTTTCCTTTTTCTTAAAGCCGCTAATAGCCGCTAAGCCGTTAATAGCCGCTAAGCCGCTAATAGCCGTGCTTCGCAAGACGAAAAGACCGCAAGACGAAGAGACTCGCGGAACGGATTAATTTCGTCTTGCGAGGCACCACTGTACTTCCGCATCTCTTCATTTCTCTCTCTCCCCCCCCCCCCAGCAAGTAAATAAGCTCATGAGGGGGAAATGTTTTAGCTCTGTTTCTGAGGAGTGAACTAGTTTTCTGTTTGCAGGGAGTCTTTCATGCCATGAAGTATTCGAAAACATCTTCTGCTTGTACTCTGGAGTGGTGCAATTCATACCACCATTTCAAGAGCCTACCACCTCACTCTTCTATGCTGAATTAATTAGGATCTAGACTACATTAATTAGGAGGCAAGTTAGTGTCTGGAAAATACCACATGCGCAAGACTTCCAGGTTTGTGGGTCTGTGTGCAGATGGGGAAAGTATTAACTGCAATATCATGGAACAGGCTGTTGAAGCATGCCTTGCTGGGGAAGCAGCCAGACCCATTAAGACCTACCCAGCTATCTAATCTTGCATACTGTGGATGCTGCTGTTCCACATTCTTAAAAAAGAAAGCACACTAAAATATGATGTAAACAAGAGGCTTGGCCAGTGATCTGAAGTATTCTGAAGGGGTAACAGTAGAAATCAAAGCATAAAGCAGCATTCTGTTCTTTGACTGTTAAACCAGAAAATATTTTCCCCTGAAATCTCTTGTAACTTTAGGTATTATCCCCAGTATTAATTAATTCCATGACCTCAGTATCTGTTCAGCATTCTTATCAGCCTCCAGAGTCTTCTCTTACAGCAGTTTTCACAGTAAAAATCTTAATGTGTTCCTGCACTGGTTCCTAAAGTCTTGCATATGTAGCTCTGGCTTGACTGCAAAACTCATTTTAAAAGTTATTTGCAAAGACTGCTCTCTGTCTCAAGATAGGTTGCATGTTGCACTAGGTTATGTTATTCCTATGTACATTTAATTCAATAGGAATGACTGTGCACTGCATATGAACAGCCCCTGAATCTGTGACCAACCTCTGAGGCTCTTCTCTGTCTGCTTCTTCCACAAGAGCTGAGGAGGGTAGCAAGGAGAGAAGAGACCTTTTCTATGGTGGCTTCCCGTTTGTGGAATGCTCTCCCCAGGGAGGCTTGCCTGACACCTTCATCACATATATTTAGGTGCCAGGAGATAACATTTCTATTCTCCCAAGCCTTTGACTAATTAAGCAATCTATGGCTTTTTAAACTGCATTTGTGGAAGGGGTGATTGTTTTGTTTGTTGTTATGCATTTTTGTGTTTTTATACTGTAACCCTTCTGTGATCCTTGGATGAAGGGTGATATATAAGTTTATATAGTAGTCAACATTATCATCTGTGCAATTATATTGATTCCAGTAGTACCCTTCTGGCTCACAAGAGAGCCTGAACTTTTAAAATGGTGTTGCGATAATGTTTGGAGGCTCCACTAAGTTTTACCTCCATTCTAAAGCTTGAAGAACATGTTATCATACTTACTGTTTTTGGCTCAAAGGGGGTGGGGATAATTTGCCCTAGGACACTAGGTGTTTAAAAACCCACTCAAAGCTATGTTACCAGTCATTGTAAGAAGAGTAATTTTTTTCTGACTGTGAACCAGACCACAGTGATCTGGTTCAGCTGTACTGCTAAGCCATGGCTTAGCATTAATGAGAATGAGTCACAGCAGCCTTTGGTTCCTGCACTTTCCTCTGCTCTTCTTGTCTGTATGGGTTGCAGCAGCGGAATTGGTCTGTGGGGCCCTTTTCATTCACCTAAATAAATGTGACTATGTCTGAAAATATGAGGGGAGCGCAGAGTGAGTTAGTTAATAACGTGTGTTATCTTATCACGAGACTCCAGATCTTCTGGTGGGATGTTTTGTTTTGTTTGCAAAAAGGTGTCATACAAAACTTTTGTCAATTGGCTTACTGAGAAGGAAAATCTGCACGTAATATTCTACCTAGTCAAAGCATTTAATAGAGTCTAAGGAGTTTAAATTAAACAGTGAGATAGATAAATTAAAATTATGAGCCTTAGAAATAAATGGCATGCACAGAGTACATCTGCCTCTCCAATAAGATATCTGTGTACTGAGTCCACAGCAGTAACTTCATTTTGAAGTATAAATACATTGGATTTTATCCCTTGCCGGTCCAGCTTAGAGGAGACCCATGACTAATTTAGGCTCATCAATTTCAGTGGGTCTGTTCTGAGTTGGACTAGCACTGGCTACAACCACATATGATATATGGAATCACTGCTGACATCAGGTGATTGGCAGGTCAGCAACCCCACCCATCTGTCAAATTTGACCTGACGGGTAGGGTGATACTGATCTAGCAAGCTAGAAAAGGTTCCCCACCCCTGCTGTAGGCTATTAGGCTTGGGAGAGAAATATGCTCAGGTGGCAACAGTTGCTGGATCCTAGCATCTTCCTGTAATTTCTTAGTTGTCTGTATTGCAAATTTCTTGCCAAGTGCCATTGTGGTAAAAACAATGGGCTGTACTTAATGCATATGTTCAGTTGTCATAATAGTGGTGCTATTATTGCTTTTGAATTGAGAACTTTGACAAGACACTCAGAGAATGCTAGACCTGTTGGCTAAGCTGCTGACTTCTGTGCTACACCCAGGGATAGCTATTGCCTTATTTTTGACACTTTCCTTAGCACCTTATTTTTGTGTGTTTGTCTGAGGGAGTGAATGTATGCCTATTGGAACATACACTATCTGTAATAGGGGAAAAGGCACAACTTGAAATGTTCTAAGTATATGCTTCATTCTATATTTTATGTGACTGATGTAATGCTTTAAGGCAATTTTTCTGGACGCTGATTTGACTAGTCTTTGTACAACACTGATCTGCAGCTAGTTTTTGTGAGAGATTAAAAGATAGTAGGTCAGGCTTGTTTCCCCCACTCCTCATGAACTCAACAAATTTCATTCCTAGAGCTCTCTGTTAGCAATCACTTCCTTAATACATCCTGCAGACAACTGGGGGGGGGGGGCAAAGTGTTACTCCTCAGAGGTCTGGATTTGGCCCTGCAGCCTCTGTTGCTATTTCTAATGTAAGGTAACATTAGAAACAAAAATGCTGATTGAAACTGGCTAGTGTTAGCTTGTAAAGAGCTGCATGACTGGTTACTTGTATCAGGTAAAGAAGATGTTCAGGTGGGGAACTTTTGTAAATTAGTGATAACATGCCATAGGTTAATAATACCTGCATAGGTGAGATGGCATTCCAGTAACCTTTGTGGGATTACTTGCAAGGTTGGGCTATTATATAGACTTTAATTTGTGATTTTCTCTTTATTTTCAACAGCGAAACCATTTACTCAGCTGGTGAAAGAAATGCAGCTTCATCGAGATGACTTTGAAATCATAAAAGTAATTGGGAGAGGTGCATTTGGTGAGGTAAGATGCCATTGGAGCTCAGTTTTAGATACATTGTCTATTGTAAGTTTTTGGTAAATATACTGCATGCTTTACTTTCAAACTGTTTCTCTTTTAACTATTTTTAGTTCATTGGACTAAGTGAACTCCAAACCACAAAAGCTTATGGCACAATAAAATAGCTTGGTTTTAAGGTGCTTCAGGAATCTTTATTGTATTTGCTAAATTAAACCAATTCCCCCACCCTTTTAGAATATTTAACTCTATAGCTGTCATAGCCTAGGGGTGAACAGTTCATACATATAGGACTGAATCCAGTTGGGTCCTTCATTTTGTGGAAGGGCTTTTGATCCAGTGGAGGCCTCCACTAATGGAAGAGGAGAAAATACAGTTTTCACTGATTTTCCTTGCAACCCTAAAAATCTGCTCCAGAGAGTTGAAAGACAGCATGTGCAAGAAGAAGGAGAAATTGGCAAAAAATTCCCTCCATCCCACTTGTTGATCAAAGATGCTTCCATGACACTATTGGGTAGAACCCATAATGTGTTGGAATTCCGGCTAGCCTAGCATGAGGCAAAAAGTTTGTAGTGGCTAGTGATCTGAATTGTAAAAGTGCACAGGAAAAAATGTTAGCTTTTATTGATGGGGATATAGTGTGAAAAATGTAGAGAATTATTTGTTAATTAATTTCTATTGAGGCATGATTTTGGAAATCACATCTAAATATAGTAGCTAAATTAGCAAAGTGATGATAAAGAGACATAATGCATAATGTTTAGTCTTGAAGATAGCGTTCTGTTAAATCCAAGGGAATGTATGCTTCCATGATAAATGGGAGTGGAATAAATGTTTTAAGAGCCTTCTCAGTCATATACAATACTGTGAGATTTATTTTGGTAAAAGGGCTATCTCGGTGTCTGGGCAAGTACTTCTGCCTTCTGAGACAGCACTTAACTAATTGTACTGGATCCCGGGAGAATGTTGCATGCTGAAAAGAGTTCAGGGTGTGCTTTGGATTCATCAGCAGAATCTGGCTGCAACTGCATAATCCCTTTAGGTTCTTCCTAGGCTTGTGTATGTGAACTGGGAATTCTCATTTCCTACCCTCTTCCCAATAGCAACTCATTACAATACACCAGAAACTGGTTTTGAAGGTTGCTGGAGCTACCACTTGCTAGGGAAGCATGCAGAGCTGCTTCTGAACCAACAAGGGCATTGCTCGTGCAACTGGATCTCTTGCATTGGTATTATATTTCCATGGGAGATTTAATCATTGACCTGCCTCAGCATCCTTGATTTCTGGAAATATAAGCTGAACGGAAAGAGAATTGAAAATTGTGTATCAGTGGTATTTCCAGTCCTAGACCCTGAACTGGAAGTCCAGCCTTTGGTTAATAGCCTTTGTTTATTGCAGGGTATTGGTTCCCTGACAAATCAGGTCTTTAATTTATAAAGGGACATTTCCAGTCCTTGGGAACACTTAGGAGGCTACCTTATACTGAATCAGGCTCACTAGTCCATCCAGCTCAGTCCTGTCTTTACTGATTGGTTCTTCAGGGTTTCAGACAGGGACCCTCTCCTCCCCAACCTGGAGAGGCTGGGGATTGAACCCGAGGCCCCCTGCATGCAAGACAGATGCTCTATCACTGAGCTACAATTCTACGCTTCTAGTGGTTTGTAGGAGAGACCATTATACTCTTCAGAGTATACTCTGTGTCAGTAGTCTAGGAATTTTATTTTTTGATTCCCTCTATAGCATTTTGCAAACTTAGAACAGATTATCTAACCTGCAGTGGCACTGTTCTAAATAAGCTATTACTATGTCTTTTAATTCAGACCATTACATTGTATTTTTGTTAGATAAAAAGTTTACATAATCCTCAGAATGGGAAGCTCAAGCCTTTGTTTAGAAACCATTGATTACAGCGCTATTGAATTAATAAAAATGGCATTTTGGGTTGTGGAATGATGTTGCTTAATATGGTGTGTCTAAGCATGTTCTCGCACCCTAACAGTCATATTTGCTGTGATGATGATACTGATTTTGCTTTGGTGTTCTCCACATCAATGTGCAAAGGACAGGTGCAAAGTGCAAAGGACAGGTGTAAATATGTAGGACTGTTAAAGGCCCAGGTGCATGCTCATTGCATGTTTAGGAAAAGCTATAGGTAATGATGTGCTGCTTTGGCTTCTGATTGGTCAATAAGGGAATGGTCTCTTTCTGCCATGTGGATGAAGAGTGGTTGTGTTTACCTAACTTTAGGTGCTATAGTGTTTTAGAATGGGCCCCTCTGGGTCATCTGTAGAAGGTGACATGTGTGGTGCTGTGTTTTGGAAAAGAGACTAGATAAAGGAGAAAATATTAAGAAGAGACCACAGTTACCTATACTATCAAGATATTTTATTTCTGCTTACAATTGCATGGTCTATTTTTATAATTCAGTGTGTAGAATGTGTCCTAGAAAGAGAGGATATGCTTCAAATTCATTTAAATAGGAACCCATCAATGAAGCAATCAGTCAGTGTTTTGCTCCTGATGTTGCTGTCTGTTCTAATTTGGTGGAGTTCCTGTATCCTATTTTAGAGCTTTACCAGCTCCTGGCTTGTATATGGTGTATGTGTTTGTCTCTCATATAGCATTTGCAACAGAATATGTTCTTTTTCTCCTTGTGTTTTCTCTCAGTGGCTTCCGATTTGGGGAAAGGAACAGAGAAAAACATCCTGTTATTTTACATTTCTGTTGTTTCCATTAATTAATTGAGTGATTACCTATTTTATTATTATTGATGATAAGATTTTTAAAATAGCAGAACATTTAGTTTTGATTTACCTTCCCTAACCGGGGTGGGGGGGCGGGGGGGACAGTCCTCCAGCTGATCCCTCTCCTTGATTGGAAGAGGTTTTGCATTGTAACTCTGCACTTAAGTTCTGTCCACAAACCCAGGAAGACGGGTTTTCTTGCTGTACTTTAATCTTTAATCTGGAAAGCTGTCTTAACATCTATAATCCATGGAATCTTAAATAGTTTTAGTTTATTAGAAATTTATTCAGCCTGAGAAGTTATTTTAAGGATTCCTCCAAATATAGTACATACAAGTTAGATATATTCTGAAATGCAGTAGAACAGTAAAGCATGTTTGTGAAAATGCTCAGAACAGTTTTAGATTGTGCAAGTGCTAGTTTACATTATATAGCTTTCTTAATTAAATAACCTTGTTCAAAAAGGCTGAAAATTAATATGTATTAATATGATAAGCATTTAATGAAAAGGTTAGTGCACCCATGTTGGCTTTTTCAGTTGCTAATGTCACACACCCCCAAGAAATATTTCAGAACAATTCTTTATATAAATAAGCCACTGAAGCTAATTTTAGGTTTATTGGTGTTCATTATTTCATGGTAAAGGCAAACAAATTCATTATATTAAAACAAAGAATCATGCAGCAGCTCAAATACATAAGGTGGAATTCAGTGTAACAAAGGTCATTCCATCAGTGCAAACATTTCTGCTTGCCTGACAGAACAATTTCCTCCTTCATCTCTCTACACACCATTCTGGGGCAGTGTTCGAAATTAGCAGGGCACCAGGTGCACTTTGCTCCTAAAGATTTTCCATTTGTGAGCACCTCAAAAAGTCTGGGTGCCATTTTTTTTGCGTTTGGCTGACACTCAAGGATTAATGAAATGTATGTGCTTTGAAGCCTTGAAGTATATGTTAAGGATAGATAATATGTTAAGGAGTTTAACAATAAAGAGTAGAGTGTTTTGAAAAGTATGGTACCAGTATTTTTATTGTAAACACCAAATTAAATATGTATTAACAATTTAGGCTACAAATATGACATTAAAATGTATCACTTTTGTGAATTGCATATTAATCCATGCTTACTAAAATAATAAATAAAAAGCCGGCTACTAGGCATTCTGTTTTGGTGCCCACCACCCAGGTCCCAGAAGCCATTTGGCTCCTACCTTTTCTACTCCAGTTTCTAACACTGTTCTGGGGGTACTCCTGACCCTCCAGAGTAGATTTGGGGGGAGTTGTGGCGGGAAGCAACATTGCAATAGCAGAATTCCTTGAGCTGGCTTCTACTGATAGTTGAATCTGGTCCCTGTTTTATGCCATAAGAAAATGTTAAGTGTTTCAACGCTCAAAAGTTTGTTGCAGCAAAAACAACAAACAGAACTACCCCCTCTTGTCACCTGTGTTAAACAATACAGCCTGATCTTCACATTAAAGCACAATGTTCAATTTACACCTAGTATTTGGGCTTGCTCCCATAAGTTCTAAATATTATTTTCTGGTACAGAGAGGATTTGGGTTTTTGGTTGTGTGATGCAGCCATGGCTCCACTTCCGTAAAAGCCACAGCTGCTTTGTATTGATAAGTCCATTGTGTCACACAAAATGGACAGGGACATAGAGGGAAAAATGACTTCACATCTATTTTTTCCCTATAGAATAAAGAGCAGAATGGTTCTTCCCTCCCCAAAAGAACTCTCATATATTTTGTGAGCAAATAAGGACACTTAGTAGCTGTTGTTTGCACATTTTAGTCTAGACAGTGAATTTTATTCAAAGTACAGGCAGCAGCTTGGTTGTCAGTTTTAATGATTAATGACACGCGTATGTGAAAAATACTATATTTTTCAAAATATCAAGCAGCAGGTTGGATTGAACAGGGAATCATATAAAGGGATAGCTGCCTTTATAGGTTATTTATCACTTCTGCAACAATACATTCCATGCCTAATATGAGCAAAAATCCAAGAGTTCAGTATAGCTAATCATTATTCCATTTTCTCAGTATGAAGATAGATTTAAAAATGCTTTTGTGTTTTCTGGATTGCTTTTCAGTGGCCAGAAAACTGATAATGAACCATGCAGATCATGCCTTAAGTGCCCAGTCACAGTGCAAAGGTGTAGTTCTTTCATGAATGAGATACTGATGAAAATTCTTCATGTAATCTAAGCAGTAATGACTGCCTGATCTAGTGCCCAGATTTAGACAGTGGCGATGGAAGATGTACTGCTACATTTGCTGTTGCTGCTGAAACAGGCATAGGGCATCCATCAATTTCTGTTTTGTTTTAACCTCTTGGGTCCTAAAACCTTATTGTGCATAACCCCTTATCCCAACCCCTTACAGTAACTTCTTCTCTTGTCTTCCTATGTTGGAATTGTGTGTGTTCGAAGAGGGATATAATTCCACGCTCCTCAGTTGGTTTATAGGCAATAATCTTAATACAAAGGAGATACTCCTCATTCAACTAGATTAATGCCACCTAACAAAGTATATGAGCTGTCTGGTGACAACTCACAAATTTGGGGGTTAGAGTTTGTATAACAGCTAGGTCGTAGGACTGAATTAAGAATATACTACTGACCCACCGCATGCACTAGTGCAAGCTAGTCAATACAGCACGCTCAGTTACAGGCAGCCCCTGTTTACACAGGGGTTATGCATACGGCGGTGAAATCATGTATAATTGAAACCATAGAAAAAGCCTGCAAGCACCCTATCCCACCCCTTTAGTGATGTTTCATTGACACCTTTATGACGTTTCTGAGTTCAGCATGATGCATGTATACATGTTCGCACACAAATGAACATATGTAAACGGGCTGCCTGTATAACATGACAGTATAACAGGAGCAAAAGTTTAAAAAATGTAAAATAGAGAAACACTGAGACATTGAGGCTTAATTCTTGGCCTTTCTGGATGATATGTAGACCCATTTCAATCTGGCTTCAAGTCTGGCTTTGGAAAAGAGACAGCTTTGATGACCTACTCCAGAAACCAGACAGCTGGGAGTGTGCCTTTCTTGATTTTGTTGGCTGTTAGTGCCTGTCATTGATTATGGCATCCTTCTGCATAGCCTGGCTGGGCTGGAACTTAACAACACTGTTTTATGGTGCTTCCATTCTTTTCCGGAGAGGCTGTTCCAGAAAGTAGTGCTGGCGAACTTCTACTCATTCCCTTGGCCTGAGGGAATCTCTATGGGATTCTTATGTCTTCCATGTTGTTTGATATCTATAGTGAACTGCTGGAAGAGTTTGAATGAAGATTTGGAATTGGGTTCCGCCATGCAGGCCAGACGGAGGTGCTCCTCAGTATTTTGGTGCTCCAGAGGAGTCCATGGGGTCCAACAGGGCAGCCTGGTTGCTTCAGCACCACAGAGAGCTCCGATGGAGCAAATCGCTCCAATGAGGACTAGAGGTCACCTATGATTGTTTGGGCCTCTGCCTCCAGTTTTCCTCTCCTGTGGTTTTTGTTTTGTTTTTTAATCGGGGGGGGGGTGGTACTCAAGGGCACGCAGTACTGGCATCCCCCCCCCCTGCTTAAAAAGTGAACACTTAACTTTTACAACTTCATGGTGAGTAGCGACACCCATTTTTCTAGAAAAAAAAAGCACTGCACTCTACTAGTTGAAAAACTTCAGATGCAAAGGTCCCTGCTCTGGTTCTATGGACTCTGGTCATATAGAATCCACACCAGCAGCCTTGAACTTAACATCCTCTGGTTCAGAGGGTCTCCGATCACCACTGTTGGTCTCAAAAACAGAGTTGAGTTCCTAAGTCCAGTGATCCTGATTTGGTATCCTGGACTCTAGAATAATGGCATTCTAGTCAGTAGATTTACAATGTTATATGCGGCAGGAAGCCAGGGTATAAACATTTGAATGAATAAATTTGCAAGGCTAGGGAGGGATAAAGGAATATAGTTGGAAACTTCTAAGTAGCTTTTTTATTATGAATTGTAGTATTTGGATTCCAATGCATTTCGTTGTTTTCTATTGGCACACACAGTTGTGGCTTCTGTGTTTTAGAACTTAGCTCTGCAACCATGAAACCTAGATTTTAAAAAAGAAAAGTCGTATACCAGATAAGCAGTTGGTATTAGAAATTTCATAGAATAAGCAGCTCTGCTTATAATTGTATGTCAGCAGTAGTGAAAAGCTAAACTAATCCTACTTTCTACTGCTCTTTAGGACCTGCTAGTGCTTGCTTCACTGATTTCTAGAAAACGTGCACTTGTCAAGGTTCCAAGACTCATTACAGTGTTGTAATGAGTCTCCCACTTAGCTGCCCAGATTTTAAGATAGTGTGTGTGTTCTCTCCCAAAATTAACTTCGTTTAGTAGAAGTGATGATACTAGCCTAGGAAATAACATCATTGGGGGAGGGCTGTAGCTAGAGGCAGAGCTACCCTGAGTAGTAGAACATCTGTCTTGCATGCAGAAGGTCCCACATTCAATCCTCAGCATCTCCTGGTAGGCCTGGGGAGAGACTTCCTGTCTGAAATCCCAGAGGGCCACTGCCAGTTAGTGTAGATAATACTGAGCTAGATGGACCAGTAGGTCTGAGGCAAATTCCTATCAATGATACATTAGCTGTAGCCAAAGGGTTCCGCCCACCCCACCCACCAATGTGTCTCTAAAATGCATTTCATTGAAGAGCAGTCTCTTCTCTTTTTGTGACAGGACATCCACAGTTGTTTTTATTGAGCTATGGAATTTAGGGAACTTCCACATTTCAGGTCAAATTTATTTGGCCTTCTAACCCAAAGTAGTCTCTTGCATCACTTGCTTCCTGGTGCCTTTTAAGTAAAGCTGTTAGAGATGAGTGAAACATCCTTTAAGTCCTGAGTTAGTAACTAAGTTTTAATTGGAATCATATTTTGAATAAAGCAAGAGATGGAGAGCCAGCAATGCTGACTTTGCTGTGCAATCCAAAACAAAGGCAAAGAATTATTGAATCACTTCTTTATCAGCATTAGCTGTGACCAGAAAGGCTGACCAAAAGGCTGACCATTCCTTCTAAGACAAAGGCAAAGGAATCCTAGAAAGAAAGCAACATAAAACATGTTTCCTTGCATCCAAGGTCTATGCTTAGAGCCAGATTTGAATCCGTGGGTCACAACTTGCTTTTCTCTTAACCTTTTGTCTGCTTTGCTCATTTTAGAGGGGTGCGTGTGATCACTTTTATTATAATTGAATTAATCCAGAATAACTTCTCTGCGGTTGTGCTCAAGTCAATAGTGTTAAAGAAAATTCTCAAGTACAATTTGCAAACATGGAGCTGGAGCTGGAAAAATCTTGGGCATTTAAAAATTGTATGCTGCCCTAGGATCTAGGAGTTTCCAGTGCTTTGCCAATCTGACACGTGCTGAAGAATGGGGACAGGTTCATAATCTCTATGGCTCTTTCAGCCACCTAAACTGTGTATGATAGAGTGATAAAGGTTGCAGATCCGTATTAGGAGTGTGCACCCTAAGCTTGGACAGATGTTTTCTATTGGTCTTGCAGTAAAATCATGTTGCTACTAAATACTCACATATAGGTCATTACAGTGGTGCCCCGCAAGACAAATGCCTCGCAAGATGGAAAACTCGCTAGACGAAAGGGTTTTCCGTTTTTTGAGCTGCTTCGCAAGACGAATTTCCCTATGGGCTTGCTTCGCAAGATGGAAACGTCTTGCAAGTTTGTTTCCTTTTTCTTAACACCGCTAATACAGTTGCGACTTGACTTCGAGGAGCAACTCATAGAACGCAGTGTACATAGTAGCCTTTTTTTGAGGTTTTTAAAGACTTTGGTGATTTTTGAAGCTTTTCCAAAACTTCTTTTGCAGCCATTTGGTAAGTTAAGCTTTCAAAACTTCTTTGGGGGGTTTTGGATTTTGGGTTGGGGTGTTTGGAATTCAAGGACTTGGTGTTGGGGAGGGGTTTGCAAGAATCTGGAAGCTTGTGTGTTTTTTTTCTGCATTTTTATGATTTTCTGTGACCATTGGGACACTCTGCTGTTTTTTTTAAAAAAATTCTGGATTTGAATTTCTGTGTGCTGGGTGGCTGGGGGAACAGTTGGGGAGGGGTTTGCAAGAATCTGGAAGCTTGTGTGTGTTTTTTTCTGCATTTTTATGATTTTCTGTGACCATTGGGCCACTCTGCTGTTTTTTTTAAAAAAATTCTGGGTTTGAATTTTGAAATGCTCTTTACAGTATGTGTGACTTTAAAGTGCACTTAATAAACTCTTGTTGTACCAAATTTGGCTTTGTTTGGACTTTTTTTGACCATAGGAACGCATTAATTGATTTTCAATGCATTCCTATGGGATTTCGTGCTTCGCAAGACGAAAAATTCGCTAGACGAAAAAATTCGCGGAATGAATTAATTTCGTCTTGCGAGGCACCACTGTATGTGCATCTCTTTCAAATACTTGTTTAATTTGGCCCCCTTCAAACTGGTGTCTAATTTGTTTCCTTCTAGGGTACTAGCTCTTGTTTTATGTGTGGTTACTCTGCATAAACTTCTTATTGACTAGAGGAGCAGTGTGAAATTTCCAACTAATTAGGTCCGGCAGGCTTCCCCATTTGGCCCCAAGGGAATTTTGGCTAAGCCATGCCCTCCTGCCTTACACCTGAAGTCATATATATCATCAGGAGTGGTGCAGGTAAAGGTGCAGCTGAGCCAGAAGGAGGTGTGCAGGTACCTGCAAAACCTTATGCAAATTGCTGTGTACCAGGCTTCACAAGCTACAATAACCAGGTGGTTTCTTAAGATCTAATGAGCAGCTAATCGTCAGTGATTTGTGAATTATGCCTTTGCCAGTGTGGTTTGATTTCAAACCGTGCATGCAGAAACAGGCCACTTGTCAATATCAGGTGCTTTACAGCTGGCCCACAAAGGGTGGTGGAAATAATTACCTGACCTGCTGGCCAGATCCAGCCCCCCCCCCCCCGCCTAGAGACATAGGGCTGGATCCAGTTGTGCTTTCCTGTTTGCAGAAGGGACTTTTATCCAACAGATGCTTCTGCTAATGCAGGGGAAGATGATTTTCATCAATTCCTTCTCACTATAGCAGCCCCCTGTACCCTGAAAATCTATTCCATAGGTCGGGAATCCTTCCAGAACCTTCTGGAAGTGGTTCAGGGGACGGCAGGGGGAAGTGGGAATCGACACACACACACACACACACACACACACACACACACACAAAATCTCCCCCAATTATTTCTTTATAAGAATTCTTCACACCCTTCACCATAAGATCCCAGGGTGGGCTTCACCAATATAATGTTCAGTTATTAAAACAAAGAGAACAATTACAGTTATAAAAATAAGTAATGCCATTCCAACCAGAATGGTGTCTTCTGTTAGTGGACACTTCTACTAAATCAAAGACTCTTTCATGAATGGAAGGACATAATAATATGCATCCCATAGTAAACAAATACTGCTGTTTTTGGTCAGTAATGTGCAGATGGTGGCCATTTTGTGCTGGGGTTCCGTTCCTGACCATCACATTTGTCGGTGGAGCGTGTATAAGCATACCCTGCCCCATTAAGCCTCCTTTCGGGTCCAGAAGCACCCACATCGGTGATCGCGCCTGAAATGGTCGTTGCCTGTACAGTCCCCCCACATCTTCCTATAAAAGGCTTCCCATTTATTTGTTCATAAGTATTTGGTGACACATGACCCACTGTTTACCCTTAGGATGTGCAGGTTTGCATGTGTATATTTCCCAGTAGTCCTTATTTAAATATGAAACGGATTATCAGTAGCATGTTGATCTCCCCCAAATTTACAGTAGGGTGAAATGTAAGATGACATTCATATTGTGATATTCTTTCTTCATCAGAAAATGTATTTCATTTCAGAAGTTATCAATCCATTCAAAATTGTTAAAATGTCATTGACTTCTTTTTTTTTAAATTCAGGTTGCAGTTGTTAAATTGAAGTGCACGGAGCGCATTTATGCAATGAAGATTCTAAATAAATGGGAAATGCTTAAAAGGGCAGAGGTAAGTGCAGTATTTCCAATTCATAGATTTCTTTTTTTTTAAAAAAATGGCATTAAAGAAAATCACAGTGAACTTCAGCCAGATTAGAAAGAATTACTGCATGAGCATATAGGAGCTTGATTCCTCCCTGCAATCCCCCCCCCCCAAAGTGAGCTGCTTTAATGCAATCAAGTCTGACAGTCCCTTCGAGGCATCTGTTGTTCTCAGCAATACTGTGTATTCGTTTACCAGACAGTCTGCCCTAGTTTTTTTTACCATGAATTATATTGGCCAGATTTTTGTTTACTATAAAACCAAGTTAAAGACTACATGGAGGCTTCAGATTTCAGTTGCTATGACATACAGAGCCACATGCTAAATGCATTATTCAAGACAAAGAATGTAAGTTTGTGCAATTTGAAAGTCAAGTCTTCAAGGAGGATAGTTAATTGAGGGAGGATTTTTTCAGTTCCTTAAAAAAGATCAGAATGTATTTGTGAAAGGAAAACACTGAAGCAGTGTTGATCCCTTAATAAATGTAATACTTGGTTCTGAAATGTTATAAATGCCTTGATAGACCGTATACGTACCTTTAAAAAGACTGGGACACAATATGCTGAATAAAGCATCTTAGCATAGTACGCATCACAGTAGAATCAGTGAAGAATGCATTAGCAAAAAACTAAACAATGATGATTTATAACAAGACATATATGACATTTAGCAAGAACTCTCAGAAGTATAAAGGAAACTTGGTTGCAAAGTTCACATACAAGTCTAGTGCCTAGTTTTCATTAGACAGACATATATATGACTGGATGCTGCCTTGCATTGTAGGGATACCATATCCAGTCTCTGGTACAATACAACCTTTATCAATCTAAGAGTTTCATAGCTCTCCAGTTCTTTATTTACCACTTTATTTTTCACGTAAGAAGTCCTGGGAAATAGTTTCTATTCTGCACACATAGATATAGTCCTAGCTGCTGCTAGAAATCTGTCACTTCCCTATTCCATGGCTTGTTCAGATGTTTGAAAGGAAAATGACACCATTTCCTTCCCTACCCTATATGGCTTGGTTTTGCTATCTGTTGAACGGTGCTAGCTCTTTTTCTTACTACTACTACTACTGTTGTTGTTGTTGTTGTTGTTGTTGTTGTTGTTGTTGTTGTTGTTGTATTGTTATATTTATACCCAGCCACTCTGGGTAGCTTATAAATGGTTTTGCTGTGTTCATGTGCCCTCTGAGGGAAATAAATATAGAAATAAAAATTCTGAACTAGTTAAGAAGCTGTAACAGACCCATTGTATAAATGGGTCAGTTGGGTATGGTTAACGAGTTTTGTGATCAAAGAAATGTTTGACTTTGTAAAACAAAAATGGAACTTTTACACTGCAATTTTTTAATGATTTGGTGGTTTATAAATATTCATAGAATGAGATACTGAGCCTTTTGGACTTGTCTTGAAATGTTCTTTTGATATATTGTAAGTAGTAAATGGTTCCTTGCTATGAATATTGGTGTGTTGCAGAATTGGTGTAAACATGTGTTTGCACCTATGTTTTCTGCAAAGATGTCAAATATTTAAAAGAACTTCCCTTTCCCTTTTTAGACTGCTTGTTTCCGAGAAGAAAGAGATGTTTTGGTGAATGGAGACTGCCAGTGGATTACTACATTGCACTATGCCTTTCAGGATGAAAACTATTTGGTATGTGAAAACTGCAATTCTTTAAAGGAATGGGGCAGTGACTCCTAGTTTCTCAGTTGGGTATCTTTTTTGAATCTAGAGCATTATCTGCCTGCCTGCTTGTGTCTTTATTGTGGACGAAAAACAGATTCCCTACATCATTCATATACACTTTATTTTGCTCTTTTGATATGTTGATTTGCCATTAAACGTAATGAGCTAGAGTGAATTGAATTAGATTGTTCATTAAATGCTTTTATTCTCTAGTTATTTACCTTGGCTCAGTTGCATTATGTGTTATTTTATACACAAGATCCCGAGGCTTCTGCTCAAATCCAGGGTGGCACGACTGATTTGAGGGCCAACTGTGGCTTTTAGAATGTTAAGTTACAGCTCTGAAATATTTCTGAGAAAAAACACAGAAAAACTCCAACTTTAGAGTGCAGTCCTATGCATGCTTCTCCAGGAGCCAGTCTCACTTACTTAAAAGGGATTTATTCTTAGTAAGTATGACTAGGTTTGCAGTGCCATTGCATATGTTTGGAGGGCTGGGGCTCAGCAGGGGGCAGCTGTAGTGTCCAAGGGCTATTGCAGAGAAATTGCACCCAAAAATTACCTTGCTTGTGTCTTTGAAGAGAGTTATTGAGGAGCAGACATGCACAGACAAGGGAACATACAAAATGGATTCAGTTCTCGGGAACCTTGGTCAAAGTTACTGTACCCAAATGATTGAGTAGCCAGATTTCCTTTTATTTTCTTGTACTTTTTTACAGTTATGTTTTCCAAACCAAATTAACCCTTCTCACCTTTGGCACAGTTTCTGCACTTAATTTTATTCTGTGTATCTTTTAATTTGAAGTATTGTTTTTTGAAAATCTTTCTTCACTGATTATCCTGTGGTTTGGAGACAGGAAAGCACAGAGAAAATACTGCATTTTTTTTTAAAAAAAAGTTTAAATAAAATCATTTAAATTCCAGAAAGCATTTTTGTCAGTCCCAGAATTCTTACATGACAAGCAGTCAGTATCTTTGACTGTTGGCTGACCCATATTCTCAAGCTGTTTTCTCTTGAGTTAACTGCCTGTCAAGAACTGATGATACCAAACTTCTGACCCAGCAGATTGTCTCCAAGGCATCATTTTACAAGTCTTAAGGACAACTCTATAACCATAGCTCTTGGAATCTATTTTCATAGCAAAATATTGCCACTCAGTTTTCTGTGTAAATGCTCTAAAATATTCCTGGAAGCTATTCAGTTACCCACAATGAGTTAATAAATAGAACTTTCACTGGATGCAATTAAGTCAGGCACCTTCATTATAACTCAACTATTTGATCAATTTATTCAGCTACATTTGCACCCCACCTTTCATCTGTCGCACTCAAGGTAGCGTAGGTTTCTAGAACTGACCAGACTTAGAGCTGCTTAGCTTAATGTCATCTTCCTTCAGTTCTTGACCTGGGACCATGCCACTCACACACACATTCCCATATTTCACTGAAGCTTGCAGAGGAGAAATGTTTGATGGCTTGTGCCCACTTTAGCAACTGGCTGTAGGAAAGCTTGAAATAGCTTAACTTTCCATCTTTCCTGTAACTGCATTACTTAATAATTTAAAAGCACATTTTAAATACATTTTGATATTTCTGTGTTTTATTTCCATGGCTCTAATTTGCTTTAACTTTTAATGCTGAATTTTAAATTGTTGCAACCCTCCCTAGGACCTGCTGGTGAAGAGCCAGTAATAAATTGGATGGTAATAATTTAAAGACATCAGCCTCTTTGACTCCTCTTTTTGCAGACACATCTTTTGTGCCGTGGTTGTGCAGTTGCTGAATGTGATCAGTTGGATCGCATTCTGCATTGATTTTCACCCATGTTGTTTATTTTGTCTTTGCATTTTTCCCCCAGTACTTAGTAATGGACTACTATGTGGGTGGTGATTTACTGACCTTACTTAGCAAGTTTGAAGACAAGCTTCCTGAAGATATGGCCAGGTTCTACATTGGGGAAATGGTGCTTGCTATACATTCCATTCATCAGCTACATTATGTGCACAGGTAAGGATTCTGTCTTGTTGGTTGTGAATAAATAAATAACATTGTGGAGGAAACCCTTGCAACTTAGGGGTAAGCAATTTTCTTAAAACAGAAAACCCCCACCTCCAACCAAACATTTTATACATCTCTATACATTGTGGCTACACCAAGTCTGCTGATAAATATTTCTTATTTTGAGTGGTACAGTTTTGGCTTCATAAGCATTGACATGTTCACCTGAAGATTAGAAATAAATATAAGATTGATGTAGTAAAAACAGGAATAGCTATGATATCCCTCCTGTGGGGTGCTCTTTATTTCCTTCCTGTCTTCACAGTGATAGAAGAGTTAGCAACTCTTCCAGACATATGTAGCAATGGTTCCACCACCAGTTCTGTTGTCGGTCATGTCCTTTTTGTCCCATGTTTTCAGCTTTCCAAAACATAGCTTTTATATTTAAACAGTCAAAATGTAATTCACCAACTTACTTTAAAAAATACACACCATCAAATTTTAAAATGCTGCAAGTCTTTCTCCAGGGGAGAGGATTTTGTGATACGTTATAGATGTTGGCCAATCTGTACTTTGTGCAGCTGCTACAACTCAGCAAAACGGATGTTCTGATTCTGAGAATTAGATGAGGTATACCTGACTAGAACACGTTATATGCACTTCCAGATTGCAACTCTTTATATGCATTTCATGCACTTCTAAATAATATTTCTTTTCCCAATTAATAATAAGCAGAAAAATAAGCATATAACTAAGGTGAGCCTCACACTGAAGGATGACATTATGTGGAAGTGTTTACAGTGTGCGCTTGGCACAAATAATCACAACTGCAAATTACACATATAAGAAAATGACCCCATTTAGTTAGGGGTGAACACCCAGAATGTTAAATTGTACGTAATACGAAGGAAGCTTGAATATGTGAAACAGAGGGGGATAGCTAGAGCGCTCTTGAGCTTTGATGGCTTAATTCTTGCAATAGCAAATAATAGCATTTGGAACATAATCAATGCATAAAAAGAAATAAAAATTAACAGCATGGCATCAGAAATGTCAAGTTGTCTCATCTAGAAACCTCTTAATGTGTATCAGTACATGATTAGTGAGCAAGGAAGCTCAAACTGCAGATCAGCTAATATTTTGTATTAATAGAAATGCCCACAGATTCTGAGGCCATGTGGCCATTTAAAAAATAATAATTTGGGGTTACTACAAGATCTGCTGAAGAGTTGGAAGTTACCAAACTAATTTGGGGCATATATATAAAGAATATGCACTCCTCTGTATTTTGATGTCACAGCTTAAGCCTAACAATATTTACTGATAAGTAAACTCCATGTTTTTATGCTTAATTATAGTTTAAGAATATCAGAACAACTAATAGGGATTAATTACAATCTGGGGCAATTACACAATTGTCTATTCTTCTGTCGTACTTGTTGGGATATGGAATTTCTTTTTGGGAAGTGGCTCAATGTACATTGGTGTAACATGGCAGCCATCAAAAATCAAGTCTGCCATTTGGTAGTTGCCCCCATTTCTGAATTCTTTTATAAGACAGATTTCAACATGGCGGTCTGTTTGAGGCAATTGCAAAAAAACAACAACCCCACCACTGGTGGGGATGTGAGAGACATAGGAAGTACATGGATCCACAGTGGTCATCCAGATGCTTATGAGCATCCTGAATCCCAGTGCTCGTGTTGGGATGATTTAAAACACAGTTTAGTATACCACAAGGGCAACTTCCCACGGCAGGACCTGAGGGCAACTATCTCTCTCGCATGGCTGTTTCCCAGCAACTTGTACTCAGAGGCATGCTGCCTCTGATCCTGGTAACATAACAGCCATCATGACTGATAGCCATTGATAGACTTATCCGCCATGAATTTGTCTAACCCTTTTTTAAAGTCACTTCTGGTCGTTGTGTTAGCCTCTCTTTGTGATGAGCGTGCCATGATTTTGTCATTAAAGTATTTTTTATCTTGCAAAACATAACATGGCTTTTAATGACCTTTCTAAATTACTGCTACCTCAGGAAATCACTTGAGGACTTTGTCTGGGACTGAGCTAGCTAGAAAATTGGCATTTAAGTCAAGTTTTCTGAGTAAACAAATGTAAAATGCCATGGGGGAGGGGACTCTGTAATGTGATGTATAACATAGCCGTCTAAGAACATTGTTACCTGCTTGATTTGTATTTAATTTTACTAAAAAGAAACTTGTTTTTGCATGGTGGTTGTGAGGAAAGGCGGTGCCTGCATGTTCAAGAAAAACTTAAAAAAACAGAAGAATTCGTTTTTGACACTCTCCAATAGTTAATCACCTTCCTTCCTGTGGGAAGGAAATGGAAGGCAAAGGACACATTGTACATTTTTATTGTTGAACTGCTGTTAGCAATGCATGTTCCAGAAAAATCTTTGGTAAACAGAAGGCAAAACACTTGATCAGTGTTGCCTCAATATGATGTAAAAATGGAAAGTGACACTGTCCCCCCCCCCCCACATTAATTGCGTTATCTCTTTAATTTGGAAGAAAAGTAAAGTAGTTTCATATTGGAAACTTATATAGTCATTTCTGCTCTGACCTTCCACCTCAGAAAGCTATGAAAAGCAATTATCTTACGCATGGAATTATGAAGTATGGGAAGCATACACCTGGTTTCTTAATCCAAATACAGAAAAGGCAATTTCTTTAATGTTGAGGCTGTCTCAGAAGTAATCAGTAGTCTACATATTTGCATATTTAGTTAAATGTCATTAACATATTTCCATGAAATTGGCAAGTTGGGTATATTTCCAACCAGTGTCGGTTGTTGCATACCAATTTTTAAATGCCCAGTACTATCATAAAATTGTAGTGAGGTATATATAATTTTCATTTATAGCCAGGTAAACAGAATGATTTACTGGAGAAAATATATGGTTTATTTCTAAATTAGATTACTAACTGCTCAGTAAAGTTAGTGCTGTGACCTAATGTGTGTACTGTATGAAAATAATAATTTCTTTTCAAATCAGAGATATAAAACCTGACAATGTTTTATTGGATGTGAATGGCCATATACGCCTGGCAGACTTTGGATCGTGTTTGAAGATGAGTGAAGATGGCACTGTATGTATCAATAAAATGTTACGATTACTTATTTCAAATGGAACTTTGTGCATTTTTGTGACATAATTGCTCCTTGTTAATCTGTATATTTTTTGGGAAGATACAGTATGTAATAACTGAAAACAAAACTAGAGATTTCGGGATAGAAATTTTAAAACATCATGCTTCCAGGATATTTTTTGTAAGGTGTTCACTCAAAATGAAGATTTTAAGAACTTACCGTATTTTTCGCTCCATAAGACGCACCCCCCCCCTAAAAAGTAAGGGGAAATGTGTGTGCATCTTATAGAGCGAATGCAGGCAGGAGGCAGGCGGGAAAAGCCCCCAAGATCCGCACACACGCTCCGCGCACTATTTAAAGGGAGCGTGGCTTTTGCGGGAGGTGGGGGAAGGGACAGAGGGCAGCCCCTCAGTCCCTTCCTGCACCTCCCGGAAAAGCCCCCAAGAGCCGCGCTCCCTATCACTAGCCGCATGGAGCATGTGTGCGGCTCTTGGGGGCTTTCCCCCCCATATATTTTCAGCCCCATATACCAGCTGCACTGGCTCCCGGTGGAGTACAGGATCAGGTTTAAGGTGCTGGTTTTAACCTTTAAAGCCCTATACGGCCTAGGACCCTCGTACCTACGGGACCGCCTCTCCTGGTATGTCCCACAGAGAAACTTACGGTCTTCAAATAAAAACATCTTGAAGGTCCCAGGCCACAGAGAAGTTAGGCTGGCCTCAACTAGAGCCAGGGCTTTTTCGGATGTGGCTCCGATCTGGTGGAACACTCTGTCACAAGAGACCAGAGCCCTGCGGGACTTGACGTCTTTCCGCAGGGCCTGCAAGACAGAGCTGTTCCACCAGGCCTTTGGCCAGGGCATAGCCTGACTCCCTCCCTCGGCAATCTTCGCGGAGCTCTGGCCCAGTGGTTGCCAGTGGCTTGAATTAATTAATTTTATAATGAATGATTTTAGAGTGTTGTTTATGCTGTACTTTTGTACTGTTTTATTGTTGTTAGCCGCCCTGAGCCCGGCTTCGGCTGGGGAGGGCGGGATATAAATAAAATTTATTATTATTATTATTATTATCAGTGACGAGCTGCCCTTCTCCCTCCTGGGGAAAAGCCTGCAGGCGCCGCACACATGCTCCACGCAGCTCGTGAAAGGGAGCGCTGAGCAGAGCCTGGGATGCATACAGGCTCCGCTCAGCGCTCCCTTTAAAGAAATTTTTCCCCTTGCATTCCCCCTCTAAAAACTAGGTACGTCTTATGGTCAGGTGCGTCTTATGGAGCGAAAAATATGGTAACTCAGCAACATTGGCTTGGATCCCGAAAACTGCAAGCCTCCTTTACATACCCACAAAGTGCCTTTGCCTGAACCCCTTCCCACACTGTCCAGGAGAGTTCCTGATCCTCTAGAGAGACTTTCCGGGGGCACAAGGGGCTTCTGGGTGGAGTAGTAGACGGAATGGGAAAATCCCTTACTGCTTATGGTTCCCAGAATCCAATCCATTACGTTTCATTACACAGGGATGCATAGCCCTTTCTCATGCTAAGATATAGTTAACGTAGTGTGTGCAGATGAATTAATCTTAAGACTTCGATATTTATTTTACTTTGAAGGTGCAATCTTCAGTTGCAGTGGGCACACCTGATTATATTTCCCCTGAAATACTGCAAGCAATGGAGGATGGCATGGGGAAATATGGGCCTGAGTGCGACTGGTGGTCCCTGGGAGTCTGCATGTACGAAATGTTGTATGGTGAAACACCTTTCTATGCAGAGTCGCTGGTGGAAACCTACGGGAAGATTATGAATCATGAAGTAAGAACTATTTAACTATGCATTCACTAAAATTCCTTCATTCATCTTATGTACTAATTATATCTTGAACATATATAACATGTTTTTGGAAGCTTTGGGATTTTTGCAGTAGATAGATAGATAGTTCTAGTAAATACACAGGAGTAGACTATGCAAGCATGAGGTCTGTCTGCCCCTAATGTATGGAGCGCAACTGGAGTCAGTGTTTAATTTCTGAAGAACTTCTGTTGTATCTTCTATAAGACCTTGTCCTTAATTCTGTGTGGGTATGGATGGGCAGTTCCTTCCCATGGAAAGGAAACTGTGTGTGCTCAAACACAATTACATTCTGGTGTGTAAATAATGGTTAGCTACCAAATTTTGGCACAGTTTGTGAACCCTAATTATTATTATTTCTCAAATTTCCACAACATTTTCAGTTGCGTTCTGACTTACCATAAGCCTGTTCAAAAACAGTCCCTTAGCTAGCCTTTTCTCATTGTAGAAGTCTGAAACATTGTCTCCCCTCCCCGTTCTGTTTTCTTTAGGAGAGATTCCAGTTTCCATCCCATGTTAGTGATGTGTCTGAAGAGGCAAAAGACCTAATCCAGAGGCTTATTTGCAGTAGGGAACGTCGTCTGGGGCAGAACGGAATAGAAGACTTCAAGGCTCATGCATTTTTTGAAGGGCTAAATTGGGACAATATCCGAAATTTAGAAGCACCTTACATTCCAGAAGTTAGCAGTCCTTCGGACACATCAAACTTTGATGTAGATGACGATGTATTAAGAAACCCTGTGAGTGATTATTTATTTTCTTCTTAAAGGCAATAGTTTTCAAACTTGCTTCTTTGAACCAAACCTTTTCATCACTGACAGGAATCCTGTATGTCCCAGGGGATTCTGGGGACAGTTCTAATGTGCACACCCGGTTAATGTTAATTCTCTTGGGCCTCATCTTTCCTCTGCATGAACTGAATGCAGTTGAGAACATATTCAGTGCTTGCCAGTGGCTGTGTGTTCTCGTGTGACTACTGTAGATCATCAGCGAGATCGAAAACTGATAGGCTTTCAGAAAAACTGATCTGCCATTGTTGAACATTTCACTGATATTTCCTTAGTGCATAGTGAAAACACTGGCAGATAAAGTCCAGAGTGAAGTATTCCTGCTTTAAATGAATAAATCTGAATACTTAATCTTCCTAAATAACATTTATATGACTATGGCCCTTTTTACATGAGATGGACAGTATACACGTGGATGAAGAAGCATGGTGGCTGTTCCCTGTCCCTGAGGCGAGGGACAAAAAAGCCAACATGTCCTTCCAGATTCAACTTGGTTTTCATCCTGCATTCCTTTTTGTGCAGGAAATGATACCACCTGGTTCTCACACTGGCTTTTCTGGACTGCATTTACCGTTCGTTGGCTTTACCTACACAACTGAGAGGTAGGTGAAAAAAGTTCATGCATATGGGAAAGCACCACACTAAGATCTCGTCATTTGCCTTTCTCTTAACGTATTCAGCTGCAGCTTAAAATGCTTGACCTGAGTGTCTTGGGCTCCTGTGCTTTTTTGTTGCTTATGATTTATTTATATGAGCACCATCACTGGATATGGTGCTTTAAAGAGTAATCCGAGCAGCAGAAGACAGGTTTTTGCCCCAGGGAGCTTAAAATCTACAATTCAGCAGTGAGGAAGGGGCAAGGTAAGGTAAAAGGGTAAATTAAAGCAAATACACTTCCGCATATTTAAGCACAATTTAAATTGGGAAAGAGGACAAAGGGAGTTGAGCAGTAAAATAGAGAGCGAGAGCGCTTTGTCAAGGTAGTCACTTAACTGGTGCCCCAACCAGTAGTTCTAAACACAAAGAGAATCCATCATCTGCAGTCTCCAGCCTCAAGGTGAATTGAACATCACCCTACTACTTCCCTAGAAGTGAGCTTCAAGGCTGATCAGGGAATTAAACCAGGATTTCCCTGTCTGGGTTCTCTCCACTATACTACATTGGCTGTGATCATAGAAGGGCGATAGACTGGGTTTCCACGTGGTTCGAGTTGCAGAATATTTTTTAAAGCCAGTTTTTGTACTGAAAATAATGTTGAGGAGGTGGTTTGTTCTCTTGCGGATCAAAGGGCGTGTGGAGTGGTGAAAGGCCTGGACAGACTGATATCATAGATGCACACGAGCTTATGAGGTTCAGTCAGATCATCATTCTACCTAGCCCGTTGCACTTTGATATGACTGGCAGTAGCTCTCCAGGTTTTGGGGCAGAGATCCTATCAGGTGGAGATTCTAGGAGATCAACCTGATACTTTTTATTGAAAAGTGTTTGCTCTGAGCTGTGGTTCCTTCAGCTTTTAAAGGCAGTCTTCCTGCCCTTCCTGCAAAATGTAGTGTGTCCATACTCTTAAACGTAAGGGAGAATTGTCACAGCAGCAGCATTGTTCCATTTCCAGTCTCTCCTGAATTAAAAGTTGCTGCTGCTGCTTCCTCCCCGATAAGCTAGCTTGTGCTGGCTGGAGTGAGAGAAAACAGATCACACAACACATTGCTGCCATTTTACTTGCAGGCCAGCTCAGATAGTACTGAAGCAAGGATCTCTGTTATATAATCTTCACAGTTGTTCCAAGGTTTCTGCTTCTGTTGAATTTCCAACAGGAAACTGCTACTTAGGGTTGAGCATAAATTGATTAAAACGTGTTCTCCAATGTTTCTGGTTTCCAGTTGTTTTTCTGATAGAGGCTCGCTAAAGAGTGTCATGCAGTCCAGTGGTATAACCAAAGATGAGGATGTGCAGCGTGACTTGGACAACAGCTTGCAAATAGAGGCATATGAAAGGAGAATACGAAGGTTGGAGCAGGAGAAGCTGGAGCTGAGCAGGAAGTTGCAAGGTACGCCCTCTCGCTTTCCTTTTATGTTGCTTTGCAATGGAGCAACAGAATGTTTTTCAGGTTGGACTAAACAAATTGTTTTGGTTTGTTCTTTCGGTTCAATTTAAAGAATCTACCCAGGCTGTTCAGTCCCTTCATGGTTCTGCTCGCATAACAGCAAACACAAACCGGGATAAAGAAATAAAAAAGCTTAATGAGGAAATCGAGCGCTTGAAAAACAAAATAGCAGGTATGTGTCTGGCATGTTTTAATAGCTTTCTCTCTAGTTCTCAAAAAAAAGTACAAAATAAGTCCAGTGGTAAAGCACTAATCCTCATAGCAGCCTATTAGACGTGAGCCTCATTCTTTTTTACTTTTGGATCTTTAGCTCAAGTACCGAGATGGCTCAGTGTGGAAATGCATGAAATATTACATTATGATACAGCTTTGGAAAGTGTGGCAGGTGCAACCTTAAGCAGCATTTAGATTTTTGAACAAAAGCTTATCTTTCTTCTAAAGCTTCCTTTACTTGATAGCAGATTATTCCCACTGGGGAGCCAAGAATAAAAGGCAATTTGTACGGCTTCACTTAGATAATTCTTTTGACTTCTATCCTTTCTATAAAAATCCCAGGATATCCTCTTCTAATATTTTTTTCCCAGAAAGGGGCAAGCTTTGAACTTTGTACAAGTGCCATTCATATGGAAAATTTTAAGCTGCAGTGCACAATATTTCGCTTATGATGTCTACATCTGCTATGAGGAAATGTGAGAAAGTGGCTGTTTGATGTGGTCCTGCATCCATTCACCATTCTGAGAACCCTCAGTTTTGTAGGGTTATGCCTTTGTAACTGGTGACTCTCTTTTTGTTTGTTAATTAGGTATCCACTGTATGCACCTGAAGTTTCTTTTTGTGAGACAGTAGGGTAACTAGAGCGGGGCAGTCGGAGAACCTGCTCCAGGTGCAACCTTAACAGGGACACAAAACAATCAAAGGTTATTGAATATATTCAACACCTTAAATTAAATCTTAATTTATAAATAACGCTAAATTATAATTTACATATCATTTTGCTCAGAGGCTCAAGTAAGATTCACAGGCCAGGCTGATTGGCACCATTGTACAGGCAACTCCCCATTTATGCATCACCTCTTTGCGTGCAACCATGTACACACACAGTGCCGGGAACCTGGAAGTGGAAGCTGGAAATGGGGAGCACTTCCTGTCTTGCAAGGAGACCCTCTCCAGAGCCTGTAGAGGACATTACCTTTGGGCTCCAGAGAGGGTCTCCTCGCAACCTGGAAGGTTGTTGAGCCAATCAGCTGATGGGCAGGGAAGCAACTGCTGCTGCGCTGCCCCACATATCAACTGTTAGACAGGGAGGTTGAGCAGCTCAACAAAGCCCTTCTTGCCCCTCTGGCTCGCGAGGAGACATTCCCTAGAGGTGGAAGAAATGGCTGCATACAATACTGAATCTCCTACCTGAAGTAGCTGCTTTTGAGTGGATAGGCTACATTGCAGTATTAGAAACTAAGGGGTGGCTGTTGCTGACAAGTAAACACTTGTCAGACTTGTAGTCTTGTTTCTCTCTTCCCCCCATAGAGGCATTTCCTTTCCCTGCTCCCATGAGGTACCTCTCAACTTTGGAAAAATAAAACACTTTTTTTTTTTTTTTGCTGGTTTATAGTTAGCTGTGTTGAAGTAGCCATAGTTGTAAATTTGGGTGAAAATCTGATGGATGGAATTTGAGGGATCAACCATTTTCTGAACTGGGGGCAGGGGGAGGGCTGACATTTTTCCACAGCTACCCACAGGCAACAAACCTGAAAGTTTTGTCCACAGAACCAGCACCACTGTAATCTTCTATTTTACTTTGAATATTCAAAATCCATTTTTTCTTTAAAAAGGAAAAGAAAGGACCACAGTAATATCATGTAACCTGCTTATATCTGTTCACAGACGGCAGCTAAAATTTGGGAAGGAAAGATAACTGTTTCCAAAGGGGCAATCCAGTGGGGCTTCTGCTTCTGCCAAAACTGTCCACCCTCTTATACTCGAGAAAATGAATTGTACTTTGAGTTTCTGAGACATTATTTTATATACCCGTTCCCGCTTTTTTCCTTTAAGGTCTTTAGTCCTATTGTGCTAGCATGGAAACTTGAAAATATGTCAGCAATGATTGGAGACATCTCTTTGGTGGTAGGGAGGTTAAGGCTAAGTCGGACTATAGTAGGCAGGGAGCTGTGATTACATTGCCTGAACTAGTTTCTTGTTCCTTTAAATGACCTGTACTGCTTATCTGACCCTAACCTTAATGTTTGCCCTTCCTCTTCTTTGCCCTTCCTCTTCTCTAGCTCTGCATGCACAAATGGGTTTTGAACGTGTGTGTCTCTTAAAAGCTACTTAAAAGTCACGTGACAAGCTGCTTTCAAAAGCGATGGGACTTTCAAGCGCAATTTGAGATATGATGGGGACTGTTGTTCAAGCAAAGCCACAGTGGTCTTATCTAAAATAGCTTTTTGGATCTCATTCCTTGAAAACATGAGTATTGAAAGCAGGTTCAGTATTGTTGAAAGAAGCAGATGGCAAGAATGCTTATGTTGCATAATTTATTCTGCCTTCAGAACTTGGAATTCTTTGGTACTGGGACTGAGGTAGAATTTGGATTTTATTTGTATTTGTCAACACCGTGTACATTGAGCTGTGATGATGGGACTTGGGGTTTTGCCAGTGTGTGTTATGTTAGAGAGAAGAATGAATGAGTTCACTCTGAACTACCCAGTGTAAATTGTTCTTGGCAGAGAAGAATGCAGAACTGCTGCATATGCCAACTGAGCAAAAACACTATGGAATAATCCTCCCTTTTAAAATTATAGACTCAAATAGGCTAGAGCGGCAACTGGAAGACGCAGTGACGCTGCGGCAGGAACATGAAGACTCCACCCACAAGTTAAGAGGACTTGAAAAGCAATGCAGGATATTTCGGCAAGAGAAAGAGGATCTCCATAAGGTAAAATTCTTCTGTCCAGCAAAGTGGATGTTGACTAGGGAATGCAAGTATAAAGGTGGCATTGCCAGCAATGTGGAACATTATGTGGAACTCACACTATATAGAGAGTTGTTGTTTGTCATACTTGTATCCTGTCCTTCCTTCATGGAGTTCAAGACAGTATACGTGCAATTATCCCATTTTACATCAACTTTGTAGTATAAGCTAGGCTCAGTAATAGTGACATGTCCATGCTACCAAGCTTCATGGGAACAATCAGAAGCCAAATCCAGTTCGCCTCATCCATTAGACCACACGTGCTGTAGTAGGAGCATAGGGGAAAGCAGCCTTTACACCGCATTTGACCATTGGTCTCTCTAGATCAGTCTTGTCTTCAGTGACTGTCAGCTCCTCTCCCAGCTAGACTCCCAACCCCTACCTGAAGATGCTGCAGATTGGATCTGGAAACATCTGCCACTGAGCTATAGCCCTCCCCCAAAACGGTTGGGCAGGGGCACAAGTTGAACTTGTTCAGGGGAAAACCAGTTACCAACTGCCACTCGGGAAGGCCCTCCCCCCATTGCAAATAGGGTACTTGGTGCAGTTGCTGTAGGTGCGTAGTTGTAGGGACTGCTGGCTGCACACCAACAATGCAGTGAATGCATGTATCCAGCTTATACCGTTGTTTTCTTCCCACGTGAATCTCAGTATTACATTTGGATCCAGTGAGCATACAGTTGAATGTGTACCTCACACTAAGACATCACATGATACTTTGTGCTTGCTTGCTTACTCTTGGTTTCACATCATGAAAGCCTGCATTGGATAATTCACCGTAATGCAAAAAACTGAACCACCTCTGGGTGCTTAAAAGATGGCAAGGATGTGATGTGTCAGAAAAGCACTGGAAGAAAATCAAGAAACAAAAACGAACTTGGGTTATGGAATTCCCCTCCATCCAGAATTCCTTTTGCAGTATTGAATTATGTGGGAAGATGTGGTGGTATGAAAACATGAAGCATTAGTTTCTTATATGTTAACTGCGGCAAGAATATTGTTTGCTAAGTCATGGAGATCAGCTAACACACATCCATTCTTTAATGGATGGAGAAACTTTGGGAATTTGCTGCTATGTCAAAATTAACCCACCATCTCAGATTTAGGCAACGAAAACAAAGGCATGATAGGTTTCAGATGAGATGGAATACTTTTGCTGAATACAGCAAAAATAAATGATTGTGGTCAAGTGTAATGTCCAAGTATCTAAATAATGTTAGATGAAATTAGTAATTTTGTTTCTTTAGCAGAAAAAATATTTTTTTTTCTTCATAATACTAGCGTGCTGGCTTTGTTTAGGTTTGAAATACAGTCAACTTGCAGCTTGCACACATTTAACTTGTGCGATTGTAGTGTTAGGCACTTGCAACTGCAATCACAGAAATTAAATGCACGTAAATTGAAGCTCTCCACCTTGCGTGGGGAGGAGGGGGCAAGACCCATTTGACACACAAGCTTCTGAGAAGGTAGGGATGCTCGCGTGGGGGCTGTTCCGGCTTTACTGTATGTGATTTGGGCTTTACACACAATCCCCAGAACATAAGCCCTGTGTAAGTTGTGAGTCGACAGTATTATAATGGAATATAAATGTTGATGTGTTGTATATGTAAAAGAATAACTTAAAGAAAAGGATTATAGAGGGGAAAAGATGAGGAAAAGGCTTCATAGGGCAGAATTTGTAAGCACTTTTGAGGGATTGACCAGTAGCTTCCACTGAGAATGTCCCTCAGAACTGATATGTTATTGTCTCAGTATCAGTCCCATTCTGTCCATATTGACTGTGCCAGACTGTATACACAATGTTTAATAATAATAATAAGCACAAATGGTTTGGGTGTTGTTTTTTTAAAGGCAAAATAAAATAAATTTGAGCCCTATAAAAGAGAGAAGCATTCCTCCCACCCGGACATACACTGCAAAGGCTAGAGGCAACACAAGAAAACTAAAGGGCTGATGGAAGTAGGCTGTGTATGAGGGCTCCCCAAGCTATTCACAGCCCCTTTTCCCTTTAAGGGAGGGTGGCATTGCTGAAGCGCTGCTCAGGTTTCTGGTGTCCTCTCTAGAGAAAAAGGGTAATCACTAGCAGTAATCAGCTCTTGTTCCCTGTGGTGTTTAACCCTTTTGTGTCCTTTGGCTCGTGGGAGTGACCGTCCTTCTGCCAGGGATTTCAGCAGAAGCTTAAGCATCAGCTTATAACCTCCTTTTGCCCCTGGGACTGGCTCTGATCCCCACCACATGCAAGTGAACACCGCAAAGCAGAAGCACACACAGGGATAAAAGAATTTATCCTGATATTTATTTTTTCTTTCTTTTTAGAAGGTTGAGTACGATTGAGGAAAGGGAGGAGTAGGGAAGAAGGGAGATGGAGAAAAGGCGAACAGAAAGAAGCAGAGATGACAAAAGAGATGATGCTGTGATGAGATGATGCTGGAAAGAGTGGTTGAAGAGATATGAGGAGAGACAGAGGAGGAAAGGGGGAATGTATGAAAGAAGGGGAGGGAGAACAGAGGAAGGTGGGAGAAGGATGGAAGCATACAATACGTTGGGATATCAGAGTGGTGATATAGAAATACTTCTGCTTATATACTGCCAAAATGCCTGTCATTATTTTGAGAGCAGGGATGGGGAGAGGTGGAGATGAGGATGTATGTTGTCAGAATGTGATTTTGCAATAAGATTGAACTTCATGCTCAAGAGTGTCGATCTCTAAACACTTGTTTGGACCTTTCTTTTCACCAGCAACTCATTGAAGCGTCTGAAAGATTAAAGGCACAGTCCAAAGAACTAAAGGACGCCCATCAACAAAGAAAGCTAGCAATGCAGGAATTCTCTGAGCTGAACGAGAGGATGGCAGACTTGCGCTCCCACAAGCAGAAACTATCTCGACAGCTCCGTGACAAAGAGGAAGAAGTGGAAGTGATCATGCAGAAAATTGACTCCATGAGACAGGAAATCCGTAAATCTGAGAAAGCGAGAAAAGAGGTAGCTCGGCAGGGTACTTGAGGATAATGGATTTCAGCTGCTATTTTAGCTTGAAATAGTTAATGTGGCTGGGTTCCACACATACAAGCAGCTGGTTTATTTCTTCATGCAGTCCTTCCACACCCCCTCTGCCCTGTGGGGTTGTGTGGAGAAACATAATGTGTGAGCCAGCTATTCCATGGATTCACTTTGCTAAAACTCTTGCTATATCACAGTAGCACATTCTGGACCATAATTTGGCCTTCCTGTTTTCATCTTACTCTCCCTCCTTCCCTTCGTCTGTCCGTAAAGGAGAGAAAGCAAGCAATGGAAGAACCAGAAGCACTAACTTTTTTCTGTCAATTATTATATTTATAGTTAAATGCCGCAGTCATTCTTTCCTTATACTGAAGTTTCCTAGCTACCCAGATCTGTCTTGTTGATCTTGGATTCTATGTTTCCCCTTTTAAAGTAACTGGCTCCTAGTTGGCTACAAAATATTATAGTGCAGGCCCCCATGAGATGGTTAAGTCGCCATAGGCATGAGGATGGGTTATAAAGATGTGTGTGTGTATTCCCTTGAAGTTTCTGAAAGTTGGTAGGATTGGGAATAAAAGGCAATATATCATCTTCCAAAACTGTTTTTATCTTTTCCTCTTTTGTGACCCTTGTCGTCTAGATTGTAAACCTCAAGATGGGCATATGTCTCCCTTTCTGTTTTTTGTAGCTGCTCTAGTCATAAAAATAATAAGGGTTAAGCTATAGCGGTTTTAATAACCAGGCCTGTTTTCCTTCTTATAGCTAGAAGCCCAACTTGATGACGCAGCAGCAGAGGCATCAAAAGAGCGTAAGCTTCGAGAGCACAGTGAGAGTTTCTCTAAGCAGCTTGAAAATGAACTGGAGACCCTAAAGGTGACATTATTTGAAAAGCATCTAAGCCATATAAGAACAGCTTCACTTGACAAGGGATAGAAATCCAGATCTCCAGGGTGTCCCATGACAGTTGCAACTTATGCACTTCCGAAAAACATTTTGCCAGAATGCCCAAGGCCCGAGATTTAGTTCTTCAACGTATATTGGGCATTCCAACAAGATATTTTAGGATCTAGGCAGGATAGGTAGTAATCCTCCCTGTCTCACAATTTTAATGTGAGAAGCAACCATTGACATTGACACATTTCTCATCCCCACCACAGGTTGACTACTTTATTATTATTATTATTATTATTTTGGTAGACCTTTAGATTGCCATACATGTTAAGGGTTTTTCTTGGGAAGTTTGGAGTAGGAAAGAACCTCACATAGCACATGTTAAACTGCATGGGAGCTACCACTGCAGGCTGTTCTCATGTGTACCAGCTCAGAATTAGCCTCTTACAGAGCCCAGACAAGATTTTATTTGCTGTATCCTCTTACACAGTCGCCCCACCCCCCAAAAAAACCTAAATCTGTACCACAGTGAATAGATTTGCTTACATGTTTCAGGGCCTCTGTTGTTTGACTTCTTTAGACTTTATCATTCTTAACAGTTCAGTCCTAGGAGTGCAGGGCAAGAGACAATATGCTCATTAAAACAGTAATTAAAGGGGGGGGAAACACCATTTGAAAGTTGGCTTTCAGAATTATTATTATTATTATTATTATTATTATTATTATTATTATTTTATTTATACTCTGCCCTCCCTGGCCAAAACCGGGCTCAGAGCAGCTAACATCAAATATATGACACATTACCATAATATCAAGCAATCAATTAAAATACATCCTAAAATCAAGTCAGAATCAAAGTGAAATCCAATCAGATGGCAGCCCACAAAATAGGGATGGGGACCTTAAATGCTCACTAGAATATGTTCAGATTGGGACTCCTGCAAATGGCTGGTGCTGGAAAAAATAGTTTCCATAAATGGGGAACAGCTAACTAAAATGATGTCTAAGTAGTGGTCTGTGCTTCTTCAGGATGCAAATAACGTATGTTTGTGTGTGTTCCATGGTTCTAAAGAAAGTGGAAAGTCAGCATGATTATGAGACTAGAGTAAAACCTTTCCACTTTGACATGCTAGTCTTCTACATGAAGGCAAAATGAATGAAGCATGCAGTCCCCCTCCCGCTGCAGTCTGATGTGGACTGTTTTCTGCATGTTTCAGTCTGCTCTCAGTTCATGGCTTTCAGAGAGATTATGATGAAGCAAATGAGATCTCTAAGCTATGCAGAGACAAATAAATATGCATGTGTTTATACTTCATGATCAACTCTTCTGGTATTAAGGAGATGAAATGTGTTTTATGTCACTTTGAACAAAACTAAAGTCTCTGATATTGAATGTACTGTATTGTGGTGTTGTCTGTGTGGCTTTTTCCCTGCTCTTGTGCAGATAAAGCAGGGAGGTCGTGCTGCTGGCGTGGCCATGCATGAGCATCAGCAGGAACTGGCCAAAATGAAGTCAGAGCTTGAGAAGAAAATCTTGTTTTACGAAGAGGAGCTGGTCAGGCGAGAAGCATCCCATGTCTTGGAAGTAAAAAATGTGAAAAAGGAGGTGCATGACTTAGAAAGCCATCAGCTAGCACTGCAGAAAGAGATCATGATGTTAAAAGATAAATTGGATAAGGCCAAACGGGAGAAGTAAGTTCTGTGTACAACTGCTTTCTTGGAAACATCCCCCCCCCCCCGCAAAAAAAATGTCACTATACATAATGTGGCATCCAAAAACCAAATAAGATTTATGTACTCAACTCCATAAAAAGCAGCAATAGTTTCTTTGTTCTGTGAAATGGCATTTACATGATATTATTTCACGCTTGTAGGCACAGTGAGATGGAGGAAACAGTGGGAACTCTGAAAGAGAAATATGAGCGAGAGAGAACCATGCTCTTTGAAGATAACAAGAAAATAACAACTGAAAATGAGAAGGTAAATTGTCATAACCTGTGAAGAAGCACAGTTTTTCATCAGATACAACACTAATCGCCCACGTGGCTTCCTCCAGATGCTATGGACTTCAGTTCCCATTAGCCCCAGCATGCATGGCAAATGGTAAGGGATGATGGGATTTGTAGTTCAGCAACACCTGGAGGGCATGTTGGCTACCCCAAGATATCTTATGTTTTATTTCTATAATTCACATACCATTTTAGCGTTCCCTGCCCTACTCCTAATTCATGAGAGGCTACAAATAATTTTTTAAAAAATAATACAGTGGTTTTAATTGTGTGTGAAAGTCGTGACTATTCCATGTCAAATGTGAAAATCTGGGTGTTTAATCTCTGTTATCAAAACCGAAGAAACCTTCAGTGCTGCTTATACACATACTTTGCCACTTAACTGGGCTGGCTTAATTTGACTGTTTGGAAAACAAAATGTTGCAGGCGGTTTTACACATTTGCTGCGGGAGGTTCAAAGTTACATTAAATTACAGTTATGAAAACTTCTAATTTTCTCGTTGCAGCTTTGTTCCTTTGTGGATAAACTAACATCACAAAACAGGCAGCTAGAAGATGAGCTTCAGGATTTGGCGGCAAAGAAGGAATCTGTTGCCCACTGGGAAGCTCAAATTGCAGAAATTATTCAGTGGTATGTGCATTTTGAGGATCCTTTGAAAAATAAATTTGTGCTGTATTAGCAGAAGGAAGGATCCCATAGAACGGAAATGTGTCATCTTGTAGATGATACACTTCAGAAATCACATGCAGCCACAAATATTGATTGATACATACTGGCTCCCTCATTTTTATTACCCTTACAGGAACTTTATTAACCTTCTATGTCAACTGATTTCACCGAAGTGAGAATGTCTAGGTCATACATTAAAAATTAATTTGTATTAAATGAAAAGGTTGCAGCCTGGCTGTTCATCAGTTCTTTGTTTCAGTTCTTCTTTTTTAAAGTCAACCTTATGGTTTCTGTGCCAGACTTATAAATGAGGCAGTGTAGATCCTTCAAATATTTTTTAAAAATTCACATCATAACACAGACATGTAGGGGGAAGATTGGAACCATTATGCCACAGCCTTTTCCAAAAGGAGTTTATAATGCTCCTAACAACCACATATGCACAACCTCAACACAAATTACATTCTCCTTAAGGGTAGGACAGTCTTATCTGATGGAAAGAGCTCCTTCTGTTGAATCACAAAGAATCAGAATTGTAAGAGTTGGAAGGGACCGTGAGGGTCATCTAGCCCATCCCCTGCAATGCAGGAATCTTTTGCCCAGTGTGGGACTCGAACCCATGTCTCTGAGATTGTGTCATACTCTACTGAGTCTCATGCTCTACTGACTGAGCTATCAAGTGGGCTAAGAATATCAAAGAAAACAGTTTCTCCCTTTGCTCCCAGACCAGCACTGCCTGTTAAGCAGCAATATATCAGTTAGGCTCTTTCGTGGTTGTTGCAAATTGTTATTTTATTATTGCTTTGGGCTGTTTACAGGTTCTTAATACATTCCTTGAACTAAACGGGAAGCTCATCCCCTTTGCAGTGGTCTTCGCATGACCCTGCCTGTCCATCAAGAGTAGCTCTCATCAAACAAGGTTGGCCCACTCTTAGAACCTCAGAGATGGGAATTCACAGGTCATCACAAACTCCAAATTTCCCCTGTCAATAAACTTTACTGCTTAATTATCTCCACAGCAGGAGTGTTACAATAGGTATACCCTGGGATGGTTGTAGGGAAAACTACCCTGGCTGTGTCTGCTCAGTTTAATCCTGAAAAATTTCATGCAAGAAAAGCAACATTTTATGGTTTGAACACTGAGACTGGTGATAACATGTTATTGAATGTGTGTGTGCCTGTGTCCTTTATCGATATAAAGGAGTGACTCTTTATGATTGTGCACTAGGGTGAGTGATGAAAAAGATGCCCGTGGCTATCTTCAAGCTTTAGCTTCTAAGATGACAGAAGAACTTGAATCTTTAAGAAGCTCCAGTCTGGGATCGAGGACTTTGGTAAGCATGAATATCTTAATTGGTTAACTGGAAAGCTTTACAATTTGTGGGGCCTCCAATTTTGTGTATCTTCAATGAATCCAGAAGTTCTTTTAAAAATGATGAAGGGTTTGTTTCCTCATTCGCTCCAATTGCTAACCCCCTGCACCACACATTAGCCAACAATAGCGCCCCCTTCCCACCCCAGGCAACTACTACGATCGCCTTTCACCTTCTCAGCCCCATTTCTGAACCCCCTTCTATTCTGCAGCCCTTCTTTGCATCCATTTTAATCTTCAGTCCCATGTCCACACCTCCTCCCCCTCCTTCTGTGTAGTCTCCACCCTGCACACACCCCACCCCATGGTTAGTAAAGTAAAGGGTAAAGGGACCCCTGACCATTAGGTCCAGTCGTGGCCGACTCTGGGGTTGCGGCGCTCATCTCGCTTTATTGGCCGAGGGAGCCGGCGTACAGCTTCCCGGTCATGTGGCCAGCATGACTAAGCCGCTTCTGGCGAACCAGAGCAGCGCACGGAAACGCCGTTTACCTTCCCGCCGGAGCGGTACCTATTTATCTACTTGCAATTTTGACGTGCTTTTGAACTGCTAGGTTGGCAGGAGCAGGGACCGAGCAACGGGAGCTCACCCCGTCATGGGGATTCGGACTGCCGACCTTCTGATCAGCAAGTCCTAGGCTCTGTGGTTTAACCCACAGCGCCACCCGCGTCCCCACCCCATGGTTACCACCTACATATTCCTCATCCCCACACATTGGAACTACTAAGCGACCTTTTCAGCTTCTACCCAGTTATGAAGCCATGCTTTCATCTTCACCCCCATTCACACGTTTCCTACTTCCTCCTTTTTTGCAACTCTCTTTGCACCCTCATTTTTACATTCACTCCCCTTTTCCCCTCCTCCTCCTTACTTTTCTCAGCTCTCCCTTGTACACAGATCGCTCCCATTTCCATTCTTCATCCTCTCTCCTACTCTGCATCTCCTATTGTGCACATACCACATATGTTACTGTATCTTTGAGATGAATAGAATCTTAAGAGCAAGCCTGCCGGTTAGCTTGTTGAGTTAGAGATGGTTAAATTAAGTTGGTGGATGTCAGTATTTGCTTGTTAACAAAATATCTGTTCTAAATTAACTACACTGAATCTGGAACTTCATGTTGAAAGCAACACATGGTAGCAATAGTGAAATGCATTTTGTGAAGGTACTATAGAATATTTGAGGGCTCCTAATCTTTTATCTCTGACACATGAGACAGCTAAGAAATGTAAGAGGGAGAAGCTTGAATACAGCGAGAACAGAGGACACTGAAAGGAAAGCAAGTGGTTGTTTTAAATAACTACAGAAGTTTGAGTAAAAGTGAGGGTGGAGGCACACTGAGAGGAAAATGGTGATTTTAGACAACAGCAGAGGTTGGAGTAAAGCAGGGATGGAGGACACAGAAGCGTTGCCTTTTAAAAAAACAAACAGGGCAGTTTTAACAAGAAGAAATAGAAATGATGGATACAACCCCAGAAAGCTAACACAACAGAGCTCCTTCATTTAAACATCTGTTGTTGCTCAAAATCTACTATTTTCCTCTCAGTTCTCTCCATCCCTGCTTTGCTCAAATGTCTGCCTTTACTTTAAACCACCACGTTCCCCTTCTCATCGTACCTCCCTTTTTGCTCCCACGTCATGGCAAATGTTGTTGTGCAACCTGCCTTTGATGTTGCTCCCCTATCCCATCCTGACTTCGCGCAAATTCAGAATTGTGATGCTGCACTACAGATTTTCCCATGGGGCTGCATGATGACATTCGTATATTTTTGTTATATATAGAGAAAAGGCAGACCATTCCTCCCCCAAAGCCTCCCTCCCGCATTCTCCATAAGAACATAAAAAATTGCTTTGCTGGATCAGGCCAGTAGTCCTCAGCAGCCTACTAGCAGCTATAGCCCTTTCCTTTCCTTCCACCAACAGCTGCTATTCAGTGTCACGTTACGTGGAGCCATCGTGACTAGTAGTCATTGATAGACTCACCTAAAAGCCAGCTAGTGGTAGTCACCACATCTTGTGTCTCCAAGTTCCACAAATAACTCATATACTGTGTGAAGAACTGCTTCCTTTTTTTTGCACGGAATTTCCTGCCAATAAGTTTAATTGGTACTGTACTGCTTGGAGGGGGGGGGCATTTCTCTTACTGATTTCACAATGCCATACATGATTCTATAAATATCTATCATGTTCCACTTCCCCAGGTAACTTTAACATTTTAAACTAACCTCCCCACAGACACTATAGCCTTTCTTCATAGCAAAGGTGCCCCAGCCTCCTGATCATTCTAGTTGTTATTTTCTGCGCTTTTTCCTGTGCTACAATATCCTATTTGAGACTGGTGGCCATCTCAAAGAGAATCCATATTGCATCCCCTAATTCTAATGTATATTATTTGTGAATTGATTCTGGAACCAGTTACCATATATTTGGCTTGTTTCAGTTCTTATTATAATTGAGATTCCCGCCCCCCTTGGGTATTTTTTTGAAAATAACTGGGCTGTTCTTCTATCTATCTTTCATTGTATTTACTTATTTAATGCAACCCAGTTTGGGCTACCTTTTTGAAGGAAGAGGAGTGTACAGAGTTTGAATCAATGAAAATGAAGAATCACATCATTCAGTGAATTCTAGAAGGCAGGAATGGGATGGTATCTAGCATGGAACTTCGAAAAGTTCCAAATGAGGATGGAGCGTTGCCCTTGGCAATCAATAGCAGAAGGAAGCAGCCCTTCTCAGGAAATAGATTGGCTTAAACAGCTGGTGCCTTTGCCCATTCCCATCTCCCTTCTCAACATGCTGCTTGTTACAGCTGAATTGGCCCTAGGGAGAGAATTGTTTCTCCTATTGGAAGCCAGGGAAAGGGTGAGTCCCAGAGCTAGCTTCCTTTCTCGTACAGTCTTTGGACAGTGTCATTGTTTACTGCCTCAGTTGCTCTTTAGAGACTCTAATGTAACAGTCTAATCTGTATAAAAACATTAAAATATGAAAAAAAATAATGTCAAATGTAAGGCTAGAATGGGGAAATGGTGATTCTATCTGTTTACAAAGGATAGCAGATAGTTCCACAGTGAAATGGATTTTGGCAAATCATCAATCCAGTAATTGCCTCTTTGAAGCACCTTTGAAGCAAATTTTTAAACTTTTCCTTGGCTTTGTTTGTTTCTGTATTTACATCCATCCTGCCAGGCCACCAGGGGCCCTCAAGGGCAATATTTTGGTCAATTCATTCTCTGGGGATTTTTTGGTCAGCTCTTGCTCTCAATGTAAAACTGCTTGGTTTGTGTTTCAGCTATATTTTCCAGCTGCATTCCACCCCCACCTCCCCAATTTTTAAGTTGGAATGCATTACAAATGTTGTTGTTCCCTGAATGCCGTCTTCCTTTTAAGATCTCATCTCCCCTCCACCCCTACCTCACTAACGATGATGAATACAACTGAAGCTTTTTAATCGCTTTTAATATTTAAACACATGTGATAAATTCTTTAGCAGTATTAACCATTGCTTTTTGCAATAGGACCCACTCTGGAAAGTGAGACGTAGTCAGAAGTTGGATATGTCAGCAAGGTTGGAGCTGCAATCTGCTCTTGATGCTGAAATACGTGCCAAACAGCTGGTCCAGGAAGAGTTAAGGAAGGTTAAAGATGCCAACCTGTCCTTTGAAAGGTAATGTTTCAGATCATTGTTTAATTTTGCTTTTCTAATATAAAATATGGCATTCATGTAATTCTTTATGTAATTGACTTTTTGATGCATATTTCTGAAAGTACGTATATGTGCCAGGGAGTCTAAGAACTCAAAATAAACAGCCCCAAGCCTCTGCCTTGCATTACAGTTTAAGCATAGCGGCCTAGATTAGCCCTCAACCAGCCTGGTGCCCTCCAGATGTTTTGGACTACCAGCCTCTGTCAGCCCCAGCCAGCTCAGTTTTGGCTAGGGGTGAGTTGTAGTCCAAAATGTCTAGAAGGCACGAGGTTGGGGAAGGTTGACCTAGATCCAAAGAACAATGCAACTAGTTCCTTCCTGCCCAAGGGGAAAGTGAGGAACTCTTTCAAACTGGGGGAAGCTTTGAAAAGCAGTATGGGATTTGCCATTGGGGTTGTCGCTCTTGGAAACAACAGTAAAAAATAATCCCACTGACCGTGCAAAGCCCTTTGGTGAATTTGCATAACTTTTTGGATCCTGGCTAATGCCCTTAAGTCTGTTTGGAAAGCAAACTGCCAAGTTGTGGGTTCCTCCTCCTCCTCCTCTCCCTGCTTTTCTTGCAGCACCTTCTTAAGCTTTAACTATAGGGATGTAAACCATTTTAATACCAGGGGTTGAAATGGGCAAGCATTAGTCACGGTTAACATTTGTATGGTCATAACACTTAGCCATGGTTTTTGGCTATTAGCATAAGGGCAGGGGGGAAGAATTGCACACAACACAAGCTGGGGGAAAGAAGCATGTAATTCTGTGGCCTGCTTTTCTTTTCTCAGTTGTAAGTCATGATGGGTGGATGGAGCGCAGAATCCATCCAGTCATATTTTCTACTCCCCTCCCCAATACACCTTTCACCTTCCCACACCTCCGCACCATTTCCCATATCACTTCCATCAGCACCTGCACCACAATGGCTGCTTCTCTTTCAAGGGAAGAAGAAGCCCTGTTCCTAATTTCCTGTGTAGGAGGAAGACTCGGGATTGTGAGAGACGGAGGAAAAAGGTGGCCAAGCAAGCAGTCATTTCCTTCCTCATGATACCCTAGGTCAGGTCAAATTCCAGCCAGGAAGCCAAGGCATTCTAGCCCTGCAGCCTGAGCCTAGAGCTCTTGCATTGGCTTTTGTCATAATGCGGGGAGGGGGGTGGGCTGGCTAGCCTGTCGTTGTTTTCAGCAAGCCCTGGGGCACCTCTGTCCCTGTTAGAGACTTGCAGCTGGCTTCCTCCAGCCAGCCAGCATGTGCAGGATTATGGGTCATGAATGTGTCATGTTGTTAGGAAGTGTCACGATTTTGGCAAGCTTTTTTGAAGTTGGTTTTGTACATCTGACGCGTGGCTTCTCTTTCTGAAACTGGGCAGTGTAGCAACCTAGAGCTTGAGCAAATCCACATCCATTGGAGCCCCCCACCGAGGGCAAAGAAAAGTGTTTTGCTTTATTATGTTCCAAATGCTTCAAGGTTTCCATTTCACCATTTAGCAAACTAAAGGAATCTGAAACAAAAAATCGGGAACTCTTGGAAGAAGTTGAAGCTTTAAAGAAGAAGCTGGAGGAGAAATACAGGACAGATGCAGGTAATGTAGACACTAAATCCTGTTGAGGCCCTTGTCTTGCTGTAGAATGGACAGTAGATACTAGATTCAAGCAGGTAGCCGTGATGGTCTGATGCAGTCGAAATAAATAAAAATTTCAAAAAATGTCCAGTAGTACTTTAGAGACCAACTAAGTTTGTTCTGGGTATAAGCTTCTGTGTGCATGCACACTTCTTCAGCTACTCTGTCACTGTACAGCTTCCTGGTACTCTGGGGACTCTGAAGCAATGAAAAAGGCCAGATGACAACTAGAGCACAGGTGGCAGAAATAACTTTGAGGTCGATTGAGCACTGGTTATAATCATTCTTACCCAGTGTAGCTATGAGGACAGCAAACATACCTTGTGCCTGCATGGCATCCTCAAGTAGTCTCCCAGTGGAACTGTACAGGGTGGTCTAACAGTTGTCCATGGATCACCACTGGATTCCTCAAAGGTCTGTTGTGCCATGTTTGCATGACACTTTGGGGATAGAACTCACTCACCTTGATGTCATGACTATGACAGTTCCTAGTCAGGCCGCCAGTACAACATCTTGCCCTGTTTTGTTTGGTCAGTTTCAGATTATGAGGCCTCAAGGTGCTTGCAGCTATGCATCCAGCTAACTGCCCTCTCAATCACTGTCCTTCATGACTAATCAAATCAAGACAGCAGGGTATGTCTGGTTGGGTCTGGAGGTGATTTACATGCCTTTACACAAGGGGGTGGACTCCACTGCCCTTAAAGTGGCTTTAGTATGGCCATTCCTTTAAAAAAAAAAAGTCACCCCAATAACAACAGTTTGTGACAGGTATCCACTAGTTGAAAATGCCCTGTTTTGGGGGAAGGCGATCAAGATTCAGACCTTCTTGGAATATACGCATTATCTAGACCCATTCCAGACAAGGTTCAGGCCTGGCTTTGGAATAGGCTTCCAGCAAACATCAGGCGGGGACCTACAGTATTGGCATTAAAGCACCTTCTCAAAACTCAACTTTTCACCCAGGCTTTCCCAGAGGGGTGATCCAGCTATGCCGATGGTTTACTCTGAGTTACTAATTTGTGATGCATTTTGTAGTTGTTTTAGGAATGTAATTTTATTTAATACTGTTCACCACCATGATGATTGTTGCAAATTTTTTTAAAAAGTAAAATAGCGGGATGATGACTAATTAATTGTGCTTTCTTTTTCCAGGTCTCAAACTTTCAGACTTCCAGGATTCTATTTTTGAATACTTCAATACATCACCTCTTGCTCATGATCTGACTTTCAGAGTGAGTATTAGCACCCTTAAACCTTTGCACAGGAAACATAGTGAGTTGGGATGTTAAAAAGGAGTGTGGAGCAAGAAGGATAGCCGGATCTATACTGATAAATGACATAAAGTTATGAGTGAGAAGTGAGGTAGCTGATCTTTTTCTGATGATACCATCAGAATTGCAAAAAGGAATCCAAAGGAGGTCCAAAAGGATCTCCAAAAGGATGAACGGGGAGTAGAATGGCAAATGCAGTTCAACATCAGCAAGTGTAAAGTTAAGCACATTGGGGAGAAAAATCCTAATTTTGCATAGATGCCAATGGGATCTGGGCTAGTGTTTACTGGATAGTTCAGTGAAGATGTCCCGTGAAGAAAGTGAATTCCATGTTAGGGATTGTTAGGGAAAGGATTGAAAATAAAACTGCCCGTGTCATAATGCCATTTCATCAATCAATGGTGTGACTGCACTTGAAATACTGTTAACAGTTCCGGTTGTCTCACCTTGAAAAGGATATTGCTAGACCTGGAGAAGGTTCAGAAGAGTGCAGCCACAGTGACCAAGGGACTGGTGTAACTCCCCTACAAGGAGTTACATTTGGGCCTTTTTAGTTTAGGGGGAAAGGCAAGTAAGTGGGGATATCATAGCAGTGTATGCAACGAAGTGGATACAGATAATTACATTCAAAAACTGGTTCATCTCTTTCTAACTCACTCACTTATTATATGATATTGAAGTAGGTAATAGCAGTTCATAAAGAAAAAGGACCCTGTCCCGCAAGCAATCTGAATTGTAAGCTCCTTGAGGCAGGGTTCCTCTCTTTTGCTTTTACTGTAAAGTGCCGTGTAAATTGGAAGTTTACTTTTTGGTAGCTTAAAGTTAGAGCACAGTGTGGAAGAAGAGAAATGAGTGTTTTTTCTTCACTAACATAAACTTAAATATCCTATTCTGTGGTCCATATCGGTTTGGCTCCTCTTACAGTATTAATATATACGTGCTTATTCAGCCTCTGTTCACCTCCCTTGAGCTGTCTATTAAACCCACCTCCCATTAAGACTAAACAAAGGGAGAGCCCACCTGTATCCATTTTTCAGACCTCCCATATCTGTATATTCTCTCTCTCTCTCTTTCTGTGTGTGTGTGTTTCATCCCATACAGCAGTAGTTAACTGTTGTTAGACTACAACTCCCATCAGTCCCAGCAACCTTGGCAATGGGCCGATATCATGGCAGTTGTATTCTAACAGCATTTGGAGGCCCACATGTTCCTCAGCTCCATTCATTTATTTCTCTCTCTGTTGGAAAGGGAATACATGACAGTGTTACTAAAAGACAGATGGGTTATAGAAAAATAAAATCACAAGAACATCCCCAAAGCTATGCTACTCCACTAAATTATCCAGCAGACCAAGCAGACTGCAAAACCTGTCAGTTACAGCTTGCCTGACAGGAAAAATAGGCCCTTTCTTCAGCTTTTAGGTGATGTGACTGAAGATTAGTAGCTAGACACTGGAAAAAAAATATGTATTCTGTTCATGATAAATTCACCTACTTAAACTAATGAGTTCTGTGTTTGTCAGAAACACATACTTGAGCACAGTTTGCATTCAGTGTCCTTATCAATACTTAATGGGTTGCATATTTGTTTTATTGTATGGAAATTCATCTGTTGATTGGAATGAGATTGGAATGACCGTCACAAACAGATAAAAGAATGCTAACAATTGCCTTGCTTGATCAGACCAAGCGATCATATAATTCATGCGTTGCAAGCCAAATGCTTAGAAAAGGTCACAAGATACAATAGTAATATAATAAATGCAGTGTAGAGTCATATTACAAATTCAGCACAATCATATTCACGGTGAAAAATGAAATCTTAATGAAAGTATTTTTAATTCTCTTCCACTCTGCATGTTTTATAGAACAAACTCCCAAGTCAGTAGAAATCAAGAGTGCTTAACCTGACATGACTAATTCTGTATGCCACTTTGCTTTCCTCGGGGGATGTATGACTTACTTGCAAGTGCCTAGTCATCTGCATCTGGAATTTCATAAAGCCCAGAGAGGATATGTGTCACAACCCAGCTCAGATAAAAACCTGTATGGAGTTTGGGTCTACAATTTCACATGCGATCCCTGGAACTACAATTATATCTATTCTTGCGACTTCCTGGCTTTCCTTATTTCCTTTTCAAACTGCATGTTGGTTGCCAGGGGAAAGATAAATTGGCTGCAAGTCTTTGCAGAAAGGCTGCTTGCATCTCACAGAAAGTGGGCGCTGGTTTGTTGCGCTTGCAGAAGGATGTGCTGTGTGCTGCTCTCCACCCACACTGCAGCCTCTTTGAAAACAAACTAGAATGCAATCACAAGTTGTGCCAAACCTTAGCTGTTACCGACAACTGGGAAGTAGAAAGATCTTTGCTACGTTAGATCTAAAAGCCCTTTATAGTGAGGTGTTGAATTTTTTATGAAGATCAAATATCTGCCTTCATTATATACATCTGCAGGAAATGTTTATTATTGTATGTTGCACTTACTCTCGAGTTCCTTACCTCATTTGACCTCGCAATAGCGGCTGAGACAGATCAGTATATTCCAGTATTACAGATGGGAAAAGGAGGCTGAGTGCTAGGAACTTTCCCAAGACCACTCACCGAGTCAGAGCTGCTATTTTCTCTGGCAACATTTTGTTGGTTGTATTCGATAGCAAACGCTATTCAGATGTATTATGAGGAATATTTAATATTGGTAATGCACAGTTTGGGAATATCAGGAAAATGTTGCCTTTGCAGTCTGCAAACTTTGCCAATTACTAACTTACCTAGTTAGTTTGCTAATAACCGCTCTGATGGTTTGTTGCTGGGTAAAAAGTGATCAATTTTATCCTCTCATATCTATTACAACAAGGACAATGTTTCTTCCTCGTCTTCATCTTCTCTGCTAGCCTTTTGGGAAGAAGTAAGTTCATGCTGATGGCTTTACCTCCCTAATCTGTAACCTGTATGTGTAAAATTGCCATCCTAAACTAGTGACCTTTTTTTTTTTAGTTTCCTTTATACATGCTTATTAAATTATACTGAAGATTAACCGACTAAATAGAAATAGCTTCATTTCCTAAGAGTTCTCTTGTAAACTGCTCATTTGAAGTTGCTGTGGCAATTACAATGTGTATTAAAGGTGATTTATGCTTTTTAAAGCAATTTGTATTGTGGACAGCAGAATAGTGACAGGGCCAAAACCTTTTCTGTTTCCATTGAAACATGCTATAAGATGAACAGCACATGGACTCCACTGTAGCATACGTATTTTCTAAGACCTTTCTTTCTTTAACAGCATCTTATTAAACACTATTATTATTATTAAAGACTAGCTCTGTTATGTAAGATTTCAGAGCTCCAAAGTGCGGAATTTCATTTTGGTAACAATATTAGCATTTTTTAAAGGCCCATTATCTAAGAGTCAAAAAATGATTCTTCTAAATACACCTTAGCTCTGCACCTACTAGTAGCTGTATTTTCCCATTTAAAATTTGAATGAAATTTTGTGTGTGTTACATCTTCTAGCTGCTGAACCGTGTTTTGTTTTTGTTAAGTGAATTACCTAACCCAGTTCTAAATCTTAAATGAGGAGGCCATATAGTTCAGCAAAATAAGGGTTATTTTTATAACATTTTCTATCCTTTATTTAGATGCAACATAACAGTGCATTTCTGCATTTTCCACCTAAGTCTTCAGTTTTTTTCTCCCCTCCCCACCAGAAATTTCATCTTTTAACTTTTTGTTTTAAAATACAGAAATCATTAGTACTATCTCCATATCTAATGCTCATTAAAGAGCCTTTAACAATAAGGAACAAAGTAGATACTGTGTAAGTCTTATTTTATGGTGATTGGGTGGGTGCATACACGCACATACAGGAGACAAAAACACGCAAGCACAGTGTAATCACACACCTGCTGTATGGAGGTAAGTCCTTGCCAGGCAGATCTGATTATGTCTGTTCCTACAGTGAGTTAGAAGTAACCTTCAAAGGGCATTTGAAGGCCATGTATTAATACTTTACCTTAATCTCAGAATGAACTGATAACTTCACAATTTTGGGGTTTTCAGCATCAGCCAACTCCACTTATATAATATAGCTGTGGCCTTTGTTGGTGGAGGGTTTCCTTTTAGAGTGTAGGTGTTAACTAGCTTGACATTACAGAGCTCAGCAGAATGCTCTACACAAAGCATTTTCTGAGCAGACAGGCTCTTGTGCCCCAGGTGAACTTGGTTTTCTTCTGCTACTCAGGGATCCATTGCTGGAAGCTAACTTCCTTTACTATCTCCTCTCCTCCAACCCACTTTGCAGACAAATTCCGTTAGTGAGCAGGAGGCACAGGGTTCTAAAGCAGAGGTCTCGCCATCAACATCTGTTGTGACTGCAGAGCAGCAGCAGCAGCAAGAAGTAAGCCGCCATTGTTTCATTAATCCAGATTAAAGCATTTTGGGGAGCCCTAAATTTACAAATGTATGTTTACAGCCATCAGTCCGCAAGAAAACATTTTCTTTCCTCGCAGCTTCTTTCTGTGTTGACTTGCGTCAGTGTTTAAATGTACATGCTTTGTGAGCTCCCTTTTGTTTTGCTCCCCTTTCCCTGGGTCCCTGTGTATCGCTGAGCTCCATCTTCTTCCTTGTTTACCTTCTGCTGCTTGCTAGAGTGCAGGCTTTCCTATGAGTCTTTCTGATCTGCAAACCTGCTTCTAGTAAATTTGGAACAATGCTGCGTTTTGTGATATCGGCTCTTACTCACCTTCAAAAAAGATACTCGAGTTGTTGCCAAACCAAATGCATATTGGATCCTGGAAGTCTTTAATTGCTCAACTGTAGTTTTTTGCAATTCAGGAACCAAATCGGCTTCAGAGGATGCCTGCTGCTCCTTCCCCCACCATTCAGTCCATTTCTCTAGCTGTACCAAAGGTAGGGGGCACTTGTTGACTTGTTTTGCTTAGAACTTTTTGGGGGGGGGTGCAGATATGAAAATGATTATATCCCATTCATAAGCCATCTGTATGTTAATTTTGTCTGAGTTCGTCATTTTCATCTCTTAGGATTATTTCAAATTGGTCCTGCATAGCTGTTTACAAAGCCTTATGCAGTCCATTTGCCAGGTGTCCAACAGCCCAACAGGTCTGCTGTCTCCTTGGGACTGTAAAAACAATGGGGTTGTTAAACACACAGCAAGCCAGTATGGGGCAGATCAGCTGTGTATGATTTTGTAGGCTGCAAGTTGTGCAGGCTTGTGCTATTAAACACTCCTGTGTGTGGTGTCCTTACTCATTGCTTTAGTTTTGTTGGGGTGCCGGAATAGATTTCCTTTAGGTTGCAGTTCTGGTCTGCTTGGTCTGCATATAGTTAAAATTTGCCACAATGCAAAACTTTATTCAATGCTAATCCACCACAGTATATTTTCTGTGTTCATTTAAAAATTGTTACACACCCGTCACCATGAAGAGTGGGTAGCAAATATGCCCCCCCCCCGAGAGAGAGCTTTCAGTGCTGAAAAACCAGTGAAAGAACCAATTTCAACACACTTGATCAGTGTACTAAGCAAAACCAAGGCTTAGTAAAAATATTGATCACTTCACTCTTGTCCTGGTACTGCTGCTTCCACTCTACTCAGAGCTTCCCATAGGGCTTTTCACAGACATCTGGCTGGATGCTATAAGAACAGGATGATGGACTAGATGGGCATTTAGCTTGACCTAGCAGTATTCTTATCACGTTCTTAGCTAAGTCGTGGTATGGCATAGAGTTGCATCTGAACATGGGCTTGTGGCTTGCCTCCCTCAGACAAACCATGAGCAGGAAGTCAAAGCACACCTTGGCTGAAATCTAGAACAAGTCAAAGCAACCAGTAGCCTAGGTTCAGATGTAGCACTAAGCCAAGCCACTTATATAAGGGCAAACCTCTCTGCCCTCATATAGGTGGTGAGATCATCTCCCAATGGCAGAGAAAGGAGTCCCAGTCTCAGAACTGTGTCGCCCACTGCTTCTACCATGCAGCTAAGTGTAGGAATGAAAATAGTGTGATTTGTATAGAGAGCATATTTTTTAGCATTACTTCCTACAAGTATTATAGTTAACAAGAGAGAATTTGAACTGCTAGATCTCTACATATTTTAAACATTTTGTAAGTTGCATTGAGTATTATTTCAAAAAGATGCCCAAATAATAATAATAATAATAATAATAATAATAATAATAATAATCAGTACACAGTTCAGGAGTAATGGTTCCTGCTGAAATTCCATTGCAAGTAAATGAAGGCATTACCAGGGCCACCTCTTCAAATCAAGGTCCACTGAAGTGGGAACTTCTGCCACTGATACAATTTTACAATTACTTGTCATTTTATTAATCTTTTGAAAATGTTATTTACCCTGAATTTATATTCCAGCCTAAAGCTCATCAACTCAGTATCAAATCCTTTTCAAGCCCCACTCAGTGCAGCCACTGCACCTCCCTCATGGTGGGATTGATTAGACAGGGCTACGCTTGTGATGGTAAGTTGGCTTAAGTCTTCTAAGTACTCAGAGACTTAACAGCATAAATTTTACATCTTTATTGCAGCAAGACAGTTACCTGAAGGAAATGGTTATATGCCTCTTTAAAGCAAAAGGCTGGGTGATCTAAAATAGAAGTTAAAAGTGACTGCAAAGGAGCTGAATGTGATTGTCATTTGCGCCAAATTTGAAGGGTCAGCTGCAGAAACGGGTTATTTACGTTACTAATGTGAGCCCATGAAATTTTCAGGAAGGGCGAGGCATTAAGAGAGGATTGCAGGGGTTCCAATTCCATTTTGACCCATAGAGTTGAAGCTGTGTTATCAGTCACATGTGTCAACTGTTTTAATCAGAAAGCCTCATGATAGCAATACACTGTACTTGTATGATGCTGTGCTCCTTATTTTTAACTGAACTTTAGGTTTTATTGTGTAACAGCAAAGAACTTTGACAAGTTCACCTTTTCTTTCTTAGTGTGTTCATTTGCATGCCATGTTTCCTGCAAGGACAGCGCACCACAAGTCTGCCCTATACCTCCAGAGCAAGCCAAGAGACCCCTTGGGGTAGATGTTCAAAGAGGCATAGGAACAGCCTACAAAGGCTACGTCAAGGTAGGAAAATTACACAGGAGCAGAGGCAGGGAGAGAATTATGATTCTAACAGTAGTGTTAATTGAATCCCACCTGTCTTTAAAAACACTACTGTGTTTTTACCCCAAAATCCAGTAGTTTGATTGGCATAGGTTATTAGGTACAAACTCAATTAACTCATTCAGTGCTGTATTAAATAATAATCTTCAAGCATGGAAGTGTACAATAAAAAGTACAGTATATTGTGTAACTATTTCTTCACTGAATTTTGCTCAGGTGGGGTATAAAACCTGAAAGGAGGGCTTTGTTTGTTTAATCTGCACTTCACGTCATAGATATATAATACATTTTATTCTTTACTGCTTTAAAAAGACATCACCTTTCTTTCAGGTTTCATACCCCCACTTCAGCAAAATGCAGAGATTAGAAAAAAGGATTTGGTTTAGTTAAACAGGAAGCAAGGGTACCGAAAGAACACTGTGTACCAAAATCATCTGTGTTTCTTGGTTCCTGTTGGTTTTGGTATGCTTTTGGTTCCTATTGCATCTCCTAAAATGTACTATAAGCGTGGTGTTCTCCATGAACTCGTGAGGCCCACCCTGCATCAAAGCTAGATGGAAAGTTGCACATGTCAATAGCTTTGTCACTTAACTAAGCAGCAGACTAGTGTAAAAAATAACTGTTGCTTTTCAGAGACGCGCAAGTATATATGAGAAAAGAATCTCTGTGTGTTTGATATCACATAAGATGGGGCATTAGAATTCCAAGCTGAAAAGTCCAACTGAAAATACAAACATTATGCAGAAGCTAAAGGGAAGAAAACACAAAATCTTGCCTTGTGTCATTTTAGCGTACTGCTTCTTTATAGCAGCAGTAGCTGGAAGGCATTTGATTATCTTAGTATATTACAAAAATATTTTTCCTTTGGCGTACGGCTTAGTATCTTCTGCACTAGTATCTGACATGCTAGAAGGGGCAAACTGCATAAGAGGATCTTCCCTAGAATTGTGCCGAAAACCCATTCTCTCTCTATCCATCCATCTTCCCAAATTATGATAAAGCCCCAAGGCTTTGTTTACAATTTATAGTAATCCCCTTAGTGCTAATCTTTATACTAGTGAGCACAGCAGGTGATTTGATAAAAAGTTCTGGAAACTGGCAGCTGGATTGCCACAGACTGAAAGTTGAGAAAGAATTCTGGGTGAGAGAGGTTTGTTTCTAGCCAAACTTTAAATGGGAGAGATAATAAATGTTCTCATCATCTTACGCTCTTTGATATTTTCCAGTTGAAAGGCTGAAGTGCACACATCCTGAAGTTAATTTTGTAAAAGGGGAATGTTTTGTAAAAGAGGAATGTTTAAAAAAAATCTGTCTTCCCTGGAGTTTCTTTATCTATCTATATTTCCAGACACTAGCATTTCCATGCTTGAATTCACATATGACTATGCATGCTGTTTGGTTTCTTATAGCTCCATGATCCATAGCACTCCAGAGTTCATCATGGAGGTCATAGGTCCTTCAATAAGCGCATCATGTTTACAGCATAATGCTCAGTACATTTGCACATGCATCTAAGCTCATGGAACTCATATTCTGTACAAGAAATTGTAGCACTATAATACAAAAATTATAGCACCAAAAATTGTAGCACTAAAAATCAGAGTCAAATGTCACATGGAAATGTCCTCAAGGGTCCCGCTTCTGCTTTATCTGCTAAGATGTGAATGATGTATGTGTGCATTTGTTTATTTACAGGTTCCAAAGCCAACAGGAGTTAAGAAAGGATGGCAGCGGGCCTATGCAGTTGTCTGTGACTGTAAACTATTCCTCTATGATGTACCTGAGGGAAAATCCACCCAGCCGGGAGTGGTTGCAAGTCAAGTCCTGGATCTCAGGTTTGTATTGGTGTAGTCATTTTGGTGATAAACCCCATTCCCCCCCCCCCCCCTTTGCATGGTAAATTTACGCGGGTTGTTGTTTTTTTTAATACAATTAAGCAATCAGAAATTGGCATACAACCCCTTAATTTTCATCAAAATAGTGTACTGTGCTTTGTTATTTCAGGGAACGATTTGACAAAATGGCCATGTTGGTCTACAAAACGACGTTAGAGTGAGCCTTGATTTGCACATGTTGTTACTGTGTTCGTCTGTTCCCTCACCTGCTCTCCCTGTTAAAACCTAATGTTTTACCTTGTTGCTATAACTAGCTTATCTGTACCCAGGGTCTGCCTGAACTGCACAACCAAGTATTAACACCAGTTCATGTGTTAACGTCCTAGGGAAAGGAGGCCGACCGCTTTTGCTTTAGCTGTACTTTTAAGTGTAAAATCCAACGCCAATGACTTGAATTATTTGGTTTCTTACCAGAGATGAAGATTTTTGTGTGAGCTCTGTCCTAGCATCGGATGTTATACATGCAACCCGCAAAGATATTCCTTGCATATTCAGGGTATGTTCAAATACGGTTTTTATTTTACTGCAACTTCTTATTCTCATACCTTGCTTCAGTGAATGACTGATAAATAGTTGTATTGTCTGTCCCTAGTATAAATCTCAGTTTTAAAATATCCATTTAACATGTAGGTAGAGGGACACTTCTTGAAGATTAATAAATTCGCTGTAACTGATCTGTGAAGGACAGGCTGTGTGTTTACAATTCAATTTTTATATGAATAATTTGTGTTTTCAGATACTAAAATTAAGTGCTCGTATCTGGCAAAAAAAAATTTTTTAAAATGGGACGCTGCTGAAATATATTAAGGTGGTTTATGCTAGAGGTGGGCAACCTGCCGCGCCCTACCCTAATTTCATATGAATGAAGGAGCACCAAGGGAGATGAAGAGAGTGGGAGGAGGAAAAAGGGGAGGGGTGGGAATGCTGAAATTAATGAAGCCATGGGAGGAAAGAGAATCCCTTTGAAAACAAGCATTTCAGACTTCTAGCAAAAGATACATGTTCCTTCCCCGGCAACCTTCTGGAAGAGGGGAGAGAAAAAGGGTGTCCCTGCTCATATTGGGCTCTGGCCATATCAACACCAGTATGTGGTCCCCAACATTACCCCTGAGGGAATGCAGAAAAAGATTTCCCACCCCTGGTTTGCACAACTCTACCATACACGTGCATTAGACTAGGCTGTTGTCCTTGTCTAATAAATTAGCAGGGTGCATTGCCTAGTAGCAGGTAGGCGTCTAAACTAACTGTCTCTTCCTTGCAATTGTAATTTTTGACAACTGGCATATAAGGGCCACCTTTTTAAAGAGCAAATAAACAAAGAATTTTAAAAAGCGTATTAAAATGTAAAAAAGTAAGTTAGATACACTAATCAAAACTATTCACAACATCTGGAGGACCAACAGTTCCCCATCTCTGCTGTATGGGACTGCATCTCTTGTCATTAACGATTCCTATACATTGATTGAATGGACCTATACCTACATATACCTCCCTAGCAACAACTAGTAATCTATCATAGGCACTACAGATGTTACCAACCTTTCATTTGTTTGCTTTGGGTCATAACACAGTTGGGACTTTCATACCTTTTTATAGTAAGCATGTTAGGGGTAATGTAAGTTGAACGATTAATGCAAGTGGCCATCGTGCCACCAGGCCTCATAATACATCCACGAAGAAGGAATTGTGGACATTTCTTGATCAGTATCCATAATCTCCAAGAGGCCCCTTGGAAATGTGCCTGTCTCAATAGCATTTTGTGCATTGTCCAGGCACTATTCATATTCTCCGGTCAGTATGCATAGTGTCAAGAAACATGCCTTTTTTACTGTTTCTCATTCAGAAGTGTGCAGTCTGTTCCCCCAGCTGCTTTTGGCCCACTTCCTAATGTTCTGTGGAGCACAACATACCAGCCAAGCAGTGGGAATAAGGAACGAGGCTCTAGACAAAGATTAACCTTTTTCTCCCAGCTGTTTCCCCAATCATATGAGCAAGCTGGTGTTATCATGTGACAGCAGTGGGGCTGGCCAAGCCCCACCTCTGAAGTGATTTGCCTGCTCCCGCCACCATCTTTTGAGCAGCAGATGCAACTTTGCCACTGCCTCTCGCCAGCCAGGATTTGGATTGCATTGCCAAGAAATGACACTGGCCCCATTGAATGTAAATTCCTGAGAATATTTCTAATGATCACATTTTAGATAGAAATGCAAGGTTGTGGGACAAGATAATGCACATCATCCCCCTAAACGTGCATCATGCTGAAAGTAATACAGTGTGGACAAACAACATCCACTTCACGAAATACCGTAAATGTGAGAATTTAGCTCAGCATTAAAATGGATTCTGCAAAGATTGCCAAATCATAGTACTAAGGGAAATGTTAGGAAGACGGAGGGTTTCACGAAACAGGATTTTACACATAAGACTTTAAGAGGAACTGGAAGGGCTTGTGTATATTGAAGTTGTCACTTTTACGAAGCCGTTGCGAGTGATGTATTTGCCACTTACTTTAGCCAATGTATTTCTCCGGCAATAGAGAGGCAGCAAATTTCACTTGAATATTTTCATCTTGCTTCCTCTTGCTGTCAAGGTGACAGCCTCTCTCTTAGGCTCGCCTTCAAAGACCTGCTCTCTGCTGATCCTAACAGAAAATGAGAACGAGAAGCGAAAGTGGGTTGGAATCCTAGAGGGGCTGCAATCTATTCTGCACAAAAATAAACTCAAAAACCAAGTTGTACATATTCCACAGGAAGCCTATGATAGCACACTTCCTCTCATTAAAGCCAGTTTAGCTGCTACTATTATAGGTATGTTGAATATAATGAGACATTTGAATGTTTGCTGTTACAGCTGCAGATGGAGCTAATGCGTTGCTTGTGCTGCCATCCTCGTGCATTTTTCCTCATCTGCATATGTGCCCAGAGAAGCTTAGTAGTGTGAAATTTACTAATTGATTTTTAAAAGCTAATTATGATTAACTCTGTTTGCAGTAGGCATCTGCAGTGCTTGAATGAATCGTCTTATTCTTATGCCCATTGCTTTTTGGCTTAAGGAAAAACAGCTAGCTCATACACTAATGATGCCTTAAAATGCAATTGTGCATATTTTCCCCACAGGCCTTCTCATTTGGGGGTATTATTTATTTTCATATTTATAGCCTGCCTCTTGGACAATGGGCCTCAGGGCAGCTACCAAAATTATCACAATGGCACCACATAAAAAAACAGTTTTGGAGCAATAAATAAGATGCAATATTAAGAGCAGCTTAAAACCATAGAGCGTATAGCTGTAGCAATGTAATTTGCCAGGCTGGTTAAAACAATAATCCTCTTCACCCTCTGAATGCTTGCTGGGATAGAAATTTCTTCCTTGCTTCAGAAAGTGAAGATGAGACCAGCCTGGTAAAGGGGGAGGGCACTGCTACAGAAAAAAGCCTTCTCCCCACCAATCTAAATTAGAGAAGGAATTTAGAGTAGAACATCCTCTAGTGACTTCTGTGTCCATGGAGTCTGGTACAGAAATGTTAGTTCCATTAGATAAACTGGCCACTGGAGATTTTAAAGGTTAGAATAATTTCTTTTCATTGGTGCCCAGAAATAAATTGGGGAGCCGGTACAGTTGTGAACTCCTTCCAGCTCACTATCACTATCAAATGGGTCCCTTCCATTACAACAGCAGAAGCTCGCAATTTTCAAACCTGTTTATATTAATAGTGGTTTCCTCCCCCCTCTCCCCACTACCATTAGATCGAGATAGAATAGCAATTGGTGCTGAAGAAGGCCTCTATGTTGTAGACGTGACCCGTGATGGTAAGTGAAGTTCTTTCTACAATCAGCTTTTTTAAAAATATTATTGAACCCCATCACTTAAAAGTTCCGTTTTAAAGTTGGTTACACAGCAGTCCATCCTGTACAGAAAACTTGTTTATCAGACAAAAGCTGGTCACTCTCAGTTGCCTTTTTGGCAGAAGAGAATCTCATTGGTCATCTTACCACTGAAGGCAGGTAAGGACTGTTTGCAGTTCCCCATAGACACCTTAGAAGTCCCTTTCAGTGCATTTCCAAACTCCCTAAATGCAAAGGCACTCCTGCAGTACTAAGCATTCACATGCCCCTGGCAGCTGACACCCTAGAAGAATGATCATCCAAGGATTCCCCATACAGTTTGCACAGATGAGCTTTCAGCTATGAAAGAGGGGCCAGAAAAGGTATCTACTATTTTGCCTCTTTCTGCACACTTCCATGCTCATGCTAGCATTGAAACCAAAATATGCAGGAGCGTAATACAGTTTAAGAATGTAACTGTGATCGACTCCTGTGCTAACGCTGGGCATGTTTGCCATGCAGGGCTTCGTTGCACACGAAGCAAAAGTTCTAAAAGTTTGCAGACCTGCTTTATTGCTACATATTATAGCAAATAGAGCACACACACGTATCACCGGTGAAAGGGGAATGAAGTGGTGGTGATAAAGACTTTAATGGAGGCTTGCACCATGCCCATCAACACCTACCAGCTATATATTGTAACCTGCCAGGTATTGCTCTCACACACCATTTTTGTAATCTCAGGCAGGCAGCAAAACCAGAAGATTTATTGAGCCCTTTGTGAAACCATAGATGTCAGCCGTATGATGTTGTTTTTGTGAGTCACAAGTTGTCCAGGCCATCTCTGCTGAGTTCACCCAGCATTGATTGCTAGTGCCATGGAGTAAACATGACTTTTGAAAGCATGTTAAATGTCAGTGAAATTTGCGGGCTGTTTGCTCCATGTACACTCTTGATAGACTTGAGTAATTGGAAACAGGTACAATTTTCTCTGGGTTACAGGAATAATGATTCTTTTTTCTCACTTGGCTGTCTGAAGGCAGTGGTGATTTTCAGACAAATATTTCTCCTCTCATGCTCTCATTTATTACAGTAGAAGTGAAAAATCTTTATGGCTTGTCAACGAGCTTTCAGAAAACTAACTATCTCAAATGAATAACTAGTCTGTAGACATCAGTATCTATTCTTCCCTGGTTAGAGGCTATTTTATTTTATTTTAATTTTATGGGTACATCTTGTGGCCATATTCTGCATGTCAATGTGACTCTCCTTATTCTAACAGTCTCATTAAATACTAGAATTAATTAGTGAGAGTGTGTTTATGTATGCACCTTGCATGCCCCTGAGGAAAATAATTGTATGATGCACCATGTTTTCTGGCAAACTAATGAATAGCAAAGTATAAGCTCTATCACATTTTTCTCTCTACCAAAGAAAAGTAGAATACTTTCCTGAGCCTCACTCAAGAGAACCATTCTGGCTTCTCTGCATGTGATTAAACTGAACAATAGCAGTGTCATGCTACTGCTGCAATGGAATTGTATAGGTTTGCTTCTGTTATCAAGGAAGTGAGTTGTACAAAAAACAGAACCAGCAGAATGAAATTTATGGCAGTATTTATAACGCTAGACAGAGAGAGTAAGAAAAACCAGAAAGTTACCTTTTAGCTCAGTCACTGTGAAGAAGTGGCTATAATTTTGTTAGTTGTTAACAAAGGAAGATTTTATCAGCCCTTCTTGACTGATAAAAACTAACAGGGAGGGGACAGTTGGCTGGGCCGGGGAGGTGATTAATGCCTCCTGCGGGTGGGTGGTCCCTCCTGCTTAAAGGCAGCAGGGATAAAACTGCTCTTCAAGAAACCCCTCATGGATCTGGAAAATTTAAGTAACTACCAGCCAGTTGCCAATCTCCCCTTCTTGGGCAGAGTTATTGATCAGATGGTTGCAGTTCCTGACCCAACTGTACTGACTGCTGATTAGTTTTTGGACCCAATTCAAAGTGCTGGTTTTGACCTATAAAGCTGTAAATGGCTCAGGACCTCAATACCTCAAGGACCACCTCTCCCCCTATGAACTGACCCAGATTCTGCAATCATAATCTGGGGCCTTAATTTGTGTGCCTCCTCCACAAGGGGTCTGGAGGGTGGCAACGCAAGAACAGGCCTTTTCTTCAGTGGCTCCCCATTTGGGGAATGTTCTTCCCAATGTTTGCATTACTAGAATATATGTTCAGAATGGTACAAATAGTTCAGACCTAAATTGTTTGCATTTAGCTTTCATGGGATTCACTGACATTCACATTGCATCTGGCCAGTTTTAGTATTTAATATATTGTAATTGCAGAATATTTTATTTGAAGCTCAGTGTAATGTTGAACTCCATCCTATCTTTCAGTCTTCACTTTTTCTGCACTCAGTGTGTATGCCTGCTGTCAGACCCCTCCAACTAGGTCAAAGAATTGTTTTTTTCCTTCATGCTGCATCATCCTCACCTATCTTAGCATTTCCCAATATCTTTCTTCCCCGTTCCATTTGTTCATTAATAATGAAAAACCTTTTCTTTATAAAAAATGAGTTATTAATAGAATAATAACTTATGTGTGTTGACCTTTAAAATATAATGTAAAGTGCACTTGGCGTTTCCCTGGATATAAGAAAATAGGAAGGTTTTGTCTGTTGGCGCTGGGTACCTTAAAAATATGTTCACTCTACATCAGGGATGATTGATTGGAAGGCCACTAACTAATTTATGGTGGACAGCATAGTACTATGTTACCTACAAAAATACTGGATTGAATGGGCTAATCCAGAAAGGGAAATATAGGACCATTTGACACAGTTTGGTTATACCTTATTGTTAAAAGATGAGAGTATGTACCTCCTGCTTTGTATGTTTAAAACATACCAGTGGTCCATGGAAATTGCATTTTTTTTTTTAAGAGGTCAAAATATTCTTTCTCTGTAATATTGCAATATTGGTGTACGGTTTTAAGGGAAAGTTGAGAGTGGGACTGGGTCAAAACTATGTCTTCCTACCATCAGCCTCCCATAACCCGTGGCCCTCCAAAAGTTGAGGACTAGAACACCCATCATCACTATCCATTGGCCATGCTACATGGAACTGGTGAGTGTTGTAGACCACAACATCCAGAGGGCATCAGATTGAGGAAGGCTGCTATCACTATGGAAATATGCATATATCCTAAGTAATTACATTGCTGACACTTAAAATGGCTCAGCCTGTCTGCACTCCTATCACTTACTCACATTGACCTGTTGTTTTCACAGTGATCGTCCGAGCTGCTGACTGCAAGAAGGTCTACCAGATAGAGCTGGCTCCCAAAGAGAAAATCATTATCCTTATCTGTGGCCGGAATCATCACGTTCACTTGTATCCCTGGTCCTCTCTGGATGGATCTGAAGGCAGTCTTGATGTTAAGCTTCCTGAAACTAAAGGCTGCCAGTTCATTACAACTGGGACACTGAAGAAGAGCTCTTCAACAAGTTTGTTTGTGGCAGTCAAACGGCAGGTTCTGTGCTATGAAATTCATAGGACTAAACCTTTCCATAAAAAGTTCAGTGAAATCCAGGCACCTGGCAGCATACAGTGGATGACAGTGTTCAAAGACAGGCTTTGTGTTGGCTACCCATCTGGTTTCTCTCTGTTGAACATCCAGGGTGATGGACAATCTATAAACCTGGTAAATTCCAATGACCCATCGCTTGCATTCCTCTCACAGCAGCCTCTTGACGCCCTTTGTGCTGTGGAGCTCAGCAATGAGGAATACCTGCTTTGCTTCAGCCTTTTGGGAGTGTACGTTGATGCGCAAGGTCGAAGGTCACGCATGCAAGAGCTAATGTGGCCTGCAACTCCTGCTGCCTGTAGTATGTATATGTTTTTTTTCTGTTGCTGCTTCACTTGTCTGAAAAATAATCGGCAAATAACTGTTTTAACCATCATAGTTTTAAATCGCGCTATACCACCATTGTTTTTGATGGACCTATACATGTTGAATAGGGCTTTCAGTGCCTACTAATTATGACAGCTAAGTGAAGGCTGTATTGCTCTACATACCAGCTGCTAGGTGGCTGGGTGAGAGGAAACCTTCATTACCGACCAGTTACCAATCTTCTCTTCTTGGGCAAGGTTCTTGAGCAGGTGTTCACAGACCAAATCCAGGTGCTCTTGGAGAACACTGATTTTGTAGTAAAGGCTTAATTGTAAGATATGAGCCACCCCCTAAAACATGTACTTCTCATGTTGATAACCAATAGTTTAGTTCAGTCAACTTCAAGCATAGTGTGTAAATGTGTATTCCCTAAAACATCTGGCTGACCTTTTCAAATGTCTTGTTCTAAAAGGCAGATTTTAACCCATCTTCTCCTAATCACTGTACAGTCATACCTTGGGATGAATACACTTCAGGTTAAGCATTTTTGGGTTGCACTTCGCCGCTTGCGCATGCGCAGACGCTCAAAATGATGGCATGCGCGGAAGCGGTGAAACGTGACTCGCAGCGCATTACGTTCGCTTTAGGATGCAAACAGGGCTCCGGAACGGATCCTGTTTGCATCCAGAGGTACCACTGTACTGTGTGAATGTGTACCCTGTTGTGTTGATAGTGCTAGTGCACAGAGGGGGTACTCCCTGCCCTCCCACATTTTTGCAAACCTTTGTTAGCCTTGTCCGTGGGCCTTTTTTATGGCATGCTTAGTCCTGTATGGGCTTGTTCTCTTGCAGTTTGCTTGCCCTCACAACTGCGATCTGTAGCAACCACTTCCAACAAAGCGGGCTCACATAACATCATGGAAGTTATTCCGGGGCGGGGGGGGGGGGGGATTAAACACTTGAAACATAGAAACGTTTAAGAAATGTGAGTAAGGCAGTCAACAAAACTAAAGAGTGGCTTAGACTTGCCACGTCTTTTCCTTTTTCTCCCTTAAAAAAACAGCACCACCTGAGTTTTCTGTGCTTTAAGCAGCTGTATGGCAAACATAGCTGCAGCAGCTATACCTTTTCCAGTAATGGGAAATACTTCAGCTGGTGCACATCTCATTCATTCAACGATTTAAGGCACAGGAGCTTGTCCTTAACAAAAGTGCCATCCCTGCAGTAGTTGCTAGCTGTGATGGTTCCAGCTAGAGGCTGGGGGTGGGTGGGGGGAAATAGGAGAGCTGTTGCTATCAGGCGCTCCATTTTGAAAGACCATTGGTAAAGACCATTGCACATTGGAACAATGGGGGAGGGCTCTTTTTCACGAGGAACCCAACCACGCATTGGGAGAAATGATCTGTTGTGTTTCCTCTGAATCACTTCTGAAAGGGGTTTTCTTGTATAGGCAACTTCCTATGACCATAGCACACCACACTTCCCTTTGGGAAAACCCCATAGCTTCTGGAGTTCACCTCATCCTCATTCAGCGACTGAGTGCAATGACCTTTCTATTCCCCTCACTACCAGGTGCAGCAGAAGAGATTATGCCACACTCCTCCTCCTCGCTTCTCCCCCCCCCCCTTTTCTTTCTTCCAGAGCAGTTGGAAATTCTGTTTAAACTTTCTAACATACCCAGAATGCCTTCCTCTGAGGAAGGTCCCCCTTGCCCCTTCCTCGGAGCAAGGCATGGCAGAGGGGCTGAGGCGGAGAGCCCAGGGGAAGCCATTCCTCCTTCCCTCAGCTTGCCTCTTGGAAGTGACAGCCCTGCCCACGTCTTTCCTTCTTCCTCTGTATTTACGCAGATAATCTTGCCAGTGGAATAGGTATTTCTGCCTTGCTACCGTGTAAAAGGACTTGTCAGTCTTGTTCTTCTTTGCAGGTGTCTTTTATACAGCAGAAAGCAAGTCAAATGCATCTCCCAGAAAGTGTGTCGTAGCCAGCTGGTGTTTGGAAACCATAAATCAAAACACCTACTCAGGCAAAGGGCTGTATTTTCCCAAAAAGGCAGAAATGAAGGCGTGTAGCGTAGCTACACCTCTAACTGATTTTTTTTACATATTTTTCTCATTCTAGATATGTTGCTAGACATATCTAGTACTGTGCCTTTAAAAGCACCTTCTGAAGCAATCTTGGCTTTCCTGTAGCCTTCCAGTCTCTCTCAGAAAAATAAGACTCTCCTCCCATCTTCAAAGAATTAACCCTTTGAAGGCATAGCTGGTAGATAGCAGGGTGGCTTGTTAGGCTGGGCCAAGGAGAAATCTTCCAGCTTCCATTTTCTGTCTTTAAATGGGAAGGATGACCTGCCTTGCAGGCTGGTGGAGAGGGGCTATTGGAAAAGACCCTGCAGATTTAAACTGCTGATGATCTATAATGAAATACTTGCAACAAAATTGCTTGCTCCAGAGAGGCCTGATCTACAACCTACTTCACAACCTTTTTTCTGTATGGTCTGTGGCAACAGAGGAAAGGCCTTTCGCAGCACTGGTCCCCCAACTATGGTATATAGTATAGCCACATTGCTATCTTTTTTGTGCCCCCTTAAAAAAAATTGTCCACCTGCTCATTTTTTGTGCATTTTTTATTATTGTCATTGATGGTTTTATCTATTTTGTCATTGTATTTGTGTTGCAATATAACTGATGGCACACTGTGCTGAAAATCTATATAGAATGATGGGAGGTATAAAAAGGGTTTCAAATAGACAAATACCTAAATAGGAATCTGTCTAGGCTGTACCAATGCAGGATGGGAGGGGGAGGGTGTTCTCATGATGGAATGCTCCCTTTACAATAAATCTTTCCCACACGAAAAGCTAAATGTCAGGAAGAAGAGTTCTTAATATGCTGACTGCCAGAATCAATGCCTTTTCATTTACTTACATCAGCGAGAACTAGACCTGAGAGATGGCTTGAGAAACAGTAACAGTTGAAATAATGATGGTGCTCAGTTTTATCTCAGAAGTATGCAGCCATAACCAGCTTTCGTATTTTCTCTCTAGGCTGCAGTCCATTCTATTTAACGGTCTACAGTGAATACGGTGTTGATGTATTTAATGTCAGCACCATGGAATGGGTTCAGACTATCGGCTTAAGAAAGGTAAGTAGCTTGCCCGTACTGTAAAACACAGTGCCTTATTCGTTTACTGCAAACTTCTTGGCAGTGTGTTGAGGATGAATTTTAAGCTTCCCTTACTTTGTCTCCATAACAGATCAGACCCCTAAATGTGATGGGCACACTGAATCTCCTTAACTGTGAACCTCCTCGACTGATCTATTTCAAGAACAAGTTTTCAGGTTAGTGCGTTCAGTCGGGGTGGGGGGGGGGGGGACATACAAAGGAAAAGGGATAAAGAAGAGTGGTTGTAATGTGTTGGTGATGCAGGGAAGGCAAGTAGAGTCTGTGTAAAATTACAGCCATGTGTAAAAAATTACAGAGGCAGCCATGGGTGACTAGCCTCCTTCGCCCCAAGGGCCACATTCAGCCTTGGCCTGCCCTCTAGGGGCTGCATGCAGGTAGTGGATGTGGTTAGCCCACACTCCCCACATGTGTGCATGCAGGGCACAACTCTGTAGATCAGATAAGAGAGAGCTGTAACCCTGCCTCACTCAGCAAAGAGTCCACCTGATGCTTTGTAAATTCCTAGGTTCCTCTGCAAAAAGAGCTTAAGGATTCCACAAAGGTCTCCTGCATGAGTCTCCTTCACTGCAGCAGGGCTTGTACAGACCTTCTGCCTAACCTACCTCAGGGCCGTTCTGTTGTGAGGATATACTAAAGAGGGGAAGAACCCGTATAAACTGCATTATGTCTTTTTACAGCAGGAGCCGCCCTTAGCGTGCCGGAGACATCCGACAACAGCAAGAAGCAAATGCTTCGCACCAGAAGCAAGAGAAGATTTGTCTTTAAAGTCCCCGAAGAAGAAAGAATACAACAAAGAAGGTGTGGCTTTACTATTTCTCTTCTCTCTCTCTCTCTCTCTCTCTCTCTCTCACACACACACACACACACACACACACACACAGTAAAGGAGGCTCTACTTATGCAAACCCATCATTTAATGTCTTTGTTGGTTTAGGGAGATGCTCCGAGACCCTGAACTCCGATCCAAAATGATTTCCAATCCGACCAATTTCAACCACGTGGCTCATATGGGACCAGGAGATGGGATGCAAGTGCTCATGGATCTCCCACTGGTAAAACTTCTTGTTCCTAGGGAAAGCAGATAGGCAGGCCTATGCTCAGCCACAACCCGCAAATCTTGGGAACAAGTTGGCAGAAGAACTTTATAGCTTGAGCAGAGTGGCTGTTCATTTTCTAAGGGGCAGCTGCAATGTTTAATCAAGCCTAATATACGTCTTGGAAGGGATCAGGAGGAGGCCTTAGCCATGCCTGCTCTCTCCCTACTTTTCTTCGGCTCGCTTCACTGTAGGGTGATGCGAATGACAGGATAGTTATTCAGTTGTAGAATGTCTTCTAACCCTGGGAACTCCCTTTTAAAAGGGGTTGTATCTCCTAGGAACCCCCCAGGTCTTTCCATAGTGAGAGGAGCAAGCATGCCAGCCCAACCCCTGCGACAAATCTTATCCAGGAGGGGAAGGGGAGGGGAGGCAGATGCCTGAGCAGGCTGTGTGAAAACTCTCTTTGAGAATGCCAGCACACACACATGGCACTGAAAGTAAGCAGGCATCACTGCCAAGAGTGCAATAGTGTTTTCTAAATAACTATTCTCTCCTCCTTCCTTTTTCTTGTTTGTCTTGTCTAAAATAACAGAACGAATTTCCTTCCCCTTCACTCTCCCGACATTCTGCTCTGATATCACCTCCAACAGGCTTTGAGCACGTCTATCACATGAGCCCTATCTCTGCTGAAATCTTTCTCCAGAGTGACCATTCTTCCTCACTGCTTTCCTCCTCTTCCTGTCCCTCCTCTGCTTCTGTAGCAAGGGTAGGAGCAGCTCTTTAGGAACTGGATAGTGACGGTGGGCATTATGCCTCTCTGCCAACATTAAAGAAAAGTTGGGAGGGGGCACTAGCAGTTTGCAGGGAATTACTAACCTGTATGTATATATAAACTAGTGCTTGCTGCTCTGAATCCTACACTCGAGTTAGCAGGTTGTCCTGCTAAACCCCTACACAGACTAGATCATGGTCCTTCCAACAGCAGGTGGCAAAGGGAAAGCTCACTGGAGAATGCTTTGAAAGCAGTATTTACTGTTCCAGGTGTCAAATATACCATAGCTCAAAAACAATTTTCATATGTTTGTAATTGGAAAAAACCTTGAGGCATGATTTGCAGTCAAACTCCATTCTTTTCTTTTACACAGTCTGGTTTACTGGTGAGTTCTGTTATCCTGCCTCCAGCACTTGGAAGGAACTTAGACTGATGACTCAGTTTTGTTTCGCTTGCTTTTTGGGAGGCGGAGGGGGGGAGGAGGGATAAATTGTCCCCTTGTCGGTTATTTGAATGATGTGCCTTTGTGTTAAATGGCCCTCTTTAGCAAGAGAAGCTTAGTTTGTAAAAAATACCACCATACAATAGCTCTGAAAGCAGTATTCCTTCGGTGTTTAAAAAAAACTCTGCTAAATGTTTCACTGAAAAAGTGTCTTGTCTAATTGTCTGTGGCTACATTTCTGCTGCAGAGTGTCTTACCTCCTTCACAAGATGAAAAGGCTTGTCCTCCCACGACCAACATTTCACGCCAAGCACCTCAGAGAAACAAAAGCTACATTTCGTGGCCATCTTCAGGTAACAGTAGAAATGGGTCTATTTATAACCTGCAGTTTTGTAAACCTATCGGAGTGGAGAGTCTCAAACATATTTGCTTTACAGGTGGCAGTGACCTAGGAGCAGCTATGCCCTTGAGGAGTATGTCTGATCCAGACCAGGAGTTTGACAAAGAGGTGAGATCTATCTGTAGACACCTTTTGGTTTCCTCATATTGGTGCATAGCTCTCTCTGCAGTCTGGAAAGAGCCTTCTACATATACACAGCTGTTTGGTTATTTGAGTATATCTCAAGTGCCAGATCTCAGGTTTCATAGACCTTCAGGAATCTTGATTCTAGAAGACTCCTTCACTACAAAATACTAGGGAGAAATGTTTTGAAAGCTCTGATTCCCAAGAAACACACGCTCAAACACTTTGTGGGTGTCTTGGCAACAGTTCATAACTGAGGATCCAAAATAGGTGATAAGCTTTAGAACAGTGTTTCCCAAACTTGGGTCTCCAGCTGTTTTTGGACTACAACTCCCATCATCCCTAGCTAGCAGAGGATGGGAACTGTAGTTCAAAAACAGCTGGAGACCCAAGTTTTGCAAGCACTGCTTTAGAAGAACACAGCCTGGATTCCTTATCCAAGCACTCTTGCCAGCAAGTTGGTCTGTCACCTTGCATAAACTTTTAGCAATGTTCCTGGAGTGTTAGAGAGATTATCAAACAGTACCAACTGCATTTTTGAAATTGGTTCCTAATTCATCAAAGCCCAGGAGCTGCCACGGCCGATTTTAATGACATGTACAAGGAACATAAGAGGTTGCTTTGTACTGAGTGAGTCCACTGGCTAATCTGCTCTATATCGTCTGCACTCATTGGCAGTAGCTCTCCAGGATTCAGTCAAGTTTTTCCAAGCCCTGCTTGGAGTTGCCGGGGATTGAACCTGGGACCTTCTGCATGCAAAGTGTGTGTTCTACCCTTAGCTACAGCCCTTTCTAATCAAAGGAAAACAATTTTCCTAGCGGAGGATGTCTCTGAGACTGAAATCAGGAGCAAACATAGCCATGCACTGGTTTCCTAATTTGTGGGTTCGCACAAATGCTTTCCTTCCATCTCTTGCAAAATTATTTTTGCAGTTGTATCATAGAATGCTAATCCAGCCATTGCTGGATGGCAGGACCTTTTTAAGAAGCCTGCAGCTTTTAAATCTGTTCTTCTCCTCCTCCGATACCCTCTAGCACTGTTAGCAGTGGCAGAGACGAGGCTGTTTTATGAATATGTAGTGATTGTAGCCTCTTTGTTAGTGAAGGAGCCATTGGGGACTAAAGTAACGGCCAATAGTAAACAAAATTTAAGGTAGTATATTTATATGTCAGTTTTCAATTGTAGACATGAAAGTGCTTTATAGTATTTATAAAATGCAGGGTACGCCACAAATGACATGTTCAAAGTAAAACAGACAGGCTGGAGCAGGAGCTGGCATCTTATGTTCCAGTTTACCCATGGCGGAGGAGGCAGTCCAGTTGCATCAGGCTCTGAGGGTCATGTTTGCCATCTGCTTCCCTCACCCTCCTATTCCTTCCCACCTGTTCCTTCCATTAATGGAGGGGCTTCCAGTTTTGAGAGAGGTGGAATAAAAAATACCTTTAAATATACAATAGTGCCTGGTGGGTGTCGTGGAGGAAAGAAGCATGTGTTGGGAAGGTGCATATGAAAGGGTGAAAGTGAGCTTCAAAGCATCTACTAAAAACTCCCCAAATATCTGTTGACCCTTGCCACTTTCCTACTGAATACTGCACTAGAGAGAGCTGCATTTGTGGAAAGATCCAGCACCCTTTGGGCTGTGGGCTGTCACTGGTATGTGGTTGTTGTTGTTTTTTTAAATTTCTGCCATCTGCACCTTGGGTCAGCATTCTGTTGATTTTGCCCCATGAGGACTGCAGAAACCACACGGCTGCAGACTCCATCCATGGCGGCCCAAATAAGAGGCGAAGCTTGCAGCTGTAGCCCTGAGAATTGCCCAGCAGGTTGCCATAAGTGTCAGGTTTTGAGGTGCCATTTTCAGTTTATGCTTACAATAGTTAAGATCAGAGCATGTGAGCTATTGCCTGTATATCAACAGTGTGCTATGAAACTCGGGGTCATTCTGCTTGGTGGCTCCTTGCCTTGTCACAGCTCTCCCTTAACAGATCTTGCCTAAATGATTGTCTGAAGTTGCTGTTTACACCCACAGCAAAACCTTGCTGATGGTATCTCTCAGTGATATCGCCTTTTAATCTGTTGGCTAAATATAAATTCTTCTTCCCCCAATTAAATGGGCTGGCGCAGCAACAGTTCTGCTGTACTTTGCAAAGAGCTAACTGCATTCCAAAATGCTGGGAAAATGTCCAAGCAAATGGCTGAAGTGAAAAGGGAAGGGCTACACCACAGAGCCATCAGCAACAAATCTAGAAAATAACGCTGGCTGGATAGGCGCAACTGACTGTCCAGTGAATTCCTCATTTTGGGCTGCCATTTGTGTCTTCCCTGACACCATTTGCAGTCAGAAACCTTCAGTTTCTTTTTTTTTATTGTCAAGGATATAACATAAATAACCGATGGACAAATTCATCAGGGGTTTTACATAACGGTCTTTGCCCCTGCTTTTCCAAGCTACTCACTACTCACAACTGAGTGATCCTTTCCCCTATCTGGGGTTTGTGGTGGTAGGGTGTTGCTGTTGTTGCTTTTAATGTAAAACAGCCATCCAAGGCTGCTGTCAGGAGCAGGAAGAGAGATGGGAGTGGATACACTGCCTTTAATACTGTCCAGTCCTGCCCCACTCCTTTCCCACCTGTGGGGGTGAATGTATGCCCATTATGTTTTCTCCCTGTGGATGAAAGAGGTGCTGCTATGCCCCCCCCCCCAGAGAGAGAGAGAGAGAGAGAGAGAGAGAGAGACTAATCCAAGTTCCATAACAAGCTGAGGCCCAAACTACATTTGCTGCTTATCACATGCATGGCTTGGACCCCGAGAGAAGTTCAAGCAACGGAAGGAAGGCTTCTCATCCTCTCCTCTCCTTTCCAGCAATCTCTGACCCTTGAGAAGCCTCTCCGGAAGCATCCCACGTTGTTCACCATCCTGAACAACGTGGGATGGAGTTCTGGGGGAGAAAGAGACAGGAAACTTTCCTTCCATGAGCTTCCTTAATTTACCGTATTTTTCGCTCTATAAGACGCACTTTCCCCCTCCTAAGAAGTAAGGGGAAATGTGTGTGCGTCTTATGGAGCAAATGCAGGCTCCATGGCTTCAGCGAAAGCAACGCGAAGCCTCCAGAGCGCAGCCAGGAGAAGCCAGGAGAGCAAGAGGGGTCGGTGCGCACCGATCCCTCTTGTTCTCCTGGCTTCGCTTCGCTGGAGAGGTGCTGCGCAGCTTTCCCTCTCTGCGCAGCACCCCTTCAGCGAAGCAGGAGGAGAAAAGGAAGGGGCTCTGTTTCTCCCGCCGCTTCGCTGAAGGGGCGCTGCGCAGAGAGGGAGAGAATATTTTTTTCTTGTTCTCCCCCTCTAAAACTAGGTGCATCTTATGGTTGGGTGCGTTTTATAGAGCGAAAAATACGGTAATTTGTCTTAGGATCCAAGCCTGCCTCTTCAAGTGACTTTGCCTCAAACTTTTCTAAAGTAGGAAGGCTGCAGCACAAAGCACAGAAGGATCTATGGAGGGTGTTTGTGCTGAACACTCCTCACCCCGCCGTTTCTCTTTCCCTCTGCAGCCGCTTCCTAGGACACTTTTTCTCCCATTTTGGCTCCATGTTTATCAAGACAGCAGGCTGGATGCTCTCTGTGCAAGGACTTGGGAAATGATGAGCTCTGGCTTCTGACTGAAGACGGTTTAATGCATAGAAACCTACAGGGCAGCTGTTTGAACTAGAGATGGGCTAGTCTTTCAAAGCTCTCCTCAGGTTGGGTTGAGGGTCCCCTGCCCCAAATCCAGAAATTCTGGGAAATTTCCCCCAGGAAATGGCTCACAAGATTTGCTCTCAGACAGCCCCTGGGAACACCACACTTCCTTGGCAGGGCCTTCCGCAATAGGACTATGCTGAGAAGAAAGACAGGCTTTCTTTTCATCCTTCCTCCTCTTCCTGTCTCTCCCTTCCCTCTTATCACACTGTCAGCCAGTTGTCCACACTAATAGGTGCAATTTGGGCCCGGTTCTTTCGGGAGCTCTTGCTGCACTGCCTCTGCCTCCCATCAGAAGCATCCTAATGGTTTCAGGCGCTTGACATGCAGTATTTTTCCTTTCCTTTCCTTTTTTTTTTTTTTTTTTTTTTTTGCAGCCTGACTCAGATTCTACCAAACACTCGACTCCTTCCAACAGCTCGAACCCAAGCGGGCCCCCAAGTCCCAACTCCCCACATAGGAATCAGCTGACGCTAGACGGATTGGACCAGTCGACCTGCGATGCATAACACTACGGCTCCCCCCTCCCTCCCCAAATCCTGTTCGGGACCATCGGCATCAGGAGCAGCTACTCCACGGAGTATTCAAGAGCAGGAGGCCCGTCTCCAACAACTGTGCCAAGACTTGATACTGAATTTCTAGTGTTGCACAAAAGCAAATTCTATAGTTAGAGGTGTAGATTTGGGAGAATAAAAAAAGGAGGAGCGAGTTCTTTATTACGACACGGATCAAGTTGTTACTGTTTTTTATGCAAAACTGTTTGTTCTTAACCCTATGGTGGATCAATTTCTGCACAGACGTGATATTAATGTGACATACACTACAGGCTTTTGGTAAACAGTCTTCATATTTAAGTTGGAAAGAAAATAGAGAAGAGTCGCTGGTAGTTTTTTTTTTACTACAGTGCGGTGTCAGGAATATTTTTCTATAGGATGATGTAATGTCTCGTTAACAGGAAATCCTTTTGGGGGGGAAATGGTCCTTTTGAGTGGGAAGTAAAAAGCAGGCTATAAAAGCAGGCTAGTTGCATCCTTGGCTAAATATATTCTAAATATATTCTGGTTGTGTGTTTTTTCAAGTTTTAGGAGAATGATAGGAAGCTTTAGGGCCATTCCCAGCATCAGTAGAAATATGTCAGGAAGTTGAAAACCGAGGTTCTAGTTTGTGGCCTTTTAACTTATTTAGCCATTACATACATTCTCAGCTTTGTAAATGTCCTCCTCCCAACTTTTTAGTCATGTACATATTGCCGGTAACATTTTATCCTTACCCTGCTTTTTTAGACCTCTTCAGTTCATCATTAGCTGGGGCAGGGCTTTAAAAAAAGAAGAAAAGAAAAAAAGACTGCTGTGAAACAGGTTTTACTTTGCTTTTCCTGCTACCACCTTCGCGGACGTTCTTGTAATTCCTCTTTTTGTTTTGCTTTTGTTCCAGTGTTAAAGATACACTACATTAAAATAAAATAAAATAAAATACGCTAGGGAGCGTTCTCTTGGGATGGCTCCCTTGAAGGCTGCTTATGCGACGGGATTGTGTAGTAGTACTTAAACCATCGGTCTATCTTGATTGGTAACCAAAGTGGAAACGTTGAAGGATGTGTATATGAGGGTGCCTCATCTTCTCCCCACCACCACCTACCCCAGTTCATTGTATCCTTGCCTGCATGAAGACCCCATGATTGCTAATCAAAAGTATTGATCATGTAGAGAAAAAAGAAAAAATGCACAGCACACTCCTGTATATTTTGCTACGGCCCATGTGCAGCGGTGACATATTGCGTGTATATTTAATCTCATGCTCCCATGTATTATACATTTAGTAATTTTCCCTCTTCCCCACCTCCACCTCTCCACACCCCCTTCCCGGGGGGCGGGGGGAATTGTGATCATGTTTCATTTAAAAAAGCGTGTGTAATTAATTCTGTGGCTGGCATATCCAGTTTGTCATTGTCACATTAGTGTGCCTTCTGTGCCAATTTGATGACAGTTGGATGTCAATTGTTTTTAAAAAAAAATCTGGTTTCTATGGGCTAATGCTATACCAATGGCTAATACTCTTTCCTGAAACACTGTATAGGACATGCACTTATCCCTAGTTTTAAATCAAGTGGCTCTAGTCAACATTTAATCCTGTTACATTAAGTGTTTGACAATACTTGCTCTTTTCTCAGATTCTTGATCAATGAAGCTCAATTTGAGCTGGACACTACTGCTTTTGGGGTTTTCTGGTTTTTACACCTTTTTTTTTAAATGTAAGTCTGAAGTCTTTGTAATTATTGAATTGTGAGAACATTTTTGAACAATTTACTTGTCAATAAAGCAGAAGAGGAAGGTTTTAAAAAGTACCCAGGGCTCCTGTCTTCCTTCTCTGAACAAGCATGCATTGGCCTCTCATACCTGCCTGGTTCGTTTGAAAGTCACCAGGACATGATTTGAAAGGGGAAGAACAACCCTGTGTTGTATGTTTCACCTTCAACCAACCAAATAAGCAACCTCAATACAAACAGCAACTCTTAAGTGGTCTTCTGAGGACGAGAAATGTATCAGCACCTGAAGTTGCTTCCTGCAGCTTGCCGCAGTCTTTCGGTTCCTTACTAGAGATTGCAGAAAGAGTGGTAATTGCTGCTGATGTTCTGTTGCTCTTTTCCTTTGGCCCAAGGGTCATCCAGTGGAGTTGAGGCCAGATCAGTGCAGTAGACAGCAGGCAGCTTGTCTTGGAAATAATAGCTAGATGAGAATGGTATTAATAGTCTTGATTAACCTTGTTGTTTTCCTCAGTGCAAATGGAAAGCTCTTTTCTTATTCTTTTTAGGCGGGAGGTGGGCATAATGGGGCATTGCCAGTATTACACACAAGCATTTTGACCAGGCCCTGGAAAAACATTTATGTGGGATTTTGTTCCAGAAATGCAGAAGCTTTTAAGAACTGTTGACTCACACACACCCCAACAAATTTGCTGCAATATATTTTAAGTGGCTTAGAAAAATTAAGGTGGGAGAGGGGTGAGAACTTGGAATTAAATTCTGGTGTTAAATATTCTACATCAGGCATGTCCAACAGGTAGATCGTGATCTATCGGTAGATCACTGGATGTCTGCGGTAGATCACTGATAGAACATTGGCTCCCCCCCCCAAAGAAGCTGAACAACTGTGGCTCCCCTAAAAAAAGCTCAATGTTTTACCTCCTCCCTGAGAAAAACTCAACAACTTTGACCCCAAACCCCCCAAAAGGGGTTAGATCACTGCCAGTTTTTAACTCTGTGAGTAGATTGCAGTCTCTTGGGAGTTGGCCACCACTGTTCTACATCAGTGAAGTGGATTCCAGTCCACAAAAGCTTGTGCTGCCAATAAACTTTTTGGTCTTTTAAGTGCCACAAGATTCTCCATTGGTTTTGCTGCAACAGACTAATGGCTGCCCCTCTAGAGGATGTAATTTAACAGTGCGGATTTGATAAAGCACAACTTGTTCCAGGTTGCACTGCAGACATAACAGCAATTGCAGAAGGATCCACATGCACCCACTACTTAGACACAGAGAGTGACAGTGAAGAATATGTGCAAAGGCAGGAAGTTTAAATTAAGCTGCCCTCTTCTGTCTAGGGACGGCGCTTAGCTGAAAAGCTGTCAATTTATTTGCAGCATTTAGGGAGCAGGTGAGAGCTGCAGGCTGGACCTGAACCACAATTTACTAATGCAAAGGCATCACTGAAATGAGGTATCCTAGCAAATAAATGCTAGTATACTTTGACCTCTTTTGCTGAATTTTCACTCGGATACAACCAAGGCATAACTTCATAAACAGGCCAGGAGCTTTAACATGGACACCAAGTGCCAGATCAAACTCGCTGCCACCAAATATTTGCTTCTCCAAATATTTTCACGCTAGTGGCAAAGCTGGAGTAATTTGAGACTGATGTGGTTGCACAATTTCGCTTTATTTTAGACCCAGGATCTTCTAAAAGTCATTTAAGCTACATTCCTAAATATACTTTTCCTGGGAGTAAGATTTATTGAACACAGTGGGAATTGCTTCTGCGTGAATTTATTTTTATCATTGACAGATGTACACTTCCCATTCAGCAAAGTTCTCCGGGAAGTAAACAATACATAGGATTGCACCTTAACAGATTATATTCATTCTCAGTAACTTTGCCATGCTGTAAAATGACTGAATAGCAGGAGCAGAACTTAAGTATGCCTTAAACCAAAGAAGTACATATTTACAAGAACACTTTAGCATAGAGGAATTAAATGATGAAACAAATCTCTTGAAAACTTGCTACCCAGATGCAGATGACACCCAGCTCTACCTCTCCTTTAAATCAGAACCAGTGAAGGCGGTGAAGGTCCTGTATGAGTGCCTGAAGGCGGTTGGAGGATGGATGGCGGCTAACAGATTGAGGTTGAATCCTGACAAGACAGAAGTACTGTTTTGGGGGGACAGGGGGCGGGCGGGTGTGGGGGATTCCCTGGTCCTGAATGGGGTAACTGTGCCCCTGAAGGACCAGGTGCGCAGCCTGGGAGTCATTTTGGACTTACAGCTGTCCATGGAGGCGCAGGTTAATTCTGTGTCCAGGGCAGCTGTCTACCAGCTCCATCTGGTACGCAGGCTAAGACCCTACCTGCCCACGGACTGTCTCGCCAGAGTGGTGCATGCTCTAGTTATTTCCCACTTAGACTACTGCAATGCGCTCTACGTGGGGCTACCTTTGAAGGTGACCCGGAAACTGCAATTAATCCAGAATGCGTCAGCTAGACTGGTGACTGGGAGTGGCCCCCGGGACCACATAACACCGGTTCTGAGAGATCTGCATTGGCTCCCAGTACGTTTCGGAGCACAATTCAAAGTGTTGGTGCTGACCTTTAAAGCCCTAAACGGCCTCGGTCCAGTATACCTGAAGGAGCGTCTCCACCCCCATCGTTCAGCCCGGACACTGAGATCCAGCGCCGACGGCCTTTTGGCGGTTCCCTCATTGTGAGAAGTGAGGTTACAGGGAACCAGACAGAGGGCCTTCTCAGTAGTGGCGCCCACCCTGTGGAACATTCACATTCGTTCAGATGTGAAGGAAGTAAGCAGCTATCCTATCTTTAAAAGACATCTGAAGGCGCAGAAGTTTTCAGGGAAGTTTTTAATATTTAACGCTGTACTGTACAGTGGTGCCCCGCAAGACGAATGCCTCGCAAGACGGAAAACCCGCTAGACGAAAGGGTTTTCCGTTTTGGAGGTGCTTCGCAAAACGAATTTCCTATGTGCTTGCTTCGCAAGACGAAAATGTCTTGCCAGTTCCTGCGGGGTTTTTTTCCTTTGTCCCAAGCCGCTAAACTGCTTATCAGCTGCTGGCTAAGCCGCTTATCAGCTGATCTTTAAGCCGCTTAACAGCTGATGCTAAGCCGCTTATCAGCTGATCTTTAAGCCGCTTAACAGCTGGTGCTAAGCCGCTTATCAGCTGATCGTTAAGCCGCTTATCAGCTCATCGTTAAGCCTCTTATCAGCTGATCGTTAAGCCGCTTATCAGCTGATCTTTAAACCTAAGCCGCTAATACTGTAGCGCTAAGCCGCTAAACCTCTAATGGGCTTGCTTCGCAAGACGAAAAAACCCACAAGACGAAGAGACTCGCGGAACGGATTCTTTTCGTCTTGCGAGGCACCACTGTATTTAACACTTGATTGGGAGCAGCCCAGAGTGACTGGGGAAACTCAGCCAGATGGGCGGGGTATAAATAATAAATTATATTATTATTATTATTATTATTATTATTATTATTATTATTATTACCCTTTTATCTCAGGCACAGATTGCAAAATTTGCCAGATCCCCAGCATTCCAGACCTACTTCCAGGAATAGTTGTCCCCACAGGGGAAAATCTAAGACAAAGCAGGTAGATTGGGAAATGTGTCTTACAATAAAACGCAACTGGAAAAATGAAAGGGACATTACTATTGTCCATGAGGTTTATGGTCATATGTACAACATCCTAGTGAAGGACCATGTCATAATTAAAGGCTTTTTCCTTCTTGAGAACATAAATTGAGTTTGCCATGGAGAAAGTATAAGCAAACAGTATACAGCTACTCAATTTGAACTGGTCTTCAAGAATTAACATCAAAAGCCAGTATGTTAAAAGCTTGATTGGCTATTACTGTTGAAGTATAAACTCAGATGGTTAATAAACCTCTTATCTAAAAGTCTTTGAAAGAGTCCCAAGAGAGCTGAGAGTTAACTTAGGCCTCAAATTAGGGTTTCCAAGGGAAAAGACCTTCCCAATGCTCGATGGTGCAATTTGAAAACTAGGGCAAGCTCTGTATATACAGAACGCCAAAGGGAATATTTGTATGGGCTGTTGCTTTGCCTTTGGTTAGCCCTTGAATTGGACCTTTAGTTTATGAGGAAAACCTTAGAGGTTGTGTCCTCCTCAGAATGGAAGATGGCAGGGAGCTAGCTTCAGGCACCAGGCCCATTGTTCAGGCCAAGTCTGCAGTACAAAGATGTCTGCAACCTTGGCTTCAAGGCTGGCAACATTAACCCTTCTGTGTGGGAATCTCTTGCAGGCAACTGCGGTGCCTGAAGACAGACAGACAGGTCATGCAACCACCGCAGTGACCAGAGGAGGAATGGTCACCGGGAGGATTGCAGAAAGTGGCCCCTAGGGCTCTTGTTATGAGCGATTTATGATGATGATGATGATGATGATGATAATTTACTATTTATACCCCGCCCATCTGGCTGGGTTTCCCCAGCCACTCTGGGCGGCTTCCAACAAAGTATTAAAATACAGTAGTCTGTTAAACATTAAAAGCTTCCCTAAAGAGGGCTGCCTTCAGATGTCTTCTAAAAGTCTGGTAGTTGTTGTTCTCTTTGACATCTGATGGGAGGGCGTTCCACAGGGCGGGTGCCACTACCAACAAGGCCCTCTGCCTGGTTCCCTGTAACTTGGCAAGGGAACCGCCAGAAGGTCCTCGGTGCTGGACCTCAGTGTCTGGGCGGAATGATGGGGGTGGAGACGCTCCTTCAGGTATACTGGACTGAGGCCGTCTAGGGCTTTAAAGGCCAGCACCAACACTTTGATAAGCTGCAGTTCACAGGGGTGGTATTCAACAAAATTTTGCTCAGAGCAAACCCACTCCAATTAATGGATTGAACTTCGTCATATTGATTTCAGTGGGTCTGTTCTAAGTAAAATCTTTCTGGGTGCCAACCACAGGCTCAACCAGAAGGGGGACCATGGAATAAAATAAACCTCCCACCAGCCCATCTCATTGCTATCTCCTGGTTCCCTATACATCACCCAGAGGCAAAACAGATTACCAAAGCAATTTTCCTCCTTGTGTCAGCACACTCAGGA